AGTAGAGTTTGGGATTGTAACGCTGATTTTTAGTCAGGCCTGCACCAGAATTCCTGTTTATATATCAGCTTTTCAGGGCAGATAGGCATGGTTTATTCCTGTAATCTACTTTTTGCTGGGCCTCATCCCAGCTTCTTTAGAGAGGGATTTTCAGCTGCTGCTGAAGCTCACAGTGATGAGGTGACACAGGCAGTTATTTGTACAGGCAAAAGGGTACAACAGTTCAGTACAATGTAAACCAACTGCATGTAATCCATACCACATTGGGAGGTTAGGTTCCTTAAAGCTTAATGAAAGCTTGAATAAAGCTTGTTGTTATTATTTTCTTTTGAAAAATCTTATTTGCCCAATACTTCTTTGAAGCAGGAGGAGGTCTTTTCCTCTCTTATCTTCTGTACCTCTTCTCTCACACTAAAACCTGCACCTGGTTGTGGATGTAAAGCTGGTACACTTTATTAATGAGGTCCTGAGACATTCACTGCTGAATTAACACACAGGTATCTTAACACATCATTTTTCAGAGTCAGGATTGATGGTCTGCCTGCAGCTCACAAAATCATTGCAGCCCTCCTGCATGGGATTTGCTTTCTTTTCTTTTTCACCTTATAACTTGTTAATGTGTGACCCTGGGTACTGAAAAGCTTTGTTTATCCCAACAGAGAAGATTGTTCCTAATCTTTGACTTGTGTGGATATAATTTTGAAAATTTTTGAATTAAATGTGTGGTGAATGGTAGGGAATTATCTTGTTGCACTGGAAAACAGTCTGGGCCCTGATTAAATCTGTTTGTGAACTGCCTGGTTTCTTTGCTGTGTTCTGCATGACATGGTGATATCTGATGTGATAAGGTTGTTTCACCATCTGCATTTATGCTTTTGGCACGTTGCTCTTAGATTTTGATTTGCTGCTTCAGGAAATAGAACTTTCCTTGAGAAGTTACTATAAACATATAAATGCCTTTCTCTATATTGGAACTGAAATCTTGCACTGAATGCTGACATGATCTGCACTGAGCATCAGTGGGGACCAGAGTTCCATGTGCTGTTGACAACTTTGAAACACAACAATGAAAGTCACTTTATCAACTCTTTGTATTCTTTAGATTTGTTTTCAGGGAATCTGTGTAATAGTTGGGTGCAATTCGATAGCCAAACAGTTAACAAGAACAAACCAGTTCCAATTACTTGCTACTTGATCCTTGGAATAAACCCAGATGATAATAAAGTCCTAAATAATTTAATGAATGCAATGCTGAAATAGCAGCCTGTCTCCATCACCTGGAGACTGATGCAGATAGATTCCAACTTGGGTATGACAACACTGTTCTCCATCAATTCTAAATGTGAACAGATTTATACATTCTTCTACAGGCTCTGTAGTGGGTTTTTAATAAGTTGGTTTCATTGAACTAGATAATATTTAGATAATCTTTACAGCATACAGTGTATTGTAATTAATAACAACTATTATTAAGCATTAATCTTCCAAACCAGCCATATGTGAAAGGTTCACAGGTCCAAGCTGCTCTCCAATATACTGAGTTAACTACTCAAGGTGGACTGAAAACCCACTGATGTTCCAAGGTAACACAGGACATTTGTTAAGCAGAGTTGGAGAACATTTCCAAGAAAACTAAACAAAGCAGTTCGTGGCACCATCACTCAAAATCTGCTTTTGTTGGATTTCCAAATTAAGAGTAGCATGTTCTCTTTGTTTTTCTTGTTCCAGTCCATGCAACTGAAAGATTTATGGATAAAATCTTGAGTTTCAGTCTCACAAAGTGAGAAGTTGCAGTTTTTATCACAGAGTGAGGCGATTTGACCAGCTTTTAACACCTTGGCAAGAGTTTATGACAAGAGTAGACAACAAAGAAATACAGAGGAGACTTTCCCATCTGACTAAACCAAGGTGAAATATAGAATTTCCAAAGTGCAGAAGGTTGAGGTTATTTTTTTTCTCTCTCTCTTGAAGATAAAATTTCAAAAGCTCTCCAAGGTGGTTTTCAGAAGTTTGGCAGATGCTGCAGTGTTTCAGTGCAGTTGTTAGGAGTTAGTGTTTTTCCTGGGCCAGTTCCCCTCCCATCAGTGTGAGGATGCAGTTTTATGTTACAGCTGGACTGATTCACTGTGGGCAGTGACTAAAAAGGGAGGTCTTGTTTTCTTCTCCAAAGCTTGTTCCTTCCCCCTCCAGTGTGTCAGTGGTATTGCTGCTCTGACCCCCCAGTGAACTGATTCAGAGAACTAAGGCTATAGAAAACTAACTCTTGGAAAAAAAGAGGAAAATAATGGCTTTTTAACTGATGTAGTGCTCTGATCTCTCATGGGGTCAGGTGAGTGCCAGTGCTGTGACTGAGCTGACTGAGTTGAGTAGTCACAGGCAGGATGAGTGGGAGAGCTCTGAAATGAATGGAGATGTACTGTAAATCTAGACTTTGAGCATACAGTTTTATCAGGTTAAAGATTATTTGTGTACCATGTGGACTGCTGCTGAAAAAAATGATCTTGCTGTTCTCTCTGTGCCTGGTGCCCTCTTTTCCCACATCCTCCTTTGTGGCAGCACTGCTGACTTTGTGGTTATTTGTATCAGGAGATCCAGCTGAATACTTAGCTAACAACAACAGCAAAGGAGTTTCAGCTTCCCAAACATTATTGTTATACAGCAAGGGACAAAGCAGCATGAATTTGTCCTTTGTGGCAGAAGTGCAAATTTAAATTTCCTCAAGTTAGGTTTGATGTTGCATTATAAATATTAACATAGAAAAAGCTTATTTGCCAATTCACTGGCACTTAGCTGGTGTGCTGTCCCAGGGTCAAAGACTTTCTTGAAGGATAATTCCTTGAAATCATGTGTGGCATCATCAGTGACAGTTTTGTCTGTGTTATTCTCCTGTAGTATCTTTTCTGAGATGGACAATGAGCCAAAGAGCACTGCTGCATTTAGGAAAGACAGTGGTGTATGCAGTGTGTGGTGGTCTGCTATAAAATCATCCTCATGTCATCATCTCTGTTAACATAAGTAGCATTTGGATGTTTTTCCTCAGTGTTTCAAATTTGTTCTGTTCAGTTTCACTAAAACATACATGTGAGTGGAACAGATTATCTCAGATATTTGGGATGGATGCTCTTTGCACGTGACCATGGCTAATTACATTGAGCTCCATCTCTGGGCTGAAGTGCATTTCTGTTCTCTGATGGACCTGGCTGCACTGAGGAAATGGCATTGTGGCCTCTCCAAACACATCTCACATGTACCCATAGGCTCAGGACTTTCTTTTGAAGTTTTTGTTTCGTTCAGAAGTGAGATTCAATGCAGTGCACTCTGGCCTGGCTTTTCTCCTTACTGCTGTTTTCTTTTGGGATTACTGTTTGGTCATTGTTTGGTTCAGGCCATACTCAATTGCCCTTGTAATTAATGTGGAGCTAATAACCATGTACTAAGTACTCATGTCTGCTCTGGTTTTCTGGGATCGTTTTGACTCTTTCAGCTCCCACTGACTCTTGGGGGGAGTTTTTGACATTAAGCCCCTCTGAAGCTCGAGGATTTCAGTTATAGACAAGCTGCTGATGTTTTAAGCCACAGCCATTAGGTGATAGGATTGTTCAGACTAAATATGACTGCCTAAAACTGGAGTGTCTGTGTGAAGATGAGTCTCCCTCAGATCCCTTTGTGTGTTCCTGGAGTTACCATGCCATGTGTTTCCCCCTGAAGTGGATGTCTGGGTTCGGGCAGATAGTTCATGCCATAAAAAGAGTGGGAGTAGGTCACCTGTTAAATTTTGATTAGATTTCTAATTTAATTAATTTGGAGAAATTGATCTAAGTGTCTGTTTTGGGGTTTATATCCATATTTCTCAATGGAAGTGGAAGTTGCCAGACATAAGAAGAGTTGAAGGAGCTCCATCCCAGGCTGAAATCAAGAACACCTCTATAATGTAGGTGCTCAGGGGCACATGACAAAATGTACACTCATGCTCTGAGGTTTAAGAACTTCAGCCATACAGGAATATTAATATTACCACTGTAACATGCCATGAAATTATCACCTTACATTGTCATTAGTGTTTGACTGACAGTAATTGTGAAGTTGGTTTCTTCTGCCTTCATAAACCAGGGTGTGCTCTGTAGCTTCTGGAAACTACAAAGTGAAGGCACAGGCTCCTGCCTTCACTTTGCACATTGTGTTTGATAAGTTCAGTCTCTTCCTTGCCTGGATACTTCATCTTGTGCTAAAAGAAAGAACCAGTTTACCTTCAGTAATCCAGATTCTGGCTCCTTTCACAGTTGTATTTACAACAAGTTTGTTTAAAGCTGCAAAGACCCATTTGTAGAGTTCTCAGCTGTGACTAGTCAAGAGGATGAAATTAATAATCACTCCCTTTTCAGTCCCTAAAGCTCTTCCTTTCCAATGGCCTTTTGAGATTGGTACCACTGGATAGCAAACCCATAGTGCTCAGGTAACCTTTAAAACAAATTGTATTTTACTTGTCCAAGCTTGATTAGGATTTAAGTGTCTTTGGCAGAAATAAAAGATCAGTGAAAGTTCCTACTTCATATATGTATAAGGAACATAAAATGGAAAATCAGTGCACAACAATTAGAGGGTTCAGTTTAAGAACTTTAACTTTTCATGATTATTCTCAATTCATTCACTTAAGTGTCAACATTGCTATTATTGATATAAGTGCCATTTCCAGTATAAAACTCTAAATTTGAAGGAAAGTTGTAAGTATTCTGCATGTGTTGCAACTTATGATAGAAGAGGAAGTTATGGAATGTGAAGCAGGAACTGGACTCACCTGCTGGGCTGTGACACCTCAGAGATGCTGGTTCAAGCTGCACTTTCAGCACTAAACACTGAATTTTAAACACCTGCATTTCTCAGTGCTTGAAATTGCTGAAGGTCAAGCACAGGCCAAGTATTTGCCAGATTTAGGTTTTTTTCTGCTTTGTTCCCCAAGAGACATTCTATTAAGTGACTGGGTTTTTTTTCCTCTTTCCTAGGTGTTCACCTCCCACGGACCCACTGTGATCATGCCAACCTGGTTCTGTTCTCGAGAGTGGTTTTTTCACGTGGGAAAATTTGATGAGGGGGGAAAGGTGAGTAACGTGGATGATATCCAGGAACCATCCCTTTGTTTAACAGCCTCAGGAAGCCCTAAACCTGTTATTAAGGAACACTAGGAGAAGGGGTATAGATGAAAACTGAGGTTTAAATAAACCTGGGTCACACCATGCACCTGTTTTTCTAAAAACAGTCATTAACCAACTGAAGTTGTTTGGGGATAACTCTGCTGATTGAATTGATTGTAGTTAAATCTGACACATGTTAGATATGTCAATATACCTGGAAAAATTAAAGGATTCAGACGTAAAAGCTCCTCTTTAGTCCCTGAAATAGATGCAGCAGATGTGAAAGCTAAAAAAAGGTGAGCCCATAGTTTTGTTATGAACTATCTCTGCAAGGTAAGGCAGGTTGGTGAAGGAGATTGGGAGGGAAGAAAGGTGCAGTCAGGATGACAAAGAGGTGAAAGTACATTCTCCTGAGGGGGAAGATTTATATCCCTGAGATGAAGAAAGAAGGGAGGAGGGGAGGTCACAATGTGCCATAATACTACAAGCATTAAATCTCATTTATCCACCTGTCTCGTATCCACTTGTCAGTCCCAGTTCTTGTGCTTGTCTTTGGAAGATGTTAAGGAGCTTCTCCTCAGCATCAGGACTGAGAGGTTACAAATTAAATGACTGTTACCTGAGAAGTTCCTCCCCTGACAATTGGGTGTTCTTTTTCTTCAGAAATTTCCTGCATAAGTTCAGTTCAGTTGCTTTAAGCTCGTCAGCATGTTTATGGAATAAAATCCATGGGTGTCCATTGGTAGTACCAGAAATATATTGGCAAATAGATCTAATTCAGATACATTTGGATCCATTCTGTGTGGTTTGGACTTGAGAGGTTTTGCTTCCAGAGGTTTTGGTGAGATTTTAGGGCTAGAATGGGTGGTTCTGAATTTTTTGGGGGGAGAAGCCTTCATTATTAGTACACTAAAAAAATCTGCCAAGGCTATTTTCTATTTTATTATTTAAACTACAACACATTATGATTATTATTATTATTATTGTTATTTTTATAGCCTCTAAATGAAGACCTTCAGTGCCATATAGTGTGTATATATACATGCACACAGGCATACACACATGTATATGTGTATGAGGATATACAAATATTATTCTTTGGGCTGCCAAAAAAATTATAATTTAAGGAGACAGCAGACAGAGAACAGAATTGTTTAGAGCAGTGAAAAGATTTGCCCTTAATTACTTGGTGGGTGAGTGGAAGAGCTGGGAATGCTGCCTGGCTCCCAATACAATCTACATTCACTGACCCATGCTCTTTATTTCTGTTTTATTATTATTTCTTATCATTGTATTTACACTCTGAAGAATGTTTGACTTCTCGAGCACTGTTAGTAAGCTCAAAAAAGAAAGCAAGCAAGTTAAAGCAGGAGCAACAATAGAGCAGCAAGCCTAATGATAAAGTTCAAGAGGTTAAGTTAAACAGACTATTGTTCTGTGCTTTTTGCTTTTAGTTTTGGGGGGGGTTTCCCTTTGTTTTGTTTTTTTCTTTGAGTTGTTTTTTTTCTATTTTGCCCTCCCTGTGTAATTGTGTAGGAACTGTGCCACTGGTTATTCAGCCATAATGCACTGACAATCTTAATCCCGATGATTTTGCAGCCACAATGTGTGGTGTGTCCTCCTAGTTTTAAAAATTACCAGTGATAAGTTAAACATGTTGTTTGTCCCTATTGTGAAGTGCCCAACGTGTCCATGCCCGGACTGTGGCTGATACAGAGGAGCTTCAGAAAACACCCTGTGAACAAGGGGCTGAACAAAGCAAAGGACACGAGCAATGAAGTCAAACCTTTGTCCTCTGTGGGTTTAGAGGACACAACATCAAGTCCTAAATCTTTCACTGTTTAGTGTTGCAAAGTATTTAGCATTGCTCCAACTCGTTCATTTTCATTTGAAAAGAATTCCTTTGAGGCAAAGGAAGATTTTTCTCTGTGTTATCAGTGGAGCTGTTGTAAACTATACTGAGGACTCTTCAGAATCATCCCTGTGGATGTTCTGACCTGACCCACACTCTGTATTAATCTGATCACGCCCATCTCCATTTTTGAGTTGGTATTTAACAGTGAGACCTGCAAGTGTCCTCTTGCTGCCAGTAAACACAGCAACAGGCCAACAAATCTCCATGTTTTGGCCTTCTCCGTTTGCTAAACTGTTTCAGTGCCAAAAAGCTGCATTTCTCATTTGAAATGAAATCCAAACACCTGTTCTTCATATTTCAGTGCTTAGAACAAACGGAGGGTAATTCTTCCATGGAAGAAATTGTGATGTGGTGTTTATGGGTGGACTGATAAAAAATACAAATAGATAAGCTGTGGTGCAATCCTTTTTTATTCCAGGTAGATATGTACTTATCTCTCCAGCCATCCAAGCTCTAAATGAAACAGATTTTAAAAAAATATTTACATTTTTTTAGAAATAAAGTTCTTTCTGGGCAGGATCTGCAGTGGTTGGGAATGTAGAGCTTTTAGGTAATCACTGTGACAATGTCCAAGCAGAATTCTAAATAAGATCTTCATAAATTGTCTCTAAGAACCTGACAGGTTTGTTTTATGAACTGATTAACTAAAATGGTAGAAGTGCAACCTCTGATAAATGATAATTAAAGCAGGAGTACTGAGAAGTAGAGAATTTTAGCCAGCTCTGGTGGTGTGCTGAGGCTGAGATAATACAATGGAAGTGGCCACAAGCCTATAAAGTAACATTTTAAACAGTATCCCCTGCTAGGAGGAGAGTCATGTGAACCACGTTTGTGACTTCTTTAGGAAACTAGAAGGAAATAATCTTCCTGTTATCCAGCAAGTCTGGATAAAGAGTGCAGTGCTTACTGCAAGTAGCAGGACCTTCACTAAACCCTTCAGAGCTCACACTTGACATTTAGTGTGGCATTACCTGCATGGCTGGCTTTGCTCCTATAATTTTTGATGTCTTCTAATAACCAGCACCATTGTTGAAAAGTAATAACTGTGTCCAGAAGTGTCTGGTATAATGTGAAAAGCACATTTTGAAGCTGTATCATCTGTTAGAGTGGGGAACTCACAAGTCACGTGCAGTGCTGGACGAGGTGTCTGTTATTAGGGAAGCAAAATTATTGCTTCATATGTTTAACAGGGCACTTCAGTGAGAAATCCTGAGTACAATAAGAGCTGTACAAATGAGCACTGTTAACCTGCAGACTCCATTCCATGGAAATGTGGAAAATTGTGCAGTCTTGGCTTTCTCCAGGCACTATTACTCTTGACATCTTATATGCCAAACTTGTTTCTTTCTCTAGAGTTTTACCTCAGCTTTGTCCCAAATTCGTGTCACCTCTGTATTTAACCTTCCTTTTTTAAGTGTGTGAGAACTAAAAATGGAGTGACAGCCTTAAAGTTCTGAACTAATCTCGAAGTGCAAACAGGGGGGAAATTATTCATAATGAGCCCCAGATGGAATAGAGTATTATAAGCCACTGGCCTTTCTGAATACAAACTGTGGCTCCAAACAAAGTGTCTGGAGCTCAGTTTTGATCTATTTTTGTGATAAAAGGTCAGAAAAACCAGGAATTGAGGAGGTGTCAAAATATCCCTGGGTGCACAGGAGACTGCAGCCATGCAGTAAAGCTCTGAGGTAACTCTGGAGGCTGTTAGGCACTAACTAATGCAGTTTTCCATTTTTCTCTGCCAGAGCACACAAATGCCATGCCCTCCAGAAAGGCAAGTGGTTACAATAATGCCTGAGAGGTAAAAGGCTAAGTAGGAATTTGGGTTTTTTGGAACATGAATTAAAATACTGTCAGTCTGTCAAATAACCAATCAAGGTGCTCTGGGGGAAAATCTGGATAAAACACAGGCACTACTCATTAATGCTGAACAGAAATAGATATTTGATCTAAAAAGGAAAGAAGATTGGTGGAGCCAATGATTAATTACACTTTATAAGCTATTTGAAAATTCACCCCATACCCCATGTCTAATTACATTTTCTGCTGGTCTGTTATTAAATATCATTTAGAATTTACCAGCTCCCTTCCATTTGACTTCCCCATCATCTTTGTTTAACTGAATTTCTCTGTGCAAAGGCATTTGGATGAAAGCAGCCTTTTGGAGTTTCCTCTAACCTGTTATTTCCAAACAATGAAGTAAATGTTACAGGCTTTGGGTCCTATAATCAAGGCAAAATGATGTAAAGGCATGATTTGGATGGGAGCCAAAAAATGGAGTGACAGATCTGCAGCAAGAAAGACTTAAGAATATATTGGATAATCCTGTAGAGAAGCTATTAACAGCTATTTAATTCTTTCCATTCACCAATTTTAAGCTCCTCTGAGGAATTAAAGCAATTTGGTATATTCTATCCAAGTTACCCTGATGCTGCTGACTGGTTTACAAAAGGAGTACCAAGTTATAGTCCAGTTTTCCTTGATGCCCCTGATCAAGAGGAAGGACTGAGCTTTTCCAAAACTGAAGGGGTTTTTTTATTGTGTGGATAGATATAATTCTCTTGTCTTGTTTGTCATCACACTGTTTGTTATAAATGTGTGTATTCTTGAAATCTCCCATTTTCACTGGTCAGACTGCTCTGCACAGGCTGAATCTGCACTGGAAGTGGGCAGGGAAGGGTACCATGTCAAAGGAGACTGAGAGGAAGCTGGATAGAGGGAAAAGAGGTGGATGAGGAAGGTGGGACACATTGATTGTGCCACAGAATCACTCTCCTACACTGGGTTTAGCAGTAAAAGGCAGCTCTTATATTGTGTTTATGCCTGTACAGCCTAATGGTGAGTTCTGTCCAAGACACCAAAAAAAAGGACTCCTGTCAGCCTGAAGTGCTGCAGAAGTTACTGTTGGTCATCCCAGGGCTACAACGTGATCTTATCAAGTGTTACAGCATTGCACAGAGAGAGTCACTCTTGCATTGTCCTCCAAAAACTGCTGATCTTCATCCCTGCTGGTGCTCCTCACCATTACTGATGGTGAAGCTGCAAGAATTGTAACCAGAATTGCTTGTTGTAGTGGTTGGAGGCTTGAACCTCCTTGGAAAATACATATGTTGAGGTGGCTGGAGCACTGTTTGATGGACAGTGATCTGCCAGGAGTGACAACAGTGAGTGATGAGAAGATGACAAGGGAAGGATTATTGATAATTTAGTTTGATCCCTGAACAAGAAGTTAGTTTAACTCATTAAGTTCTGCTTGACATCCCATGGTGTATAAAAGATCAGTCCCCTCATCCCTACAGCCAACCATCAGCACAGCAAGGGATACCTGCCCAAAATCCTGGGTAAACACAAACCCTTCACCTGTTCAGTAGTAATGTGATAAAGTAAACAATGCTTTTGCATGTGGCTGGTGCATTTTGGTTACAGCAGAGAGGGGCGGGCTGTACTTTTCACTGGGAGCTGGAATCAGTTTATCCCTGAGTGCAGCAGAGGACGTAGAGTTGGATGTTGCCTGTGATGTGGAAAATTCTGTATGTAGTCCAGTAACATGTAAACTGTGCAATTTAATTGTATCCATTGGTGCTGAAGGCTATTGATGTGGTAGCCCATTGCTAAAATGCTGGGTTGGTAACTGATAGTTTAAGCTATGGATATTAATTTTCAAAAAATACGTTAAAATATCCCTTTAGTGGTCAAACAGCTTTTCCTTTTGAAGTTGTGTTGTTTGACAAAGATTCCTGGTGTTTAAAGTGCCGTCTGGATCCAATAATAGATCTCAGTTGGGAAGAAACTCTTGTGTTGCAGCAAACTTGCACGCTCAAGAGCCTTAGGAAGTCCCATCCCTGCAGGATCCATAACACAGTCAACATCTTTCCTGCCCTGAAAAATGCGTGGCTGTGCTGCTCCTTTGTAATGTGAGAGGCCACTGCTGAGCAGTACAAGGCACCTGCTCCTTCCTAGGGCTGAGTGCACTTTATTCCAGAGTATTTCTGCCAGTTAAAGGGAAGCAAAAGAACACTTGGAACCAAGCAGCGTTTTGAAGGATCCTTTTACTTTTGCAGTAACTCTTCTTAAATATTCATATTAACGGTTGTCTTGAATAATGTAAATGCTGATCCTAAAGAGAAGGAATTGCTGATATGTGTGTGATGTAATCAGAGACCTGACTCAAAATATGACTCCTGCAGCAAACTGATACGTGCTGCAGAATTTGTGCCCTGATGACACGGTCTGGTGTGTGACTGGAAAAGAGAAATAGATTTAAACTTTGCTGCTGGCTCAGTATTTCCATTGGAGTCCAGAATAAGAAAAATATGGAAAGGCCTGCAAGATAAAAAAGAAATTAATTTTGTGTGTTTCTTGTGTTCTTGATGACTATGGTTGCTGTCAGCTGCTCCAGCTTCCCCCACATTTCTCTTGTGGCTTTCAGGGTAGGTCCACAAAAATTGTATGAGGTTCTCTAAAAGTTTTCTTCTGCATCACAGCTCTTAAACCAGAAGTCAGACAAACATCTGCAAAGACAGACAATAGCTCCATCTGAGCTGCCCTCGGTGAGCAGAGCAGAGCCCATTTCATTCAGAGTCTGGGACTGTGGCCCAACTCGATGTCTTACATCAATCCCAGAGAGAGCTCTGGAGCTGCAAAGTCCAGAACTGGAGTTGATTCTGATTTCTCTCAAGATACATATGTTCAACTGAGTGTTTTGGAGTTGCCTTTCAGGGTTCAGAGTTTTTTCTTGTCTCATTTCTCTTCCTCTCTAACACCCCGTCGACTGCTCAGCCTGGTGGGTATGAGAAACACTCCCTGAACTGTGTTGCTCTTGTAACTGGAGGGCCAGAAGAAACCACAGAGGGATTTTGTGTCCAGCACTTTAATTAGAGAATCTCATTTTCTTAATTATGGAATAAACTGAGAAAATGGGGGGAAATTCAATTTTTTTTTTTTTTTTTAAAACTCGTGCTCTTGTTATTTTTCTGGGTTGAAATAGAATGCCTAAAACTGAGTTTGAGGTTTATGCCCTGGTTATTCATGTGTGTGATATTGTCTACAGAAAGAAATGTATTTCAGTCTCCTTCCTTTCCTTTCCTTCTCAACCTTTTGTTGTTGTATTTCAGCTTTTTATTGTTTCTACACTGAAATATTTTGTTCGACCCACCTGGTTTTATATATCAGAGTTTTTTAGTCTGATAAAACCATGTGACCTTTTAAACACTGGGTTGGAGGGAAGAAGTGTCTGTATTTAAATGCAAAAAAATGTATTTCAAGAAGTTGCAGCATTGCAAAATATAAATAGATGCTACTTTTTTACCTTCTATATGAGGCTTTAAAGGTGGGTTTATGCTTTCATATGCCACAAAATGTAATTGAATACCACAAACCATATGATTGCCCTTCTGACGCTAACTCTGGCATGAAGGTTTTCTGATTTTTAGGTGGGAAATGTTGCAAATGATTGTGAAATCTCTAATATTTCCTAGAACCTGCTAGACCCACAATAGTAGGAGCTTTTTTCTTGCAGTGTTTCATCAGGATTGTGTACAATCCCATTAAAAAGAATGTACCGTGGAAGGAAGTTTCAAAAAACAAGTAGTTCTGTTTTCAGATGTTGCCTCATTCTGAGGCTGCTTTTATTCAGGCTTTTATTGAGGTCTGTTATTGTGGGGCCTGAGTCACCTTTCCTAGGGAGAGACCAGTATTTGTATGACAACCAAAGAAAGAAGGGGAATTCTAGCACAACATAAAAACACTCTTCTGAAGTCACTGATCCCTTTCAGTATAAACCATTTGGTTATGTGGCACTTGAGGCTGCACAAACTGTTCAGTGCTGGGTTTCTTTCATTTTGGATTAACCTGTACCAAGCTTGATATCCCTGTCAAAATGAGATGATGAAGATGATTCTTCCACCTCTGTCCTTGCAGTCAGCTGCACTTCATTTTTATCTAGCACTGCTTGGGTTTTTAGTAGCTTTAGCCACATTTATTTCACGATACATTAGATTAATTCATTGAGATGTACACAAACAATCTCATAGAACGGTTTGGGTTGGAAGGGACCTTAGAGATCATCCAGTTCCACCCCCTGCCATGGTCAGGGACATCTTCCACTATCCCTGGTTGCTCCGAACCCCATCCAACCTGGCCTTGAACACTTCCAGGGATGGGGCAGCCACAGCTTCTCTGGGTAATACCGAAGTTGTGTCTGTGAATAAAAATGACATTAAACCAAATTCATTTGGCAGAAAAACAAAGTGTCTTCAGGTGTAACTGAATGCTGGTCGCTGACTGGTGTGAAATAACTGCTTCTGTTCCAGGGGGTCCCAGAAGATCTGCTGTTTTTTTATGAGCACATCCAGAAGGGTGGTGAGGTCTTCCGAGTGAACCGTTGCCTCCTGCTCTACCGGTACCACCCGCAGGCTGCGACTCATTCCGTCCTGGAGTAAGTTGTGGGGTTTGGGAGAAATGAAAAATTGCCTTTATTGTGGTTGATAGGCAGCAAAGATGCTTAATGTGTTCCAGACACTGCACAGCAAAACAATTACCCGGTCGTGTGTGCGCGTTTGTTTGTTTGTTTGTTTGTTTAAAAAGGCTGAAGAGCAAGCATTGCATAAATATGTTGGTAGTTTCGATGGTGGAAGGTCAGTTTTCTGTTTGTTCTTGCTATAAATTGCTTTGGAGTATCATCCTGTAATGCTGGAATTGAAATTATGAATGGAAATCTTTTGGTGCAGGTCCTGCTGCCCGCAGGCTGTCGCTGCACTGGTGTCTGTGACTTGGTGAGGCAGGAATGGGCTGGGGGCACCTCAATATTTGGCAAATATTCTAAGAAATTGTTTTTTTCCTTGCAGCTGTTTCTGAAATAATTTCACAGTAGGTACTGTAAGAACAGGGGAGCATTTTGGGGGCTGCATTATAGCAGTGCTGTTTTCCCAGTGCCCAGTTACTCTTCCTTCAGGCTCTGCAACCCATCACGTGAGATCTCAGAACCTGCCTGAGTAACCTCCCTGCTCCTCTAAAGCACCTTTACAGTTAAAATTTAAAAATTCAAAATTTAAAATCAAAAACTTAAAGAATTTCTTGCCCTCACAGAAATAAAGAATCACTTGTGTGGTTCTATGCCTGATCTGATGAATCCCTGTTCAGAAGCAAAGGGTGAAGCAAGCAGTGAAGCAATAACTTCTTCAATACTTTGAACATGGTGGCAAGAATGTGTTTAAAATATACCCTAGTGGTGAAATTTTATTGGGGTTTTTAATTGGGATTTTTAATATGTGAGGGTTTCATTCTCATAGTTTTTGCCATGTCAAACATAATATAAAAATGTAAATATATATATAATATAATTTTTTTTAAATGGTAAACCTTAGTTTCAAAATCGCTGTCTCAATTTTTAAAAAGTAAACAGAAACTTGTAGTACCAACAAAAACCTCCTTCTGAAAGAAAACCCCAACAAACCCAAACCTTTAATCTGATAATGTGCTGCGTTTACATATATTATTTTCCTATTTTAAAGGGTCTAAACCATCTAAATCAAATGATGAGGTTTGAAAAATCCCTGAGGATGTTTAGGGTAATTATCTCAGGTGCTTCCTTGTAAGCAATTCCCTGCTGCCTTTCCAGGGCTGCTCAGCCCCTAAAGGAGATGTTAAATTACCTGTTGCTGATTCCTCTATGTGCTGCAAACTGAGTCAAAGTCGTTCCTGTCTCTTGTGCACTGACATTAATAGAAAATTGCATGAGTTTTACTGTTCTTCAGGAGTCCCACACCAGGATCACAGTGGTAATTAAGTAAACCTGTTTTCTTACTGATTGATGATATAAATGCACTTTTTAGTCATAGATGTGTGGCTTTGTAGAGCTGAGTAGTAAAACTAAAACATTCCTGTGTGCATTTTGATTGTCTATCACTATGTTATTGTATTGCTGTAAATACTATAACATGCTAAGCATAAATAGCACGTGATATAGGGATCATGATTAATGTCACTATAGATCTTTATGTAAATACATATATACGCCTATAAAATAATTTAATTATGGAAAGGTCATTCCAAGCAAATAGAACATATTATTTGGATTTCACAAACAAGCGTGAGGTAAATTATTTTCCTTTTTGTTGGTGTTTGAGGGGATTTTTTTCCCCTCTTTTGGTGTGGGATCATTCTGGCACTCAGTGACCAGCTTTTCAGCCACGCATCGTGGGACGCTGGAGCTCCTGGAAGCCTTTTGCTTGTGTCTGTGGGAAAGCATCCTTTTCTTGGAAACGGGTTTGTTTTGAATTTACTGCAAGCTGTTGCTTATCCAGATCTACAAGGTTGTGTGGCACTAGCCCCCTGAATTACAGCACACTGGGGGAATGTGGAAACGCTGGGAGCTGTTTCAGATGTGCGGTGGGGACGTTCCAAATTTCGCGTCTCGTTCTGAGAAATCAGGGGAGGCCGTTCTTCCCCTTGGCTTTCTGCTGGCCCTGCTGGTGGTGATGCTTGGTGTGAGCTTCCAGACACGAGGTTGTGCAACAGCTCTTCATCCTGGCTCGTTGCTGCCCACGTTGTTGAAGGGTTGGCAAGTGTCTGTGTCTCAAGACTGAGGTGCGTGTTGAGCAAAAAGAGATTAACGAGCTCATCACAAAGGTTTAAGTTTATAATTTAAATTGAGTCTTGCCTAACTCGCCTTGTGGTCACCCCACCTTATTTAATTTGCGTGTTCTGGCTTTTCTAGAAGCCTTTTTTGGGGGGGTTGTTATGTTGAGCAGTTTTCTGTGGTATTTGTCTTTCTGCCATTGGCCCGTGTCATCTTTGAATTTTGACTTAGCCCAGACCTGGATTTGGAAATAGTAACTCACCAACCAGATTAAGATCTTGTCTGAGATCAAAATTATGCTTGTAGGAAAGTTGGATTTTTTTTTTTTTAACACTATGCCTAATTTCAGTCTTAAACAGCAGAGCTGGTTACCAGGACTTGTTTATGCAAAGGTGCACGATTCCATCTTCTCAGCAAAGACAACAGTCACTTGTAACCTGTGATGGACTGATTTCAGTTTATGTGGGTGTCTTTCAGAACTGTGCAGGGGAAAAAAAAGCCTGACTTCGCTTTCCTAAAATATATGTACAACTACTTGGCAAGTGACATTTGGTTCTTTTTTTGTTTAGCGTGTATAATTGCAAACACTCACGTTTTTTAGGTCATTTCCTATGATTAGTATCCTTCTGGAACGAATATCTGGAGTTGAGAATATCTGTGAAGCAGGAAACACAATCTTATTTGCATTCTCCCTTACCCTGGGGGCATCAGTCTGTGTTATTAAGTGCTCTGGGTGCGTGACAGAATCTGCACCAAGTTCAGTGTCTATATTTAGATTTTGTTAGGAGCGTGCAGAAATATAGACATTCATCTCCAATCCAGGGTGGATACCTGCTGGATGGGAATGAGCAAGGCAAGTTTTGAGGATCTTTAGCCAGGAATTTACAACACAAAACCCCACACCTTGTACCTCTCGGATCTGAATGGCTTTGCCTCACGTTGCAGTTTGTGTCCCAGGGCTGTGTGTGCTCGGGGCTGCAGAGCCACGTTGCACTGGTGTGATATCAGAGCTGGCTTTGGAGTGAGAAGTGCTGGAGTAAAAGAGTTTGATGTATAATAAAAACACTGTAAAACTCACAGATCTTTATCTTGCTGAAGTGGAGAGAAAGGGACTGTATATACAACAGTGTACCTCACTGAGAGATGAAAGCCAGCTTGGAACAAGGTGAGCAATAAAACAGTGCACTTGTCTTTGGGCACCGTTGCTCACAGACAGGTGGTTGGGGAACTTTGCTAATCCTTGTAACAATATACATTTTTTTTAGTCAAGAAAAATTTAATTATATGCAGAAAATAAGTTTTATCCCTTCTGTCTGAGATTCAGGTGGTTGTGTTTCAGGCAGAAAAGGTGAAGTGCATCTACAAGGGCTCAGTAATTTCATATCCCTGTATTCAGAGCAAGTATAATATTGGTCTGCAGAAATAACCAAAATTACATAATCTATTGAAACCATCTGGTTTCAAGCACTGGAAGTTTCCAGTGTCATCTGAGCAAAGGAGAACAGGCACTTGGCCTGAAACATTTGGCTGTTCCAGAGGTGCTCTGGGTCTCTATCAGTGATGAGCACAGGAATGCCTCCTTCATTTCCTGCAAAAACATACACATCCAAAAACAGGCAGGAGAGAGGAATAGCGTAACATATTCCTGTACAGCTGAAATAAAGATGAGGTCAACTACATTTTTATCTTCCATGCTTGCATTTGGCACTTCAATTAAACATGGAAACTAATGACCTCATTAGATTCTTGAAAAGTAAATGCCATTAACATTGATAGTCTCTGTCTTTCTTAATAAGCCTTTCATGAAAAATAGGCCACAATGCAAACCATGCCTCAGCTAATGACCCGTGACCTGAGGATGAACTCAGACATTAATAGAACCTATTAACAGTGTAAATGTAATAACTCAGTAGGACGATATAGTCCAGCAATTAATAAGTTCACATGAAGTTCAACAGAACAACAACGACAAAAAAATATCAGTTTATTCACCAGCATGGCCGAGGTTCAAACGGGATTTATTTCTGAATTTCCTGTGGACTGTGAGGACCTTGAATTCTGTTCTTCCAGCTCTCACTGTGGTTAAAAAGTTCTCTGTTCTTCCACCTCTGGTTTATCGATCAGGTGAGATTCACCTATAATCCAGAACTCTCTTATCCTGCCATCAGTAAAAAGCCACTGGAAGGGGTTGTTCACTTGGGCAGCTCCTCTTCCTGCCTGGTGCCACCTGAGCAGTGTGGGGGCCAGTGTACAGAGAAAAAGTCAGATTTATGGATCTATAGTGTTACTGGGGATGGCAATCAATGCCTAAAATTCCAGTACTGTTTAGGACATTGGGCTTGTATTTCTGCATTTCTCAAGTACTTGTACATCTGTCCTTGCTCTGCTGATTCACTTATGTAGCCTCACTGGGGGAAGGAGGGGAAAGGCTCTCAAACAGTACGGTGAGGTTTGACTGAGCTCAGACATTAAATCATGTTGCTTTTATTGTCACATTATCTTTCATTTCAAAATAGGAGTAGAGCAGATGTTTCTTGACTCCTGTGTTCAGTCAGGAGGTCACCACACACTCTAACAGAGCTCCATTGTTGCATTACTTGGGTAGATGGTCTGGTAATAACTATTTGGGGCTGAGGAACACACGGCGTAGTCATTCTCACCCACTGCATGAATACCCTCATTTCACTCCTGCAGAAATTTGGCTCCTCTTCTTCCTTCCAGACAACATAACTGATGAGTATTGAGGGGCCATGTCAAGTGAGAGCTTAGGAAAATTATGTAAGCCTCAAGAATGGCTTTCCAAGTGGAAAAATGCATACTTCTAACGTTTCTTTTGTGAAGATGTGACAAGAAAATGAAAGAAACGGGGGAAATAATGTATTTCAAGAATTAGGGACATAGGGTATTGGGATATGGGAGCAAACTTGAACAGTGAGAAGTATTTTATCCCACCTTCTGGCTGAGGAGACTCCTGTGAGCTGAGTACAGGCTTGGAAATGCTCCTAAAGGCTACTGCAAATTGCTTTCTCCAGTCCTTTTTGAGCTGGGTAGGAAAAGCAGCCTTGATTTGGGGTGATGTGGAGTAATAATACCTCCTAGGTGTTGCTGGTGGCTATGAATGTGTAATAATGCATAATCTGAAAATAGCTGTGAGAATCCTCTCCCGGCAGTGGTTTGTCCAACTCCTGGATCGTTTCAGGCATTTGCTTTAATCATCCTTTGCACGTTGCTGCAGCTCCTGTCTGCTGCACCTGCACTGGCTCGGAAAGGGTGGGAAAGTGGCATTCCCTTATCCCTCCAGGCAGGAATCCCAGTTATCTCTTCTGGAAACATCAAAAAATGTGGCAAATTAGGTGAACTGGAAACCTGAGTGGGGGCAACCGAAACTCTCCCTTGACCCCCCCCGAGCATCTCTTGCTTCAACGTGTGAGATGCTGAAAACTCGCTGTGCACAAAGGTGAAGTCTGTGAGTGTCACTCTGAAGTCAGTCACAAATTCTTCCCTCAGTCCTGTATTTATCTCTGCTTGCACTGTTAAAAATATTTTGGTGGTTAATATTTTGCAAAGTGTTCAATATAACTTCATTTTTTCAATGGAGAAGAGTTGTAAGTTGTGAGCATTGTCATCAGAATGCCTCATAGTGATGCAAGCAAAACTCACAACTGGTTTCATTTTCACAACCCAAAATAGGTGCTTAAAAAAGCTGTTTATTGGTGCTTAAATGAAGCTGGGTGACAGTATTCTTATGTCTGAACAACTCTCCAATTAATTTGGAGTTTGATAACTTTTATGTCCTTTTATTTCTGAGTGCAGTTCCCTTACATACTTTTACCACTTACACTTCTCAAAATAACATTCAGAGGTAAGATGGGGCCAGTAAATCTGCTTCAGTCTGAAATCTTCTGTTAACAATGAGATTTGAGTTTTACCTGCATAGGGACTTTTGTGGCATAGAGGCTCCCATTACCTGGACATCAAATACTGTCTGGAAGAGCCAATACTGCTGTGCTGGGATCTCCATGACAATTAAAAACATTTTCTGTGCACCTGGAGGTGGATTGCAGTGTTTGCACTGCAACTAGAAATTAGTTGATAATTCTATTTATGCCTTGTAAGGTTGCCTGGTTTTTAATTTTGCTTTCTTAATGTTGCAAACACAAGTGGAAAAGAAACTTGCCGGTGTCACTCAAGCCAACAGAACAGGTTCTGAAATTCCTCTGGAATGTAACACAGTGTTATCCTTCTGAAGTCACATTTCAAAGGAAAATCACTTTAAAAACTTTTCCATTTACGTGCAAAGCAATAATCTTCCTTTTTAGAAGCGAGCAGAAGCTCTAAAATCTCTAGTAAAGCGATCCTGGAAAAACACTTGACCTTCATATTTGGTTCCTTTAACTTTCCTTCTGGGAATATATTATGCTCTAATGAACACGGAAAAAGGCAAGTGTCAAAGGATGCCAGCAGCAGTTCAAGCAGGAATGCAGTTTGTGGTTGCATTAGAAGAGATTTGTGATCAAATCCAGGAGTTTTTTCCCTCCATTAGTTGAAATGCTGGTCCATGATCGTCATCCTCCAAACAGGGGGAGGTTTTATATGGAGTAGCTGTTGTGCTTGGGTACATTTATTTGTGCATGAAGCCCTTTCCAAGTTACCACACCAGGGTCAGTGATGAAGTGCAAAGCAGGATTTGGCTTTGCTGAAGTGAATTGCTGGATCTAAGGAACAATCCCAGCAAGAGTCCCTTTGCCTGAGTGTTATGAGGGTTTTCAAACCCATAACTTGGGGCTGTGATGGAATGATGGGAATAAGCAAATGGAAAAACCCATTTGAAGAAATGCCTTCAGAAAGGAGACACAATTAGGTGTTCATCAGAATTTCCTATGAAAGAAAGTTTCAACTCAAGGTGCCTTGTTCAGGAGATGTAGGTTAGGAAGATTCATTTGTCAAGGCATAAATTGAGGAAATCAAGGTATTCTATCAAGAAAACTGTTTGTTAAGTCTGAGATAAGTTATGAATATTGAATGAACCCTGGACAGAAAGCAGATGTTTTTAAGAGCAGGCAGTTTCCTTTAATCCACTGTAAATGATGCAGTCCTAAACTTTACTTTATAGGGTGGAGCACACACACACACACATGTGGGAAGTGCTGTAGTTGTCAAAGTGAATTTGCCAGTTGGGAGGAAAACAAACTGCTTTCCTTGACATTGTCTTCTCTTTGAGAACCTGCCTTGAACTTACTGAAGCTCTCAGTGGGCCCTCAGTGTTTAAAGCTGTTGGCTGTTCCAGAGCCATGTGGTTCATCATTTGGTATTACTGTCACAGTTGTTTACCTCAACCACTTGGCTTAAATTATCTTGTGGAACTTATCCCAAAGATGAAGACATGAAGGTGTAATTGGACATAGACATCTGCCAACTTGCTTTTTTTTTTCCTGGAGCGTGTTTTAAGAAGTTTTATGAGACATACCCCTTCATCCAAAAAAAGAAATATAAAAAATTTCCACTGCTCTGCGTTCCTAGAAATGCAGTTTCTTATGAAAGTCGTCTTCAAATAAAGGCACAGTCACATTTGTGTCCCTGCAGAATAATACTTTGGAACTTTTACAATTAAATCACTAATAATAAATAATGTTTTGGTGTGATTTTTTTTTGTATTATGTGAATCACTTTGGTCAGGTTTACATGTAGGGGAGTGTATGCATATAGGGTAATAATAGATAATATTATATTTGTTTTATGTATAATAATAATATATATAATATTATTATATAATACATAATGCTAAAAGCTTCACAGATCAAAATCCACCCTTTTTCTAACTCTCCAGGGGAACCATCTGGAACCACCGAGTCAGATTCCTTGAGGACAGAGTCCTGAGCTCCTGGACATCATTCACCATTTGGAATGCTGGCAAGCAAGGCAAGAAACTCTACAGAAGTTTGTCACCAGCTAATAGGAAAAAGGTGAGCTAGTAAGTGGGTAAAAAAAATGTACAAACCCACTTCTTCTCTTTCCAGTGCCACTTCTAATTTAATGTAGCAAATTTCTCATCAGATACTTTGTCCACAAAAGTCCTAGTTGATGATTGATATAAATTGGGGCAATCCTCAATATTCCAGATGATGCATTTTTTCTTTTAAAATGCCATGTTACTTTATTTAGAGCTTATGGTGTGTACTGAGAGCAACATGCTGGTAACTCAGTGCAGCAGTAGGTGAGTTACACTGTATAGCAGTGTCTGGTCTGTAGTAGCCAGTACTCAGGGTGAGCAGAGTAACTCTTTATTTGGATGATGTGATGCTAAACTGCCTTGTCCAGGCTCGTTCATACATATTTCCCAGTTCCAAAGTGGATGCTGGACAGGTCCCTGTGGGATGCTGATCAGTCTGGTCGGCCCTGTGAGCAGTTGTGCTGTGACTCCCTTTGGAAAGCTTGATTGCCAAAAATCGGGGTGAGAAGTGGGGTGAACAGGCAAGTGGAAACTGTTGCACATGACTGTCCAATTTACAGTCCATTGAAAATGTGGAGGTTGCTTATATTTGGCAGTGGCAGACATTTCTCAGGACAGATTTGTCTGAGACTCTAAATACCTTATTTTTATAGCATTTTCTAGTGTGCAATAACTTTCTGTTAGATAAAGGCTGTAGGGCTGATGTCAGATGGCTGTTTCTTATAAAGAGCCACAGAACATTCATTTTATGGCTGGATGTGTTTTTCTTTTCTTAAGAATATGGATGGGAAGACAAAATGACAAATATATATATATAAACCTGATTAATGTGGTGGCCCTGAGACCACACACATCTGAAAAAAAATAGAAGACATTTGTATACACATAGTTAAAATTACTGAATAGACACAGGAGACACTCAGTCAGTCAATGCACAAAGCAAAAATTGAACTGAATTTCCTGCTTGATGTTCCAATGCCATTCCAAAGCCATCCCTCAGTCATTGCCATCACGTGGCAGGGGATGGACTGTAGGAAGAAAGGAGATTAAATGCTGTGTGTCCCCAGTCAAAGAGGACAGACCTGTCCACTCAATGTGTTACCTTGGCCATGCAGTGCAGTGTGATTTTGGGGGATTGAGGAAAATATTCTCTTTTGTTAGTATTTTGCTGAGCACTTTGAATTCCTGACTGACCAGCAACAAACAATTGCACTTCTCTGTCTGCATAATTAGGAGAATTAGAAAATAAGCTCTGAGGGAAGAGATGGCAGCTGGTCTGGTAGATTTTTGGGATGTTACAGTAAAAATAGACCATGTTGGTTTGTAGCAGTGTTGCATCATTTTAAGTGTGTTGGGTTTTTGTTTTATTTTGTTTTCTAGCTTTTTTTGCACCCAGCCAAGATGGAGATGGATGCTGAGGTAGAGCACCTCTCCAGCTTTGGGTGACATCTGTAGGTGACCCATTCAGGACTTCACATCACACAAACACTTGAAGGTGTCACAGCAGAGACGATAAAAAGGGCAAGAGAAAAATAATATTGTTGGGGTTTTGCCACTTTCCTGCCAGAGAACCCAAGCTCAGCTCTCCTGCAGGAGGGAACAGCCCCCACTCCCTGCACCCCAGCACGGGCAGTGTGGTTCCAATTAGCTGGATCCCGGCGTTCCTTCCAGCTGACCTTTCCATAACGTTTGCTTTGGCAGAGCTCTGGGCCCTGATGCTGTTTTGCTTCTGTCAAGGTTACAACTGCACATATTCCAGTATGGTTTGGGTTGATACTGAAATATTGCACTGAGCATTAACCCCTGAGTTACTGGATGCTGCTCCAGACACGTTCAGGACGTGCCAGATGCAGTTGCATGTGCCAAGTGTGACTCACTTTGCACATGTCCTGCAGAAAACTACTGCTAAAATGCAGGCACAGTGATCCTTTATACCTTATGCAGAGTAATCAGACTTCACCCTGAGTCTGATGTGTTACCTGAAGCATTAAGAGGTTTTTTCTCAATAACCAGCAAAGATAAATAGCTTCAGAAAAGGACTTGTGTCATCCCAAGTGAGAGCAGAGGCTAATTTCTGATTAAATTATTGCTCCCTGTAGTGATTAAAGCACTAGTTCTCTGTATCTGTTCAGGCTCATTGTGATTGTTGTTCTAAATTCGTGGCTTTTCCAAAAGTGAGATGCCAAGTCTGTGCAGCTCAGTCAGAGCTGACACTTAAATGATATCCTCATGGTTTGTGTAAGTCACTGGCAAAGGGCTGTAAGTAGTGAAAACATCTCACTTCTCCCAGAGCTAATCAAAGGATTATGCTGCTGGAGTTTCAGGAAATAAAATCATATAATTTGCAGTAGGTAATTGGTGGCAGTTTTAATTTTATTCTAAATTAATAACAGTAAATGGTCGGTAGAGAAACTCCATGTTCTACTTTCCCTCAAAAATCCTTCAGGTATTTTGTGACTAATCTGCAACTCTTGCCAAAGACTCTAAAATCCCATATGAACAAAGGTTGTAAATAGTTGTTGCTTCATCCTTTCCAGCCCTAAAAACAACAAAATACTTTTCCTGTCTCACCCTTTCAAGACCACCTTAACAAGATTTAAGCTTTCATATATTCTGTTAATTATGAGAACACTGGAGATTCAATATTACTTTGAATCTACAAGTAGAATCTCATGTTGTCTTGTAAATGGAGGGCCTGGGATACAAATTCATCAATTATGTAAAATTGACATCTTTAAAACACAATTCCAAAGCCCCTTAGGGCAAAATATGATTTATTACATTGATACAATTGTCATTTTCTTGTCTTGAAGGTCCATTGTGTAAAACAGTGTAGTCTTAAAAGGTCCAACACCCTTTGAAATGCAGGTAAAATTGCCAAAATTAGCTGTAAAGTGTAATTAAATTTATTTAATTTACCCCTCTAAACTTAATGTTAGTTGGTTTTATAATTAAAGTCAGTTTAGGCTCTTGACAATGTCACCTGTGCTCTGTTTGACTGTTGCTGCATCCTTTTATTGAGATTCAGAATTTCATTAGATGTCCTGAGCCTGACTTTGGTTGGACTGTGGAGTCACAGCAGGGTGTTTTCTCAATTGGCACTAAGTACCTGTAGAAAATTTGGGACACATACCCTGAGGATAGATAATACCCCCCCAAAAACCTATTACATACAGCTTGTGTCATTTTGTAATTCTGAAAAAAAACCTGCCCTAAACTCTACTAAATCTTCAGGAAGAGGATTAATGAGTTTGAACTGTCAAGCTTAGGGTGTGTAAAAAAACATCTTTTTCAAAAGAGGAATGTTTCTAGTATTTTTAGAAGCTGATAAACAAAGCAATTTTATTTCTTGTGCTGACTAGGTCTTTGTGGGATGTTTGAAAAGCACAGCTCTGTTTCATGCCAGACAGCATTGTTTCTTAGAAAACAAAATTTAGGCAATTCCAGGAAGCAGCGGTCTGGGTATGTTCATACTCAGTAACAAATTATTGCTTTAGTCTGTTTGGAAAACAGTGTGAACTTGAATTATGGTTCTGTTAAAAGACAAAAGGACACCTCAGCAATTCTCTCTTTTCCTTCAGCCATCTGTATGGTGAATATTAAAATGATGCTTTGTCTCCAAAGCGTTCAGGCAAAAATCCAAGGCTCAGTATTTTTGCTAAACAGCAACACACGAAAAAAATTATTCCACTAGTAGGGATTTTTTATGAATTAATTACCATGATCTCAGTATTCTTAGGGAAATTCTGCTTCCTGGCTGTTCCCTTCTTGATTCACACCACTGACAGTGGTTCAGTATTAGCATTTCTGCAAGAATGAAGTCAAACAGACCTTTTTTTGTTTAAAACACATCCGTCGTGTCTATAATTTCCAGCTGAAGATGGAAACCAAATGTTTTTTGGGATGCTACATGTGCCTGGAGGGTTTTCTGAGCTGTCTTGTCTGCTCTTTTATTCTCCATCAGACTCCAGCTAAAAGGAGAACTTCAGCATTAACGTTTAGTGTCATTTCCGAGGGCTGAAAATAGGGCTCAAATGGCTCACAAAGAAGGAGGGGAAAGGATGAAATAAGCACCAACTAATTAGTGGCCTGGAAACAGTGCTTTACACAGCCAGGCCTTGAAGGTTCTCTATGACAACACTGTCTGCTGGTGGCAAACTCAAAAGCTTCAGAAAGTACTTTGAAGGCCCTTTTTCCTGGTTCAGTGACCACTTAAAATCATCCCTCGGTTTCTCTTCACCTTTTTCCAAGAGCAGCATCACCAAACCATGTGATTCAGCTCTGATCCTTCACAGAACAGAGGAATGTCTAAGTTTTGTAGCATTTTAACCGCTCTAAAAGTACACGAAGGGCAGCAGGAGAGTGGAGTGGGGACATGTAAAAGAAAAGAAACACAGAATAATATCATACCCACCTTGACTGTGGAGTGAGAAGTAGAATGACAATGTGAAAGTGAGTTAAAAGCCTCCAGAACAAAGAGAGACAGAAATGACATGTGAAAGATTCAGTTAAATCCAGGTATAAAGCATCTTAAAATGATGTGAGGTAAAGTAGAGGCTTCGTTTTGGACTAGAGTAAATAGTTCAGGGTGAAATATGGCCAGGAAAGCTCCTTGCTCCTTCCAAAAGAGAAGATGTGCTTTTGGGCAGCCTCTGTTTTGCCAGCACAGAGATTTCACACCTGAAACATTCCTGGCATGACTCAGGTAGGAGGAACCTGCTCTAGAGAGATGAGACACTGGCAACAAGATATAAAGGCAGGTGTATGTTGTATGGAACAAGGGAAATTCTGTGTGTCCAGGGTTCAGCAGCTTATTTTGCTCAAATAAATTCTCCTGAGTGACTTTGCTATGGATCATGTGCAGAGGGGGAAGCTGCTGCCCTCCTCAGTGGAACAGTGTCTAAATGGAGCCATGAAATGCATGCTGGGGATTTAAAGATACCCACAGCTTCTGTCCTGCTGCAAGGCTGAAGAGGTGAAATAAAAGCAGCTCCTGATGCAGAGAATCACTCAGCTTGTGGCACAGAGTTGTTTGCTGTTTTCTGGAGATGTTTATGCCTCTGCCTGTCTCTTGCTCTGTTTGCCATTAGCTGTATCTATTTAAACTTGCATTGTAATGCTTTCAGTTGCTTTGTTTTGATGTGAATGGCCAGAATTGATTTCCCTTTTGCAGAGATGTGTATTAACGTGCTTCCGAGGCTTTCTGCAAGCTGGAATGGAAGAATTATAAATAGAATAATTAACAGGGTCACTGGGAGTTTAAAACAGCTGGAGGATTGTGTGAGATATGGAGAGAAAGGAGTAGGGAAGATCTGCTCCTGTGGGATTTTGGAGAGTTTGCAGGTTGTCTCTTTGAAGGTGGCTTTTATGAGAGCAGCTGAAGTAACGAGGAGGGAGAGGAGACAGTGAACAGGAGACCATTTATTGAAAGGGTTTTCCAGTTTTCTATCACCTTCTACTCAGTTATTCACTCTCCCATGTAAAACTTGCCTCTGGAATCCTCCCAGCTCAAGCAGACCTTGAGAATGTGCTGTAATTGTGTTTTCTTGCTTCCTGTAAGTGATGGTTACAGAGCTAAAGCAAACCACAGGTGAAAATAAGGTGAGGGAGTAAAATCCTATGAAGATCATTCACCATAAAAGGACATCACTGGGCTGATGAAATCTTTCAGTTTTTCCATTAGGAAATCTGAGTGGACTGGGAAGTGTGAGGAAACATTCCCTGCAGCAGAACAAGTCACTTGGGAAACAAACAATTAATTGTAATCATAGCAGAGCTCAAACAGGCAGGTAGTCACACCCCAAACCCACTCTGCTGTCATTCCTGGTGACATTCCTTGTCCTTCTGAGACTTCCTTGGTTGTATATTTGGAGGAGGATCAGTCTGCTGCCCATTAATCCTCTTTTCCCCAGGGAGGTCTGATGTCCCTCTGTGTTTATGAGGCAGATCCAGCCAGAGAAGGGCTTTTATCTTCCTCAAACGTGTCTTCCCCCAGCAGAGATTGTTTTTGAGTAAATATCTTATCTTTGGAGCTATGTAAACTTTCTCTATGAGGGAGAAAACTATGTCTCCTTTTTCCCTTACACCACTGTTAATGGATGTTGCAATCCATATTTATACAAATTGCAGTAATTCCATAACTTGTCTATAACAGATACCCAGCTGTGTCCTCCAGTTTTGAGCTGAATTAGCAGTCCTTTGTTTTGGAATTGTACAGATTTTCATACAAGTGATGTTCAAAACAAAAATATGTAATGATTTATATATTTTGCTGAAACTGAAGTGTGATATGAGGACTCTGTAAGCTTAAATGGTGTCACACTGTCAGAGGCATTGCCAAAGAGTCCTTTTACTAAAAAGAGGGAAGAAAAACAGCAAATTGAGACTGTTTTATGGCTTTATAATTCATAGGTTCCTCCCAGGGAAGCAGGAGTTCATGTATGGATAGATGGTCATCATAAAAGCTACCAGAAAGAAGCCCATTAATGCAGGAAAATAAATAGGTAACTCTGGGTTTATCCTGATAGAGTATAAAGTAAATAACTCACATAAGCCTGATGCCCTGAGTTCTCCTTATAGGATAAACAACTGTGCCTAAGTCCTGTATTTAGACTCCAGACATGGCTTTGCTTTAATTGGAAAATAAATAGCGTGTGTCAGAAAAACAGTTGACTTAGATTTTTGGCCACCCACATGGTGAACTGCCTGGCAGAAAAATTGCCCATTCAAGTCTGACCTGTTTTACACTACTGTAAATATCAGATTTTAAGCTGGCTGAGTCCATTGAGAATTACAGAGGGAGATACCTCAGTGGGAACTCAGAAGAGGGTTCGAGTTGTTTCTATTTTCCAAGAGAAATTTGTCACAGACTCACCTGTATTATTTTTTTTCTTGGAGCTACTCTTCCCAGTTTCATGTGTGGGATGTTCTGGGGAGTCAGGATGGAAAAGGCACTTGGCACTTTGAGTTATGGCCCAGGGTGAGAGGAAGGATTATGATTATTGGCAATTTAGTGATACAAGAACTATCTTTGGAGAGAGGGTATTTACAAGGGCACGTAGTGACAGGGCAAGGGGAAATGGTTTTAAACTGACAGAGAGTGGATTTAGGGTGGATATTGGGAAGAAATTAATTCATGTTGAGAAGAAGTCTAGGCACCAGTCAGGGTTTCTGTTAACTGCTGTAACACACTGGAGTTGAACACTGTGACACTTCCCAGCACAGATCTTACAGCTGAGTTCCCAGTTACTGACAGTGAAGTGTAGATAGAATTTCACTTTACCTTGTGTCATGAGTTTGGGTGTTTTATTTTGTTTTTTATTGTCTATAGGAGCCAGCTGAAAAAATAGCTTCAATTACTGGAAGATAAGTCACTGGACAGTGTTCATCTCTAGAACTCTGTTGGGTTGTCAGTGAGGGAACACCCTGCTAAATTTTATTATGATCACAGCCTCTAGGACAGTAAAATACTAGTGGTGACAGTGAGATTTGCAGAATATTGGAGAATTTTAAAGGTGCTTAACACAGAATGAAGAGAAAACAGCTAAGGAACCTCTTTCCAGTGGCCTCTACTTGCTTCCCTTCATGGACACAACGTATTTATATCCATGTATGTATGTACACATGTAAATAGGATGGGTAAAGGAAAACTTGGGATGTAGTTTACTGTGCTCAGGTCACACCATCTGATTTTTCAACTCCAGTAAAGCATTACAGTGGGCATGGAAATAGGGCCAGGGATGTAAAATGTTATCAGTTTGTGGTTAAGAGGAAAAAAAAGCTCCCCCAGTTCTTAGCCTGTGCTTGAAGGAGCTGCCTGTGTGTGTCACTGTCTAACCCAGCTGCACCAGCCACAAACACCTGGGACAGTGTCCAGTAATTCCCTAGTTTTGCCCTGAACTCCCTCTTTTCTTTTTATTTCCATTATAATGCCTGAAACAGGGGTGTAAAGTGTCCTCAGTGCAATCCCTGCACCAGGATCATCCAGAGCAGAAGTCTGGATCTGCTGGCCTGTGATGGGATTCCTTTAGTCACAAAGCCCCACCATGAACATTTAACCTTTCCTTTCCTTAATGTTCTGATCTTTATTTCTTTTTGGGCCTGTTTTCAAGCAGCCCATTTCCCAGGTCTGAATGTCTCCCTCTAAGTGGTTCCAGGGACTATCCCTGCCCACCTCCTCCAGTTTATCAGCTCATTTTCCAGATGCAGTGGTGGTTTGCAGCCCTATTTGTAATCCCTTGATACTTTTGTTTGCATTCTCTTCCATTGATGTTTAATGAAGGAAGTGATATTATGGTATCAAAAAACCCCAGTGTTTCCCTCTGCACAAACAGAATGAGGTCACTTTAGGTAAAAGAAAACCATCTTAATCACAGGAAGAAAATGTGTGTGAGAGCTTTTAGACACGGAAAACAAGCCAGGCTTTTGCACCCTTCTCTAACTTAATAAATTAATAAACAGCTGTTTGGCTTTTCAAACTTTCTCAGCAGTAAGTGTTGTTAATCAATTTTTAATGGAGCAATTAAAAAGATATGAAAGCTGCTATCCAGCTTTCAGCAGAATAATTGATTTCTGTAAGACCTCAACTGTCTCCACTGCTCTGCTTCAGCATAAGAGCTCCACATAGATCATCTGAACAGACCCAATGGGAGGCAGAGGAAGACACAGCTATGTTTATTTGAAAAAGTCTTCCAAAATGTTCCTGGCAACCTAATGGCTCAAAAAATAAGGCCACTGTGTGTTTTGGATGGCAGGCATTTATTCTGCCTGCATATTTATGAGGAAATAAAACACCATCTAAAATATTTGGCACCTCGGGCTGCAAATAATGCTTCCATAATGCCAGTAAGAATAACCAAAATGAAGCAGTAATTATATGTGTTTAAACACCAAATCTGCTGAACTTTTCAGTTGAAAAATATGAGTCCATATCCGTAGGAATTCCCAAACTTGGTGTGTTATGCCCTAGAATTGAGGTTGGTATTGCCAGAGCACCCAAAGCAGTGGTGCAGCACCACTGTCCTGGGGTGTCTGGTGGTACATTCTATTCTGCTTTATTATATAAAAGAAGGTTTGTATCATCTTGGGTGTTTAGTGGGAGTGCCAAAATGTGGAGACTGGTCTCTGGTTTTAGGTTTCTCAGCACGTCACTGAGGAGGAGGTTGGTGATCTCACAGATGTTCTCTTGCACAGTCAGTGGCTTTGATCACCTGTCCTCGTGCTCCTGAAAACAGAACGTGCTCATAAACAACTGCAGAGTTTGCCCAACTCCTTAAGGTACACCCAGAAAGGATTTAATAAATGTTTAAGCTCCGTAGGAGGCCCAGGGTGTGTTGCCCTATCCCTGTGTCCATCCCATGCCAGCAGCATTCCTTCCATGGTTACACTACAGGTGAAACCCTGCTCCTGAAATGCTCTGTTCCTCTGTTCCAGGTCATTGCCTTTTGTGATGTTGATGAAAAGAAAATAACAAAAGGATTCTACACTTACGAGGAATCTGAGGTGAGTTATGACCACTCCTGTGTTCCTTACTGTGACCTGGAGTGTCCTGGGAAATGTGATGAAGGAGTATTTCACTGATTTTAAATGTTATATAGCAACTCATTTTGGTAAGGAGGCTGTGAGAGAAGACTGGAGGGCTGGGGATTGACACTGGAGTCCAAACTGGAGCCACAACTGTGGGCCTCACACTCACTGCAGTCAGTTTGGAAAGACAGAAATCCAGACTCTGAATGGATTCTGAGGATGGGTAAAACACAGTCTTCACTGACAGGTTTTTCTTTTAAGTGGGAGTAGAATTTCGTTTATGGTGGATAAAAGAGAAAGGAACCCTCAAAATAAAAAGGTTTTGAGCAAGTTATCTTGTGAATCAAATTACCCTGAGGTTCCAAGATCCTTATGTGTGATGGGAGTAGGACTGAGGGAGGGTGGAAGGGCAGGAGGGGCCCCTCCTCGGGTACAGCTTTTGCTTAGCCTGGAGTAACTGTCCAGTCAGGTTCTGTACTGGGAAGCCAGGGAGTGCTTTGAGCTGCATGAAAGAAATTGGGATTCAGGACTTTGACCTGCAATGCTCAGGACTCCCTGCCTGCCAGTGTCAGTATGATCAATACAGATCCTGGGCACTTGTCTTCCTAAGATGTATCCATCCTCTCAGCTCAGTCATAAAGAAGGTTGTGCTGCAACCTGTGGTGAATCCTTAGGAAATTCTGCAGCTGGGATCCATGGGGAAGTCCCAGTTGGGCACAAGCCATTCAGTGACTTCCACGGGGAGGGAAAGATGCTCCTCCATCTCTGCTCTTTTGCTCTGATGCTCTCTGATGGCACAGGAGCTGATGTAGCTCACTAAAGTGGCAAAAAATCAATCCACCAGAAAAAGGAAGAATGTATTTTTGGGGGGCTAGGCTGTTGAAGCTGCATACCTTGCAATGGAATCAAAGAGGGGGTTGTTTAGGGAAGAGCTGAAAGCTTGGAGGTAAGGAAGAAGCAATGGAGGAGAGACCCACTCCTTTCAGCAGCAGAAAGCTCCAAATTCGGATCTGTGTGATGTGTAACTTCACTCAAAGAAACACAATTCCCTGAAAGGTGATGGCACAGGAATAAGGGACTGAAATGCCAGTCAAAGGAGTGAGGGTGGGACCAGCTGCACTGGTCAGCATGAGGGCTCTCAATAATCTTTTCTCCTTTTAGAGTTTAGCAGCTCCTAAAACCAAGCAAGTCACCTGTGTGTCTCTCTGCTGCCTTTTCCTGCAGGAGAGACCAAAACCAAAGGTCCCTGTGTGTCACTTCAGAGATGCAGCTCCACCTTTCATCATCTGTGTGAAGCTGGTGAGTGTCACCTGCTGTTTCACCTGCAGCAGCAGGATTTGCTCCTTGGGAAAATGAATTTCTATTTACTGAAAGTAGCTTCTCCCAGAAGCTTCTGCTATGCAATTGAATGGCTTTTTTTTTTTTTTATCAAATTGATTGTGCAGGGAATTATTTCAGGAATTTAAACCAGCAGTATTGGGTAAAATTAAGAGTAAGGAAAGGTACAGGAACTTGGATCTGTTGTACTTCCTTGCCCAACACCATTATAAACACAAATGAACATATGCACTCAGCCACCTGCTCTCCTTTAGTCCTGATATTTTGCAGCCCCATGTATGGCAAAGGCTTTGTTTTTTAAATCAGACCTGAAAAGCCTTTTTGTTTGGCACTGCCAGTTCTGAAGCATCCTCTGTGCCTGACTGTGGTAACTTATTTCAATCGGTTTAACTGACCTAATAACATAACTAGAAGATGATAAGCAGCAGTTCTTTTGCTGTTGTAACACAGTGTATGGGATAACACAGAAGCTTTAAGGCAAAATAGCAAATGCATTCCAGTTGCAAACACTAGTCAAAGACTCTCTGACAGTAACTAAAACCTGCAGCTACACACAAACACTGACAGTTTTAACACTGTCCTAGATCTGTTCAGAGATGGATTAGCTGAATCTCATCTCCTCTGGTACAGCCTGCTTGTAACTTGGCACTCCCACCCTCACCATCAACTCTGAGATTATAACTATGGGTTGTAAAGCCAGACTGAAAGTGCCTCAGGGCATTATCATGTACTCTTGGTTGATAAAACTCTTGGATCAGCCAGTAATATTACAACTAATTGAATTTTTCGTGCTACGTACGATTGGGGGTTGAAGTCCCCAGACAAAACATCTGTGCAACCTGTTCTAAAGCACATTTAATCTGGGAAGCCCTTACAATGAGACTATTATACAACATCTTGTCTGAAAACTCTGCTCCATGACTTCAGTTGGGATTTCAGTCTGTTTTTCCTCTGAGCATTTTCTGCTTGCTTATTCTTTACCAACCCAAGTTTATCCCCATTCTTCTTCTGAAGGAGGTGTCCTTTAAGGGGCTTTACTGGCTTTTATTTTGCTATTCTTGGTAGGGGATTATTTTTCATTTTGATACAGACAAAACCTGCATGTTTCTGTGCAGCTCTAAGAGGGTGATTCTGGAGATTAGATGTGTTTATTAAGTGGGTTGTTTACAAGAAGTGACTCTGTTGGCCACGTCCTTGGAGCAGTGTTGGCTTATTTATTTCTTCAGGCTTTGGTACCAGTGCAAATCCTTCTGGATGAAGCAGGAATCCTCTGATCTTTGCTCAGTTTGCATTTTATAGTGGCTTCACAAAGGGCTGGAGCTGGGATTCTGCTGTGTGTGTGTGTAAGTTTGTGCTGAGGAGGATAAAAGTGTGGCTGTATCTGGTCAGAGCAGCCACTGCAGAACCACTTCACCCAAGGGCTTGTGCTCTGGGTTTGCTCTCACTTGGAGGTAAAAGCAAAATACTTAGAAAATGCTGTATTGTGCCCTGTTTTGGCTTGGATTCCAAGGGCTGGAAATGAAAGGGGTTTGTATTTTTCTGTTGCAGCAATTAAAGTAGTGTGATTGTGTAAAGTTTTCAGAAAATCTGCTGTTAGACCAGTTATTGTGCAGCCCTGCCTGGTTCTGCCACCTCTCAGTCCTGTGCTTTAGGAATGAAAGATTTCTGTTTAACTTTCCCACTTCACTTAGCATCTGGGCTCTTTTATATATTTTATATATATTTTTTTTAACTCTTCTGTAGAGCAGGTTGTTTTTCCAGCAAGCTAAACACAACTGTTCCATACCCTGTGTGGAATCTTGGGTTTATGGAATCATTAGTGGAGGCTAAAGGTCACATCAGGACCTTCATTTCTGAGGAGAATTCCCTGTTGATGTGAGTGGCAGGTTCTGCAGCTGGACCAGTTTGGCATGTTGATAATCATTAAATATCTTTGACATGCTCCCAGTGTGTCCAGGGGAAGCTGGATGCACAGTCCTCCATGGGAGACAAACCTTCATTTCTAAACTCAGGTTCATTAAAGATCCCAGAGTAATTTTTTTCTAAATCCAATTCTTCTAGCCAAGTTTAGCATTCCACCTTCTTTAATTCCAGTTTTATCTGGATTCAGTTTTGTAACTTCCCATCCTAAACACACTCACAGTGGTGTTTTACATTGTTTAAACTTTACTGTTGCTGCTCTGGACCAACACAAGAACATGAGCAATCGTGTTATCTGCCTCCTCTGGTATTGTCAGCTTTAATTAGGTTTTTGGGGTTTTTTTTGGTGGCATTCCTGAAGCTCAGGAGGATTAAGGGCTCCAGGAAGACCCCAGCAGAAATGCTCAGAAATGCTGAAGCTGCCATGTTTTCTTAGTGACATCACTGAGGTTGCTCATGGAACAAACCTCCCCGGTTCCTGTCCCGATAACACAAGTGGGGGCTCAAAAGGAAACACCTTTAGCTCTGCAGAGTATTTCAGTTGCCTGATGAAAGGTTTGTTTTATCAGACAAGCTAATCAGTGCTCAAAATCCAGCCCAACCACTTGTTTTGTCAAAGTTGGCCCATTCTCTGCCAATGCCTGCACTAGGAAACAAAAGGAGCAGAGCTGGGCTGAGCAGCTACAGAGCAGCACAGGAGTGAGCTGATGATTTGTCTGATATCCCCCCAGACTGATCTGAACACTAACTTTTCAACAGACACTTAATTTTTTGAATGGAAACGTTTCTGAGCCTTGGCTTATTTGTTTAGTTCTGCAAATTGGATTTTCTTCTGTGGTCTGAAGAACTAAGTTACCTAAACTTGTTACAACCTGAAATGAATTTGTTTGATTGATTTAATTCTCTTGTTCTCCCCTTGCAGGATTTGACAGGTGGAGTGTTTGAAGCAAACCTGGACATGCTGAACCTGAAGGAAGGGATGGATTATTATCACTTTAACTAAACCCAAGGTGAGGAAGTGGAACTGAAGCTGTGTTATGGGTGCAGGAAGACCAAAGTCTTCAGAATTTTTTAGTAATTTGTGCTTCATTAATTTAATCTTTGGGCTGAGTAACCCCTTTCTAAGGGAGGTCATAGTTACACCACGGGTAATGCTGTGAGCTCATTCACATCACTCAGTTTGACTGCTAAACTGTATATTTCTAATTTAAATACCCACCAAACACAGCCCAGAGGATTACCACACTGTCACCACAGGGAAGCCTCAGGCAAAGCCTGAAGCACTGGAAGAGCAGAGAGGTTTTTGTCACACACTGCCTGGAGCTCTCACCCTTTCCCTGCTCCCAGGAGCAGCTGCTGGTGTTTGCCAAGGGCTCTGCACAGGGCCAGGACTGGGATTCAAGGGGAACATCCTTGGATTTGGGGCTGTGTGAGCAGGACAGCTGTGTCTGTGACAGCACCTGTACAGCTGAGGAGGAGGAGGATGGAGGCTCAGGGTAAAGTGACAGTGGGCAGTGGAGTTGGGTGACTCTTCTCTGGGACTGAATCAGATTTTAGAGACTGGAAGTCAATTGTAATTAATATCCTAAAAGAGCAGGATCATCCCATTTGCAGAGATGTGTCTATAAACACACACAGCCCCTGTTCAAGTGCTGGGAGAGTGGGATTTAATTAGAGCCATCAAATAACAGTGTAATTACAAGATCATGTGGCCTGTGCATTTGCCCTCCCCGTCACAGGAGTCTCACTAAAGATCAGTGTTGGAGCAGTTTCATTTTACAGGAGTAAGAAATAGGCTGACAGGTACTTGAAGAACTGATTCACCTCAAGTCTTCAGTAAAATAAAGCTCCATCCCTAAAGCTACTTTACCACAGAAACCATTTGCCTGAATTAGTTACATAAAAAGTAGTTAAGAGAGGCTTTAGCTGAAATGAACCTGGATTTTTTTTTTGTTTGACTGTGGCACAGGAGCAACAGATTTCTCCACTTGATGAAAAACCAATGCTTTAGAGAGCAGTGCAGCAGGTCAGGTTTAATACTCAGTGTGTGGACAGCAAGCACAAGCTCTGTTCAGTTGGGACATACAAATCATTGACATCAGAACAGACGGGTCAGAGTGACAGAGCATGACAAGAACCTGCCATGTAACAACATTAAAAACTGCAAACAGTGGGTTTTGGTTGCCTTCCTGTGGCACATCTGCACTGTGCTTTCAGACAGGCTCTGCCTCTTCTGTCCAGCAGTGTCCAGCTCAGCTCCTGCTGAGCTCCAGCGTGTCAGGATGCCATGGCACAGCCTGCTCCCATCCCCATGGCACTGGAGCCACGAGCTCCAGGTACAGACCAGTGGCTGCAGCTTCCTCATGCTGAACTCTGCCAGAGAGAGAGGAAAAAGAGAGGTCACAGGGAGCAGATAGGCCATTCCAAACTATCTGCATTGGAGTGACATGGGACCTACAGTCTGTCTCCCTGTGAATGTATCCTTTTATATCCCATTCTTCCTCTCGGGCAGTGTTGGAATCCTGTGCTTTGCACAACACCTCACTCATCCTGCTGGTGCAAGTGGGAAGATTTTTATGTTTTTTCCTTTCTCCAGGAAGGGCAGAGGAGCAGTGTCTGACCATCTGTGCTGCATCATCTCCCTGCTGGGTGGTGTCTGAGATGTCCCACTGCCAGCCTGGGATGCTCCCAGGGAACGAGGCTGGAAGGGCTCAAGGCAGCAGCTTTGGCCACTCCACGTGTTCTGCTGCTGGCTCAGGACACCCCTCCTGGTGCACAGGGACTCCTCCATGAGCAAACACCCCCCTGGAGCACATTCCCTGTACCTTGGACACCAGCTGAGGTTTGGGCACTTTCAGGAGGTCACAGAGGCAGTTGCGTCTCTCCCTCACCACGGGCAGTTCTGCTTCCCTGGGGGAGGAAAGGTTTGCCAGTTAATTCACAAATTAAAACCTGAGGGTGCCCATGTTCATACACAACATCTTAAGTGATCCTTAAGTGTTACTACTGGATTATGATGATCTTTTGTGTACATTTCAAATTCTAGGAGTTTTTGTTCTGTCACATTTTAAGAATAATGAAACATTTTTGTACCATCTTAAGCCAGATAACCCATAAATACACACCAGGTCTGCCACAGGTAACCAGTTGCTACTAAAGTGTCCTAAGACTATTCTTTTAGAGTTTTATATAAAAAAAAAAATAGCACTTATTCATACAACTCTTTAGACTACAAGTTCACTAATTTATTCTCTAACATTACTGGATTTGGAGAACACTATACACTCTCCAGAAGCTTTGTCCTGAAATAGAAAAATCCAAACCTAAAATATGTGAGGCTTTTAAAAAAGTTTCTGAAATGGCATCATGTCCATGAGATAATTTCTTCCAGAACTGTCAGTTAAAAAAAGCCCCCAAATGCCCCAAATCCCTGGAAGCAGAATTCTTTTCCATGTGGCAGAATCCTGTCCCTCAAAGTGGAATGTTGGGAGGCTGCTGGTCCTGCTCACCAGGGCAGGACATTTATTGGGGTTTTCTTAAGTAATGACTGTAAATGAGCAATTAATTACAAATTTAACTCTTGGCACATAAACAGAGTCCAAAACTACAGAGAAAAAGCAAAAAAAAGGCAAGTCAGAAATAACCTGAACTTTCTTTTTTTACACCTTGGACAACATGTCTTATTTACTCCTGGAAACCTTCCTGTGGCTAAACAACATGTATTATTTATAGAGTAATTTGTTTAAACTCTGCATGACACAATTGCATGATAAACTCTCTGTAGTCCCAAAAGGAACAAATGTGTGTATCCCAGTAATTACCATCTTCCCCCAAAATGAATTCTCATTTGGCTTCCTGCTCTTAGTGCTTGGTGTAATTCAGAATTCAGAATGATTATTTTAGCACTGAGAGAGCTTGAGGATAACAAGCAGCTCACTCTGACACTCAGCAACTGCTTCAAATCTCTTCTTCTGTAAACAGCCCCAATCTACCAAGATTAAACAATTAAGTTTTGAGTAAACGAGCTTTGTCTTTCATCTCAGAGCAATGGCCACACTGCAAGAGGGTACTCAGGGCCTGCTCCAGGCCAGAATAAACCAGGCACACCCTAAAAATGACAAGGTGAAAACACAGTATTTATTTTTCTGGAGTGGTTTTGGGGGAATATTTTGCTTTGTTGTAATAACCCCTTTATAAGCAGAGCTGAACTACCACTGCTTTTCCTGGATTTCTAATTTTGGCCCTGTAACCACCCCTTGGTTACAGCAGCCATCTCGTCCTGCTCCAGTAATTCTGTTAAAATGCTTAATGCAATTTCTGAGCAAGTCTGCTCTTAAATGCAGGTTTCATAAGCGAGCACTGAGTCACCCCAAACACAATCCTAAACCTCCATGTGCAGTTAAACAAGGAACTGTAACCACAGGCAGAATTGCTGGTAACCAATCCTTCAAATCTGAGACTGTTGCTCTAATTTTGCACTGGAAAATTCAGAAAAAGAGCAGCAGCTATCCTTCACAATAACAAACTCAGTTTTCTTTTCCCAAATATAAAGTTATTTAAGTTCCAGCACAGAAATAAACTGGAAAGTACATAAAAGTCAAACAATGTAGCATGGAGTCTGCAAATCTGTGATCCAGCCTGAAGGTGTATTTTGTTCTTTGAACTTGTCTGGGATAATTTTATTTCCATGAAATGTCAGTGGAGACAAAAAGCCATTTAATATAATGACTAAATAAATTATATATTTTTATATATATATATATATATATCTGTCTGTTCTCTTGTATCTACTGTGCTGTGTGGGGCAGCAGCCCCATGGCCCAGGTCTGGGACAAGGGAAAATGTTTAACATGGCAGCAAAAGTAATAAACTAAATAGTACCTTAGAAATCCATGTTCCCTCAGATCTCCAAGCCCTGCAGCCTTTTATCAATCTGCCCAGGTGATGATAATGCTCAATGCTAAAATATGCAGAAAGGGAAAATCCAGTGCCAAAATGCTGGGTCCCTGCTCCTGTCACAGTCCCCTGCCCTGAAAGTCACTGTCCTGCTCCAGTGGATTGTGCTCATGGAGAACAGGACTCTCTTCACCTGCCCTTGGAAGAAGCCAAAGGTGCAGGTAAGAGTAGGTAAAAAGATGAGTTACATTCTATAAAGTGGTTGTTTAATTCATGGCATCGTGTGCCTGGGAAACATCTAAACTGTTCCAATTCCAAATGGTTGCTTGAATACAGCACTTGTAGCATGTTGAGTAATTACATTTCATGGGAGATTTGAGCTGTTCTGCTAATTCTGTTGTTTTCCAGCTTGCAGAGATCCTTCCTTTCCCCAAATCCTGCCATAAATGCCAAGAAACTGTCTGTGCAGTTGCAGTTTGACTGTTTGCACAGCCCTGTCTCTGTTTCATGGAAAACTTCCAAGATTTCCTCCCTTTTTATGCTGTTAGAAAAATATAGGTATTTTGCTTTATCTAGTGGTGATTTTACACATCCTATTTTCAGTGGGAGAGTGAATTGGATAGTTCTTTAGAGCAGAGGAATTCCTTGCAGCAGTTCTTTTAAATGCATTAAATAGACGAACCTACGGAATCATTTCTTACAGCTTCCTCCCCACCAGCTCTCGAAGGCATCCATCAAACTTCTGTTCATTCAGAAATTATTTCAGCTCTTATTTCTGTCTGGCACAGCTGCACTTACCAGTTGGTGTCACTGAGGATGGCCATGACCTCGTCCATGATGGCAGGATCCACCACGTCGCCGTAGGTTATCAGCATCTCGTACACCTGGCTGGCCGTGGTCTTACGGATCTGTGGGGAAGGGGGCACAGGCAGAGTTAGGGAAGCATCCACAATCCCTAGGGAAGAGCCCAGTGCTGTCACTGGAACTGGTCCCTCAGACTGGCTGTCATGTTATGGTGGACGCTGAGTCCACTCCTGCCCCTGACAGGGATTTGCAGCAGGAAGGGACCTTGTGTTTGCACCTCAGGGAATTCCATGTCTGCACCTCAAGGAATTCCTACAGTTTCTCCCTAAATCCTTCAGTATTTCCCACCTGGAAGGCCACAGCTCTGTCTCTCACAGGGAATGAATTCAAACATGTGAGCCTGGCCCAACTGGAACATTCCTTGCAGTGACTCACTGAGCCAAAGCCTGGCTCTGTGTTTGCTGTAGGCTCATAAAACCCACTTCCCCGTGTGGAGATTGGAAGAATCAGCAAAACTCTTGGGAAAACTGCTGGGAGATGGCATCAGCCTGACACCTGGCATCAGCCTGTCCTGCTCTGGGTTGTGGAGCAGTTCCTGTGCCTGTTCTTTTCCCAGAGCTCAGGTCAGCAGTGACATTGGAGGGGGCACACACAGAGCTGGCCAGGTTGGCTGCTGAAGCACAACAGGTAGAAAGATGCTAACTGGAAGACAGCAAAATTCCAACAAAACCAATTTTTTTTCCTCTTGACAAAAGCCTGATGGTAACCAAAGGAAGGCAAAGGAATTATAGTGTGATTTCTGGACTAGAAGTGCCAAATTAAACTGACCCATCTGCAAAAACAAAACACATTTGTGATGTAAAATACCCATAAAATGTGAAACTGAAATGATCTCTCCCCATTTCTTACACTGTGCCCCTCCAGCAAAGGATGCCTCATGGAGCAAATACACACAACATGGAAACAGAACAAATTTCTTTTCCTTGAACCAGAGCTGCTCCTGTGTTACTACTCTCAGAAGTATCACAGAACTAACAGTAATTTATCTGCTTGGAGCTTTCAGCACTAAATGATGAGCAGATCTTCCCCGTGCTGGGGGCTCTGTAACAGAAAGAAATGGCTGAGCCACCTGCCTTGCTCCCAGTTTAACCAGTAAGGCCTGGAGGTGGAAGGGCAGCACATGGGACACAGCCAGGGACGCTGCAGGGACACCTGAGAAATAAAACCTGTGTTCTATACATTAATACCTGTTAAAAAGAATGCTGCTTTAATGCACTTTACATTAGTTTTTATTTGTATTTTAAAGAATAAATGGATAATATGCAAAGTCTTAAGTACTTACTATAGGAAAGGGATGGCAAAGGAGGAGAAACAGCTGAAAGAAAACTTTCTCTCTCATGTCTCCTTGGAATTGAATCAGGCCACAAAACCTAGAAAACAAATGAAGAAGACCAGATCTTGTGTTATAACTGCACAGGTATATTTTGGGATCAGGATGAAGATATATTGGGAAAAAGGATGGGAGGGGGAGATGTGTTGCCCCCAGGAAATCCCAACTCCCAGTGCTGTGGGAAAGCAAACACTGAGGGTGAGTCTGGGAGGTGCTGATGGGTGACTGGGCTGCCCCAGGCTGTGCCAGGTACAAATGTGGGGTTAAACTTGACCAGCAGCACCAAAATCTGTGCTAAAAATCACCTGTGAAGCAAGTTCTGCCATGGACAGTGAGGGCAGAGGGAAGGCTGGGCATGGAGGGGGCAGGTCAGGGGGAAACACAAACCAGAGACAAGAGCTATGGCTCATTTCAGGCTGCCTTGCACTCTGAAACTGCTCCCAGTAAAGAAATAAAAGGACAGTCAATAAAGTCACTGCTTGACACTGTTATGGGATGATTTTGCCAGGTTTCTGCCACTGAGTCTGCTCTTTTCCCCTCCTCTCCTCACCCAGCACTGTCCTTCCCAACTGGAAAATTTTGGTTTTGCCCTCTCTGCTGCCTGAGCTGAGTGAGGGCTTTTACCCCAAAGCCAGACACTCATTTTGCAGATGTTTTCAGTGCACATCTAAGACCTAATGAATAAATGATATATATTTGCCATTGGCACTGTGTCAAGCTCTCTACAAAGAAAAAGCAAACGATTCCCTGCATCTTTAGGAGCATCAACATTTTAAAAGTTGTTCAACTGTATCAGATCACGTTTCACCCCAACCACCCAGAAGTACATGACACTCTCACAACCTTTGCTCACATGTATTCATGTGCATTTTTCATTTGAATTCCACATGAACTAGACCCAGCTGTTACATCTGGTGATTTAAATATCCCTCACTTTCTGTGAGGAAGGATTGATTCCATTGACTCACACTCCGATGCTGGAGCGAAGCTTCCGGATGTCTTTGGATCTTTTGATCTCTTCTTTACAGAGGGTGAACAACTTCACTGGGAAGGGGTGGCTGAAAAATGGGAAAGAAAAAAAAAAAGGTGAGCAATAGGTTTCAGTAGAATTTCCAAGATAATTTAATGACTGTCAAGATGCCAGATTAACTTTCCAAGGCAAGGAAAGAACCACTGTGGGGTAGAAGGTGCTTCCTCCCCAGGAGCTCATCCTGCTTTGGGAGGCCTTTGGTAAGGACACAGGGGAGTTTGGCCATCATGTTACTGGACCTTTCAATTTTTAACCTGGCAGGGAAGAACTTACTATTAATTATTTACATTGCTACTACCTGTGTGCTCAGGAGTGAACTCCTTTTAGCCAGAGGGATCCAGCCCATGCAGGATAACTGGCTCACCATGGCTTGTGTTCACACCAGAGCGTGGTACAATCAGCAATGCTCTGTCAGGAATTACAATATCCCACAGCCAAATAACAGTTATTTAGTCTGTGTATCATTGTGGTGCCTTGGTCATTCCCTGAGGTCTCCAACCAAACTTCACATAAAAGGGGATGAATGTTGTTCTTAACTACTCCACCATTTCAGAGCCGAATTCCTTCAGTGATTCCAGACAACGTAATTAAACACAGGGCTCACAGTTCTATTACGTGGACGAGCCATGGAGCCATCTTTAAATATATTTAGCAAATTCTTTTCTTTTTCCACACAGTCTGGGAAACGTGATTCTCACAGCTCTTTCCCAGACACTCGTACAAACACAAGTACTGTTAGTTATTCCAAGGATCTATTAAAAAGAAGGAAAGAGGGACTAATGCTTTTATTTCAGTTCAAATTATTTAATCTTTTACTTGCTACACTCAAGGCTGAAGTGCCATAGATGCAAGAAGAAACTATTTCATATTTGTCTAGTGAGCACAATTACTCCTGGGCTGTGTATTTTAGAAACCTCCCTGCATTGTGTATGGAAAGCAGAAAGCAAAAATAGTAACATTCATTTTCTGCTACCACGTTCAAAGCTGTGGATAAAAACTCCTGAAGAGAGCTGGGTACTGTCACCTGTTGAAAGGCAGAACATTTAAAATGAGATGTTTCCAGGAGTACCAGGATGTTTTGTTAAGGTAATGCACCTTGTTCTATAGAGTTTTCTGACAAGAGTTAGCAGGTTTTGATTACTTTTTAAAAATTCTTAACAAAGTCCCAGCATGAACTGATAAATGGTGACTTGGTTAAAAAATGGAACAACAAACCACGGACCCATCAAGGTAAAAAATGTGTCAACACGTGGTGAGAATGACAGATCATGAATGAGGCTGTGTGTCCACAGGCATGGATTTGTCTGGGTGGGTGAGGGAACTGCTCCCTGAATGCTGAGGTGTGTTCTGGCTTACCTTGGTGGAACTCCTCCTCCTCCCAGCCCCAATTACACAAAGACCCTGTGTAGACAGCTAATTACAATCCCTGCAGTGCATGCCTGGCTCTCAGCACAGACCAGGCAATGTAGTGAATTAGGTGAGATTTAAACCAGTTGAACAACAGGGACATCACTGGGAAGTGGAGCAACAAAGAGACCAATTGGAACAAGAGCATCTGGAATAAATTTAACACACGGAACCTCACGAGCAGCATTTTGTGTTAAAAACAGATGCACTTTCCTTTCTGTCAACTGCCAATTCCACATTTGCAATAACCAAACCTAACCTATGTGTGATCTCAGATGACTCAAATAGCTTGGCCTCTGTAAAGGAAATTGAGAAAATTCCTTCTCCTGTGTGGGCACTGTGCCAGCAGGAACAGCGTCGGCGTCTCGGGAAAAGGGATCAGTCTGAAGTCTCTGCATTGATGTAAATTGGGCACACGTGGTGCTGCCAAAAGGTGCTGGTTTTCCCTTCTCCAGGTGAACTGGGTTTCAGCAGTGCCACTCAGGGTAGCCCTGGAACAGCCACCAGCCACTGCCAGATCTTTGCTTTATGGCTTGTTATGCAATAGCAGTAGAACTGCTTAAAAAAAATCCACAGGAGCACATAATACATAGAAATCACCAGTTGGAGATCACACACCATCTTACAGCACTGCAAGATCACCAGAAAAAGTATAGAGAGACTACCTGAATGCTTCTGTTGAATATGTAAAATACATACAATGAGAAAGAGAAATGCCACTACTACTCCAGAAAGCATTAGACCCTGAATTGTCATTCCAAAGCTGTTCTGTTCGTGTGGCACTGGTTATTAGACCCATCTCACTGTGCTCCTAAGGAGCCAACAATCCGTCTGGGCTCTGGGCAACCTCAGCATCTCTGGTGACCACTCACCCACTGGAGCAGCAGAACTCTGCAGCCACAGGAGTCATGACCAGTGCCAGCTTTGCCAGCAGCCTCAGCTCACTGTCCTTTGTCCTCCCTGTCCATGTCCCACCACCAGCATGAGCTGACAGGTACCTCTGTGCTGGAAGAGCAGCCACTGTGAGTTCAGAGCAGTATTTCCAAGAGCTCAGTTTCAAGGTGTGCCCGTTGCCTCCAGCAGTCCCTAATCCATGAACACTCCCTACACTGTCATGGGTGCAACTCCACAAATTGTACAGAGGGATGGGATCAGGAGGTTTGGGGTTCATGACCAGGAGAAGGAAGGACATTGCAGCTGAGACCTGCTGCCCTGTGGGGCTGGGAGGGCACACGGGGCAGGGGGAGCAGCAGGTGAGGGATGCTGCAGCATCACCAACACTTTGGTCCAGCTCACACCTGCCCTGCTGCCCAGAGCAATGGTTTGCCCCCCACTTTCCTCCACACACCCTTCTTATTTTGGCCCAATCTGTGAGCACACAGCAAAACAGACTGAGGAACCACCTCGAGCTGACTGGGAGAAAGGCACTTTCAACCCACTGCAGTTCTCCAGTGCCATTCCTCATGCAGTGATACAAACCACTCCAGGGCAAGGGAGGGGGAACCTCTCATGCTGGTCACACAGGTTTTTGTCACCTTAAGACAAAGAAGAAATAACAGCCTGGAAAACGACAGGCAGAGCTGCTCTTTTCACACTACAGCTCAGACTAAGCCAGGCACAACAGAGAAACCGGTTCCAAAAGCCTTTTGATGACCCCGGTGACACTAAAGCTGATTCATTTCCAACCCTACAGGACAGGTATTCACCCCACACTTCCCAGCCCTGCTGGCAGGTTCAGCAGGGCCCTGGCAGAGCAACAACCCCACATGGCAAATGCACCTCACTTAAGCACGAGCATTCAGGAGAAAGGGGCTCACTTGTCCTCCTGCAGAGATCACACACCAGGCACACAGAGCTTCCCCAACACTGAGATTCAGCTGAGAAACGACACCAGAAATGTCCAGCTTTGTATTCCAAACTTTATGAGCTGCAGGGTGTGAAGAGGCAGGAAAATGCCCGGCAGGTTCTGCCTGTGCAGGGCAGGAGTGACACCCTGTGGCAACTGGTTTTAACTGGAGCACTGAGCTCCTCACAAGGATCACACTGATCCAGCTCCTAATCCTGGTTAAATTAAGCACTGCTGGATATTACCCACTTTGGACTGCTGATGTTTTATTAGAAAACCAAGCTCCAGGACAGTGCACAATTTCCATTTGAAACTTCAAAATGCATTTGCAGATACCTTTTTATAATGTGACAGTTGCCTGTTAAGCTGCTGGTTTAGGCATAATCCTGATGCCAGACATCCTAGATCCCAATTCCCTTGCTAAAACTCTACGCAGACCAATGTGGTAAAAAACGAGGGAAGGAGATTAAATGGGAAACAAACACCACAGGGAAAAAGACAAGCATGTATCTCAACCCTCTTACTTCAGTCACACTCTATCTGAAAACTACCTGACACTGCAGGCACAATGTGGCCTTTTCAGGCCACTGAGACGTGTCTCAATTTTCAGGCTCATTCTGTGCTATATTTCTCAGAGTCAGGATCAGTGTTTCCATCCCTAACTGCACCCAAAGGACATACACCAGAGTAACAAAATGCACACGTTGCCCTAATGTAATTTTGGGCTCATCCATCCATGTGCTGATCCACACAGGGGCTCTGAGAGCACAGCAGAGCCCGGGGCATTCACCTGGCTCCCTGTGAAGGATCCACAGTAACTCACTCATGGTCACCACTGCTCCAGGAGGCACCTATGTGACCAAAACACTGTCACATGCAGGAACTAAACCCTCCATCTTTTTTAGCTGTCTCCAAACTCTCCTGAGCTCTGCCCTTCCAGGACTCTCTACAACAACAAGTTCAGGCCAGCACTTCACTCTCTTGACATGAGAATGATCCACTTGGTTGTTTGATTATTAATTTTCTTCTTTGGTTTCATCATCAAACTGGAAGAAATACCTCAGGATCAGCTTCAAAATCTTTCCTTCCCAATCACCCTGGTTTTTATTTCAGGTCTTTTTACACAAAGCCTCACAAAGGCACCACAGGGTTGTGTCTTTGCCACACAGCAAAGGCAGCGATGCCACCACGTGCTTTTTGTTTAGTGACCCCTGATGTGGGAGACAAGACTTTACCTGGGATTTCCACCCATAATCTATCACCTTCCCCAACAGGGAAGTCTGGAGCCTGTGTGGAAGCCCCAGATCCTTGGCATGATTACAAAATGAACAAGTAATATTCATTCCATCTGTCTTTGACTCATTTTAAATTCCCATTCAAACAGAGACTGCCAAATGCAATTTAAGAAAGATTATCTAAAACCACACTTCAAGACAAGAGTAGGCTCAATTAAAACTTTAAGAATGATAAATGCTTTTCAAATTTAGCTGCTGTGAGCAATTCTTGAACCAACAGATTCCCAGTCCTGGATATGTGCTCATAGGATCCACGTTGTACAATTCTGCAAACATCTGTAGATGTGCCAAGATGCTGCCTGGGAGAGCTTGTGGAATAGATTTTAATATTACTGAAATTAAAATAATTCTTTTCTGAAACATCTGCAAAAAAATATGATTTCATATTGGAATATCTTACTCATGCTTATCCATTCCTGAAGTAAATACTTTCCAGAAGACTGAACTTGGGAGGGAAAGAGTTGAGACGTGCCTTTTTTATTATTCCTATTAGAATCTTAATTAACTTCTTCAGAGATATTCACATTAACCAAGGCAGTGGGACTGGGGAAGTCATAGCTTGTAGGCACACACTGTTCTGCAGCATCAAACCAGGACACTGCCAGTGCTCAAGGCTCCCAGTACAGCAAGAAATGCACCCCAATGGCATGGATTTAGGAAGCTGGAGAAGGCAAGAATGTATCTGATACTGGTCCAAGTATGCCATGTAAAACATGTAAACTGACTTTGATTAATGTCCTAGTTGTTAAACAATGAACCAGTAACTGATGTGAGAGTCACAGATTTTATCGAGAGCCTTTCAAGGGTCTCAGCTGTCCCACTTCAGGAAAATGAAAACACTACAGTATACACTCACATCTGGAGCCCTGTGCACCCACACCTAGAAGAACACTCAGCAGCACCCAGGGTAAGATTTAAGAGGCCATTTGGATGGTGGAAAATAAACCAAAAAGACACCCAGCAACTTACTTCTCTTGCTCAGTGAATGTGTCGAAGCAGCCATTTGCCAGCAGCTGGTCCAGCATTGTCAGGAGAGGCACAGACACCCTGAGGAAAGAAAATGATTCAACAATGTAAATACATCCCCTGGCATACAGATATACACTATTTTTAATCAGAAGCAAAGAAAGAAACATCCTATGTGCCTACACATATTTAAATTAGAACCCTGACTTACACAAGGAGGGTTGCTTGGGAACTTGTGTGTGTTGGCTGAACCACCCTCCTTGGCTGAGGGGACACTCCCTCCCAGCCAAAAGGAAAAAAACTTATTAACAACACTCCTGTTTTACACTTGCAGGGTCCTGAAAACACAATTAACAGTAGCAGAAAAATATTAATTTATTTTCTAGAATATAAACAATGTATTCCACAGACTGTGTCAGAAGTTACAGCACCAAATGAACCAACAAATAACCACAGCCATGTTTTCATTTCAACAGTTAAGAAACAAAATACAAATAAAATAGCGTTAGGACAAGGAGGAATGGCTTCAAATTGAAAGAGAGTACGTTTAGATTAGATGTTGGGAAGAATTCCTTCCCTGTGAGGGTGGGGAGGCCCTGGCACAGGTTGCCCAGAGAAGCTGTGGCTGCCCCATCCCTGCAAGTGTCCAAGGCCAGGTTGGACGGGGCTTGGAGCAACCTGAGAGAGTGGAAGGTGTCCCTGCCCATGGCAGGAGGTGGAACAAGATGAGCTTTAAGGTCCCTTCCAACCCAAACCACTCTATGATTGTAAAACCTGAATATGGAAAATATTTTACCGTCACCCCTTGGTTACACATTTTACCAAAGGTCGTGCTGTTCCAAAAACCAGATGTGTTAAAGCAAATGCACATGGCTAGACACACCCCATCTGGGCAGATTTAAACTGATGTGCCACACATCTGACTTCCAACACCTGCTGTTGAAGGGAAAAAAGCCAAGGAAATCCATTACCGGTCATTCCGCAGGTTGTCCTCAAAGACCTTTAGCAACGTCTCACAGAAACTCTCCAGAGCACTGGGATCACCCTGGATTTTCTTCATGTAGTCGAACAGGCTCTGGGCAGAGTATCTGAGCTGGAACAGAAGGAATCTCCAATGAAGGACAGGGAAAAACCCCACTGCCACACACACAGACACTGGCTGTGCAGGACTGCCTTGTCCCTGCCCACTGAGGAGCAGGGACAAGGGAACTTGTCCCTGCACTGGGAACACAATTCCAGCAGCAGCCACATGTATAAATTACAATATCCAACAGGACCATGGCTACTTTACATTCAGTAATCCTTTTTCAAGGAAGGTTTTTTTAAACTTTTTAAGTTTTGCCATTGCAGGAAAAAAGACCACATTAAAGGTTTGTTATTTTTTTTCTCCCAAAACAAAACATCCCCAAACCACTATGATTATCCTGCTTCACTTCAAGTAATAACACTGTTATGACTCTGAAAGTTAAAAAGCACACAAGGAGTTCACCAGGTAATATTTACTAAACAGCTGATGGAACTGAACCGTGCAGACAAGCTGCTGGCCACACAAACCAGCAGTAAACTCAGGTTAAAAATTAAAAACAACTCAGAAATAATGACTGTTGGTTTAACTTTATTGTGCTAATCAGCCAACTTAGAAAGATGGCAGGGGAGGGGTCAGTGCTGATGCTCAGAGCTCAGCTGGGCACGGGCCATGGGGTTCCACCAGCTGTGACCCATAGCAGGCTGCAGTGTCACTCCACAGCTCCCTGTGGCTTAGATGGGATATTGGGAAGGAATTTTTGGCTGGGAGGGTGGGGAGGCCCTGGTACAGGTTGCCCAGAGAAGCTGTGGCTGCCCCATCCCTGGGAGTGTCCAAGGCCAGGTTGGATGGGGCTTGGAGCAACCTGAGCTAGTGGAAGGTGTCCCTGCCCACGGCTGGATGAGCTTTAATGTCCCTTCCAACCCAAACCATTCCATGTTTCCATGATCTCCAGGAGCTGCCATGTTCACCAGGCTGGCTGCTCCCTCAAGGATCTGCTGTGTGGGAGGGGAGCAGCCACAGTCTGCTGTGGAACCCCCCTTTCCTGGGGGATCTCTGCCCTCCCCCAGCTCACAGTGCACCCTGGAACCAAGGGAAGAGGGCTGCAACAGGCTCCATCAGCATCACTACTAATGCTGAGAGTTTCCACTTCTGGAAGAGGTTGGAATTTTAGTTTCCAGCCTCATCTTTTAAAATTAATTATTAATAAATAAAAATAATTTTAAAAAATAATTTACTTCCCTTGAGGATGAGAAGAAAAATTTGGTGGGTTTGTTTGTGGGTTTTTTTTGTTACAGAAATTACCTCAAAGGAAAACATCTCATCAAGGATGAACATAATCAGATTCCTGAATCCTCCTGACTCTGATGTGAGGATTATCCGTCCTGCTGGGGCTTGGTCACGTCTCTTGGGGAAGGGGGTAGTGGTTGGGGGGGCTGTGGGAAGGGCAGGTGGGGTGGATCAGTTCTGCAATACCAACTCCTTTTAGTTTTAGTTTAAATGATTTTCTGCTGGGCCAAGAGGGGGCTGTAAGCAGTGTAAGTCAGCCTGTGCAGTCAGGGGAGATTTTCTTTCTGAAGCTCACACAGAGCATTTTGATGGCTCATTCAGCCTCTCAGAGGACTGACCATTTCATCAAGAAAAGAAAAGAAAATACTGGATGAGAATGAGAAATGTCACAAACGTCTTCCCAAAAACAAATGAGAGGAATCTCTATATAAACATTTTCTCTCAGTTAAATTTCATACAGTAACATTTATGGGTGCATCAGTACAACAAGAACATTTCAGCCTCGAATCAAAACTCTGAACTAGTTTCCCAAAGCTTTGTCCTACGTGCAAACAGCACAGCCCAGCAATCCTGGGAAGCAGCAGCCTGCTACCTTAACAATTTTTTCTGTAGTGAAACCTCCTGGGCAAAGCAGGAGCACAAATATTTCTTTAGAAAGCAACTGAAAGAAATTACTCGGTTATTCTGAGTTTCAAAATGACAGTCAAATCAGAGTGAAATTGTTAAAACATTTGTACAGTTTGTACAATGTTCACCTACACTGAACTGCCCCCAGTGTGGTTCTTTCACACTCCAAAAGCAATGCTGGTGTGTCCCTGTGTGCCCAGTATAAACTGGGTCCTGACACTGAAAGGTCTTTACAGGATATAGAACTGTAAAAAAGATTTCCTGAAAATTTAAAATCTGTTTAATTATTATATATTGCCCTTTAAACCGAAATAAAGGAGAAATATTTTGACTTGGCACCTTCCATGAGCAGAGATCAATGATAAGCAGAAGAAAGGGCCTGTCCAAGCCCATCTCAGAAGAAGATCTTAAAATGTGTCATTTTCTCTCCAATTTCTTTTGTCTCTTAAACTACCTCGGGGATCCCACACCATTCTTTGAAGGAAGTTGAATGACTCAATGCTTTTCCTGCAATTCAAATGACTGAAAAGGCAAGAATGGGCACGAAACAAAAGGGCAACAAGCACAGGTACAGGTAGGGTGCTCCAGAGCTGGGCAGAGCCAAGGCAGAGCAGCAGGATATCAGAAACACTGGAGGATGCAGACAGCCAGGAATCAAACAATAGAATGGGATGGGATGGATAAGCCATCACATAATTGCTTGGGAGATTTAAAAATGGGACATTTTCCCAACAGTCAGTATAGATCACAGGAACTACTGGAAGAAGCTCCAACATAACAAGGTAACATGACATGAACAAGTTAAATCCCCTGATTTCCCCCCCAGGTGAACAATCCTCAGTGTCTGAGCTACCACCTTAATTGCTCCTGACTACAGCAGAGAAGAGCATTTCCAAATGTCTTCCTCATCTATGCAGATCACAAATTCACATCAAACGTGTGACATTTACCTTTCCCTGGGGTTCCACAAGGACTGGGAGAGGAAATTAGGAGGTTAATGGGTTGGAACTGGGACAACTTTGGATACAAATTTGAGAGGAGGCCTGAGAATGACCTTGCTCTTATGAAACAGTAAAAACAGGGTTTGCCAAGGCCTGACTCCTCCAACATTTAAACCAACAGCAGATACTGCAGTGACAGGCAATACGTGATACAGTGAAGTGTTCAAAGGGACCATTCATCTGAGGATAAAATAAAGTCCTAAGGATTTTATCTCCCGAACCATGGGAAAGCATGAGGAAGTGTAGCTCCAGTAAGTGGAAAGGCACGTGCAGCTCTGGGCACAAACCTTCGTGAAATTGTTCCCAGCGAGTTTGTTGCAAAACCAAAGCACAATACTTCTAAAACCAGTGTTGAGGCAGCAGGTGGGAATGATATGGCCAAAAAAAAAAAATTAGCTTAGGCATCCAGCTTATAAAACAGGATCCAAAATCCCAGTTTGTAACAGAACACACAAAATCCCTGTTACCCACCAGTGATTAAGACGCCCAGTGCACACATGGGCTCTGGTTTGTACTTTGCAGCACTATCTTGGACAGACCTGATGAGAAAGCCAGTGGCATATGATGAAAAAGGAAGACTCTGGATAGGAGATGTTCAGTAGATGGACAGACCCCAATGGGTGTCCCTCTCCCATCTAACCAGTCTCCTGGGAGCCCCAGGTAACCTCACAAAATTCAGCCTCTGCCCCCAATGCACCCAAATGGAAGCCAAGTGAGGAACTCCTGGGAAAGCCCAGACACAACCAGATGTACCAAAACCTGCAGTTTTCGAGCAGCATTTCCACAGGGCAAGACCTTCTCAGGGCCAGAGCAGGCCTGTAACGTGCAGCAGGAACCACGTCACGCTCAATAAATAACCCCGGGTTTGGATCATTTCTAATCCCGACACATTTACAGCTCTGAAGTGGCAGTAGCTGTTTTCACAGTAAGTGCAGAAAAAAAATTGTGCATCATTTAAACATTAGCCCAAGTGAAACCATGTCCCCCTTGTTTTACTTACAACATTTCTTCAATAAATCAAAACTTTGGAGGCCAATAACTCTGAGATTCGAACCAGGGACACTTTATGTGAAGTATGAATATCGTAAGTCACACTATTTTTTCCCCTTTAAGAAAAGAATTCCAGGAATTATTCTCAAGTGTATTTTGCTCAAGAATTGTCAACAAAGGAAACAGGATTTAGGGCCAGTTTCTTCAAACCAAATATGCATTAATTTGCATACAATTTGTCCCAGTAACCAGATGTTTTAGAGCATCATCTACGAGTGTCCCAACATTTTCCTTTGTATGATCTAACACAGTAACACAGCCCTGGTACTGGACTGGGAGGAACTTCTTAATGCTCAAAATAGGTTGCTTCCTTTTTTTTTTTTTTTAAGGTTTTACTTACAGTTTCTATAACATTTTAAAATGTAATTTTCATTCCTTATGGGGGGAAGGGGAATAACAGGACATTCTGTGCTTCAACGAAATTTGAAATGTAGCGTAGTTCAATAATAAAAATATCTCAAATTATATCCTGACCCCTGCAACTGCAGGGTTTGAGCCCTGGAGAAAGAGCAGCATTGTACAGTCCTGATCTCCACTCACTGAGGGGGGTTTCATGCAGCCATAAGAAATATGCCTCACTGTGGGCCAGATGGATAATTAGAAGATTCTTTTACACAGAGAAAGTGCCCTTTGAACCGTGGCGATGGAGCAGAGTGCCAAATCCCACAGGGAATGACATCTTCTGTTTTTCCAGATTACTTCCAATGCTCCAGCTACAATCCTTCCACCAAAACTCTTCAGAGACCCCACAGGGCTCATTCCAGAAAAATCTCTTTAAAAAGCCAAACAAAGAACTACTCCTGCTAAATATACTGCTGAGCAATTTTAACTGGGGGAAAGCAGCCACTGACCACGGAATTACAACAGAGCCTTTCTCCTGCTAATTCCCTGAGATGACTGAAAGACAAACTGACATTTGAACTCAGATTATCTTGCAGTATATAAAAGAACCTCCTAACTTTCCAAATTCCATGTCCATGTGAGTATGTGCACAGATATTTTTTAAGAGAGGGAAGAGTCACAAGAACATGTTACTGCAAGAACACATATTTGAATAATCCTTTTCCTTCATCCGAGATTTTAAAAATCTGCTTCTATCATATGGATTTAATAGAGAACAGTTCTCAAAATTTGCTGTTAATGTTTTAAATCAGTCCCTGGATATCCAGCTACAGGCTTTGACAGAGTAGTTGGAACACAAGTTATTACAAAACACATCGATTTTAATTTCTATATCACATTTTAGATATTAAATGTAATTCACCACACATCTATAATCCCAAGTGTAAGTACCCTGTACTTGGAGCCTCCCTTGCACTTCCAGCTGACTCCAAAGAGAATTAGATCATCATCTTTCTGAAGCCAAAGCCCTTGAGAATATTTTAACCGGAACGAGCCTTTAGCGTTAAGGAAAACTGCAGGGTCACAGAAAGTTAACATCTCAAAAATCAGTCTGAAAACAGTGCTGAAGGTTTCCCTTTGCACACTGGCTGGTGGCAACAAGGGCAGGGATCTAACTGTAACCAAACTGTTTCCACTTTTCAAAACCAAATGCACCCAAGACTTTAAAAAAAAGAAAAAAAAAAAAAAGTTAAAATGTTGAATAAGAATTTTCCCCTGACCTCAGTTAGTAGCCAGAATGTCTGTTTCCCCACAGCTTTCCTCCTTTTTTATACTTACACAAATAACTTTGGGTTTGGTGGAGCCTCCCATAATTGTGTTTGACTGAAAGCTGAATTTCATGTGCATGTTTGCCACTAATGAAATCTGTTAAGAGTTACATTGTCTGTCCCATAATTATTGTCACAAACCAATACACACACGTTTCCAGAGTTTTAAAATAGCCGTTGTTATATAATTAGTTGCCATTTTAGAAACATTAAAATGCTCAGAATTGGTTTAAATACATGAGACTGCACTGACAACAAATACTCAGCTACATCAAACCCAAAGGCTTATGGACTTCTCTTGATCCCAAGAGCAGAACCCACAACAACAGGCAAAAAACCCCATCATTTGGGCTTTTTGTGACTGAGAAGGGGAAGCCACAAGCTCAAAGTGATTTTATCTCCCTCTTCCTGCGACCCAGCAGGAGCTGCTCCCTCTCCACAAAAACTGTTTCCCAATACTTTTCACTTTTCTACCAACTCTCTTAATTTGAGATGAAAATCTTAATCAGAAACACTCTTAACCACTGTTGGGGTGCTGACTCACAACCTCGTCCTGTTACAGGACCACTGGGAGTTAAAGATTCAACTGACAGTCCAAAATATTCTGTTACTGGTCTGATATTTCTGTGGTGTCATATTCAACCATGTCCTTACCCCAACAGTTTTCTTGTATTTTACATCCTTGGCTACATCAAATCACAAAAACATTGGAAGCCAAATATCTCGAAACCAAGAATTCTGAAACTACCAATGCAAGCTGTAATGTAAGGACAGAAGGATACACTAAAATGATAACAAAGTTGGGAAGAATTTGGCAGCATAACAGACTGCCAAAGTCAGTGATAAAGAGATTGTTCGTGCCAGAAGAATGAAAGAGTGATTGCAAAGCTCAGAGGATTGAGACTTGAATGATATTTCTTTCAAGTAATGGAACTTCTGGCATCTCACTGGTACTTCAGTAGAAAATGTATAAAAATATAAAAAAAATAAAGCTGTGAATACTGTTAACACACACTGACAACTAATAGTTAACAGTTGCATCAGGTGACAAATGAAAACAGGTTTTCACCTCATTTGAGATGAGCCATCACCTTGCACTGAGCTGAGGGCTCTGCCTCTGTTCCCAGCTGGGAGAGTCAGCACAGAGCTGGGAGCTGAGGGACCCCAGAGCCTGGAATTCTTGGGTTCTGTCAGGCCAGGAAAGGAGAAACAAAGCACCCTCACTCCTTGTTCCTTTTAAAGATTATAAATAAGAAACCCATCAGATTTAAAAGCATGATTTCATTTCTTTAAAAAAACCCTGAATTCTCAGTGCAATCACCACCTGCAACATCCACTGGCAGGCATTTGACACTGGAGGCAACAATTTGCTCCCTCTCCTGCCCAGCAGCAAAGCCACTCCCTGCTCTTACCGTGGTCTCTGTGAGTCCCCCCACGGACACTGAGAGCCCCAGGAGCACAAAGTACTGGTAGGTTGGCAATGCCAGGAGCTGGGTGATCCGAGGGAAAGCTTCAGATGCAGCATTCCAGTTCAGAGTCTCCTTCTCTGACCTGGGGAAAGGGAAAGGAGAAAAATAATCTTGTACGTGTGCGCTGCCTTTCTTCTCCCCACGTTCCTGGCACAGCTCCTTCAGGTCAGTGAAGGAAGGCTCTGAATTACCTAAAAATCACACTGAACACTGCTCTTTGAGCATATGGGGAAAACACAAATCAAAGCTTCAGCCACTGCCAGTGCCACCTCAGCCACTCCAAGTCCTTCTGATCCAGATAAGGAATTGGAACCACAGTTTCCTCTTCCCAGGCACTTTTCTCTACCCACAGAAAACAAGTTCTCTTCCTGGAGTTCCATTCTGAGCTCTCTCCCATCAACAGCTACTCAAAGACTGATCCAAAGACAGACTTATCCCAGGAAAAACCAACACCCCCCCCACTCCCAGCTCCATCAGCAGCCTCACAGACAGAGCAGGTTGTGATTCTCCTGAACACACAGAGCTGGATGTTCCTCATCCCAATCAGGTACCAGCAGCACCATTCAGGAATGAGCTGCTCTCACTGTTGCTTCAACTAGAAAGTCCATTTTGGAAAACTACTTCAACTAAAGCTTGGTTAAAATACTATAATTAATTAAAAATTACTATTATGAACAGTCAGTGCTTTCCAGTCAAGGGAAAAAACTATGTTCATGCATATTGACAGGACACCTCAGTGAAACCCTGACTCCACACACAGGCTGGGCATTTGGGCCCAAAATTTACATCAGATAGTGTGTGTTAGGTCTAATTGTGTGCATTTATTTTTTATTTCACCGGTTTAGGATATGTTTTTCAACATCTTACCTTGGAAATATCCTCTCTAGCTCTTGTCTGTGAGGGATGTGTGGAACTGGAGGACGGTCAAAGTGTAGGAGGGTCAGGAACACAGATCCTGCATGAGCTCGAAATTTATCTATTTTTTCAGCTGACTGTTGAGCCAGCCAGCACATAATCTGCCTGCAGCTACAAAGAAGAAAACAATTAATCACATAATTTAAGCAGCAGAATGTGTATTTAAATGGTTTCAGTGAAATCAAAACTATCCTGCTATGAAACTATTCTGGTTTAATTTTGTCAGCATGAGCCTGAAAATGATTTAAGACACCCATATGGTGCCAGAATCTTAAAGGTTTATTTTCCATATATCAATATTAATCAAGAGCCATCATGACATTAATGTTACATAGTTTTTCATCCACCTTTTACACTTATTGCTCCACTTTTCATCCAAAAAAATAACAAAGTGTTTTATGGTTTGGAGGAACTGCTACATTTCTGGTGGAGATAGAGCAGGAACCTTGAGAAAAGCACACTTTTGAGTAGAAAACTGCACACATAGCAGAGGACAAGGTCTATCCTAAATCTCAGATATTCCAAATAAACAACTTTTTCAACTCTGGCTAGTTTTTAACAATATCCTATTTTGCTTATGTTCATAACTGAGCTCTCAGCTACAATACTGTGTCCCACAAGGCCCTTTTACCCCTTCAGAGAGGACAAATAATGACAGTAAAACCAGCTAAAATGCCTTCAGTTACAGCAAGACCCAGAATATTTAGAAAACGGGATCCAGCTGGCAGGAATGGTTTTCTCAGTTTCCTGTGGATCACCTCTGACTGCAACAGATTAAGAGGAGGAAGCCCCTGAAAAACAGTGTATTCCTAGAAAACCCAGGATTTTTCTTTTAAGTGTCCTTCAAAGTTTGTGGTTTTTTCTTTTATTAAAAACCAAATCATGTATATATTCAGGTAACCATTGGCATGTTCTGTCCATAAACCAACGCCACTATCAGGAAAGTTTTGCTGCAGCTCAAGCTACACTTGAAAACTGGTAGTTATCATTAATTTTTTCATTATTAGGAGTACTGTATCACAAAATTAGAAATCAGGATCTCAGTGTAAATGACGTTTTTCTGTATTTCCTTCCTAATAATTCTGCAAAGAAACAAAAGCAAACTCATCCCTGCACTTGATCACATTCCAAATCAATGATGTGATGCTGAGGATAAGTGGGAGGGTTTGTTTTGTATTAAAGTGAACAACACTCCACAGAGGTGGCAGGTATAGCTCAAATCCCACAGGTATGTTTTACTTCCAAGGTGGGACTGCCATCCAGGTTCTCTCAATAAGTCAGTCTCTGAAAACCAGACACAACATCCTCCACATCTGCTTGGGCTCGACACACTTCTACCAAAGGTTCTGTCACACTCAGTAAGGGAGTTAAGTACACAATGTACCAGCAGTGCTTTCCTGTATGGCCTGGAATGTAGTTCTAGGGGATGGGACACAGAAACAGCACAATTACATACATGCTGGCATTAATTAGCTCTGCCTCGTTCTGGACCAGCAGCAGCGTCACCTCCATCAAACTGGTCATGGCAGCTTCACGCACCCTGTGCAAACAGAGAGACATCAGAATGGCTGCATCAGGCTTTATTTCAACAAATACATCAGTAATTAAGCTAAGACACTGGAAAAAATTCACAGTTACTAAAGCAATGACCTCTGAGATCTGTCACCACATCTTGGGAGGAAAAGGAGTGCACAGAGCTGCCCCCCCAAGCCCCACTCTGTGAAATGGAGCTCATGTGGGCACCGAGGGTACAACAGTCATCCCAGTTTCCAGGCAAGCCCCTGCCTCACCATCCTGTTTTTCATTCCAGTCAGATGTCACCAGGTTTACTCTTTATTTTAAGAAAGTTAAAATTGATAATGATTAGTAATATTCAGTGTGCAAGTAGATGCATCTAAACTTAAGTGCTTTGCCTGCTTCAAATTTTTTTTTAAAAAGGCCAACCCACATTTTGACATTCAGCTATTTAAGCACTGCTAAGAGTATCATATTCTTGTAAATTTTCAAGCTTAATACTACCAACAGTTAAAAACATGTGACTCAGAATGGCTTAAATCTCTATGTTAAATAATAACTAGTTTTAAGAAAAAGACTGGCTAAAGTTGTGGTTGAAGTGTGTCATGCCTAGACGGTGAAGATCTGTTGCCTTCAAATTGTCTAAATACCAATAAAAAAAAGAGTGTAATTTCAATTAAAAAGAGCAATGTGCTTGTTTTAAACCAAATGCCTTGTCAATCCATGAGCTGTTAAGAGTGGTTTCTTTCTTCAGACAAGGGCAACACCAAAGATCCTCAGTGGGTTACATGACCCTGCAGGAGTCCAGGCCAACATGTTCATCACATTAAGTCACTCATGGCAGTGTCATCCTTTCAAAACAATAACTCAAAAAAGGGGGGAAAAAAAGTATTTGAAAAGGTACACCTGCCTCCTGTGAAAAGAAATACTCCTCTATTTTCCAAATAGCTGCAGATGCAATCTAAAACTGGGTGGGACATTTGTTATAATGGTAAAAAAGGTAAATTACATCACTTTTTCCAAAGTAGCTCAATACAAGTTTGGCAGTCTTTCAGCAAGGTATGTTTTCCTAGTTTTTCATACAGTATCTGACTTGGATATTCATGTCTAACACCTGCAGACAGATCAGACATGTCCCAGCAAACAACCTGTCAAAAGAAAGGTAAAGTTTGCATATGGGGAGTAAAGTTGGTGAAACTTTCCCATGATTCCACTACAGAAAGACAAAAATTACACACCAAAAACAAGGTCTCTCCAGAGAAATGGCATTTCCTGCCATATCTTTCCACCTTAGTCAATGGTTTAGAATAAACAGAATGAGAAAACATTGATATTTGAGAGGCCACAAAAGCCTTCAGCAGCCAACAATGTGCCACGAGAAAGGATCCCCCTTCCCCCTCTGATTTACGTGTTTCTTGACTTGTTTTTGGCTGAAATTGCCCAAGAAGCTAAAAAAAAAATAATCTAGTGGTCAAAGCACATTTGAATTTTCATGGGTGTTTGGGAATTTAATTTCCTCGGGACTTCTTTGAAAAACTCCACTTTGTTTTGTTTTGTTTTGAAATGAAGACGCAGACTAAGGATAAACAATAGGTGTGGGGAACTGCAGTGGGAGCTCTCAGATGTGGAAGTTGGGTTGAATACCTCATTATACCCAGCCAGGTCCTTATCTACTCCAGTATCTGCCTCATTTTGAAAGCACAAAGCTCAGTATCTCTTCCTTTTCTCTGCCTCCCCACCCTGTATTGTTGCTCTTACATTTTCTGTCTCTCTCTTTTATTAGAGACCCATTCACCTCCCTCTTGACAGAAGGGAAAGCCAAGCTCCTTCCTTGCACAGGCTGGAATGACCTGCTCTTGATCCTCACTAGTTTGCATCCTTGTTTCCTCTTCTAAGCTGGAGATATCAAACACACCCCCTGTTCCCTGATTTCTTGCCCTGTGCTACTATTTCCCTGCCCTACAACAATTTTACCAGCCAGGGCTGAGGGCTGAAGAGCTGGGTACCATTACAGAAAACAGGGAAAATCCAAACACCCAAATATTAACTCAGGCTGGATTATCTGCCCCGTGTACTTCTCCAACACGTTTGTAAATATTGTAGTGAAATGCTACAGGGACAAGGCTCTTCAATTAAATATTGCCCAGTGCTACCATGGCACAAAATATCTATCTTCTATCCACCTTTCACAAAATATCTTTGTGCTTTGACACTTCCCTTTCTGTGCAAAGACAGGGCAGTTATTTATAATTATTGCAACCCACACTGGAACTGGTGAGATCTCACACTAACGGTGACTCCCAGGGCACAAGCACTAAGGTTTAACTGGTATAAACCACCCAATAACTGCTGGCAAGGAAAAGCTCCAGCATGAGCATATTTGTACATATTGCACAAAAAAAGCACAATCACAACACCTCACAGGGCAAGAGGTGGCTTCAGGCTGTGCTGCAGTAGCTCTCATTCAGTAATTACAAATGTACATCACAGCACCTGCCCCGTGTTCCAGCCTAATGAGGAATCCTGGAGAGGGGAATGCCACAGTGATTAACTTTTTTTTTTCTTTTTTTTAAAGCAAACCTGGTGCTACCAAATAAAATAATGACAGTGAAGTCAAGAGTCAAGGACAGAGCTCTGAACAGGACATAACAAATTTGAGCCTAACCAAAAAAGTTCCCAAACTCTCAGGATGCACATTTGGCACCACCACCTGTTATCCCACCAGGTCAGGACAGGGACCAGCAGGCTCTGGCTGCTGCAGCTGAGCACAGCCACTTTCATATATTACTGTTGAAAACACCCTTCAAAGAAGAGGACAGTGACTGAAAAAATGTCTAAACCACTTTTTTCACACAAATACTCTGCACAGATATGACTGAAACAAACACCCCACGTGACTCGGCGCTGTCAGACAACAACTTCAGTAAACTGAGAAAAGAAAATCTTTTCAATCAGCAAAATTATTTCTTCCCAGTACTTTTCTGGCACTTGCCTCTTCCTGCCTGGAACGTAACAAAAGCAGAGCCAGGTACTAGAGCTGAACTATCAACAGGTTGTTAATTTATAATCCTGAACACAAATCTCTGTACCCTGAGACACTTCAACCAGTTGCCAGACAGGTCAAATACATCTCTGTTACCACATCATTACCATACCACACAAACAGTATCACCCACACAGCTAAACAAGGCTGATACTCTGTAGAGTCATATCTAAAAGTGACATATATCTGCAAACTTTCCAATTAAAATTATGGATTAAGGCAACAAAATTAAGGAGTCTTTCTCAAAACCAGCATTTCACTCAAAATCACATCCCAACAAATAAAAGACAACTAAAATTAATTTACCACATTCATTTACTTAGTTTATGGCTCCTCTATACAAGGAGTGAGTGTTACTGCTCTGAGGCTTCTACACAGCATCAAAACTGTCACGTATTTTAAATGTGCAGATATTGGACTTATTCTTGAATAAGTAGTGTTTCAGGCTGGGAATATCTGTCCTCATAAATACACATAAAAAAGTACCCTGACAAGAGTATATTTCCTTGGTCTCTAAGATCCATATTTCACATGGTTTTCTCACCCTGTAACTACCCTGTGGAGTTCTACAGGATGAAGTGAACAACATGAACTCCTCCTGATCTCTCCCGTTCAAAGATGGCAGGAACTGCCAGTCAGCAGGTGATGACACATCCCCAACTGGAGCTTCTTTGGAAATGAAACACAAACCCAAAGAAGGACATGAGCCTTTATAGTGCTTTGGGTCATGAATTTAGAACTTGCCTTTCCAGACCACTGTTACTGAAGGACTACAGAGCATTCAGATGAATGCAGTATTAAATACTGAATATTTATATATTAAGGGAGCCTTGAAGACTGAAGAATGTCATAAAATTAGGACTGCTACAGACTTAATATTATTAAGATCTTATTAATCTTCTTAAGTTTAATTTATTAATCTACCTATTCTATACATTTCTACATACTTATGATTTATTCTTGAAGCCTCATAGCTGAAATCACTGAAACCCTAAACTTAGAAAAGAGTCAGTGATGTCACAGCACAATTTATAAAGTTTTTATGCATCTCAGTTGGCCACCAGCCTTGAAAATGTGTCACTAACACGTTTATAACACGTTATACAGTTGCTCCCTCTCCTGGTAAAAAATCCCCACAGCAGGAATGTACAGCAGGAGAGTTCAAGCAGCACCAAACGTGTTATTTCAAAAAAAAAAGAGAAGTAATGTTTTAAATCCCTGTAGTTTTTGCAACTGATTACATTCCTGATGTTCACTAATAAAAAATAATGCCATCCACAAACCCAGAATAAGCCTGAACTTCAGTTTGAAACACAACAGTCCCCACCACTGTGAGGAAGGGACAACCAAACCTTCGTCTTCCACTCTCTGCTTCTCTTCCTGCAGTGGATTCCTACCTTGGCTCAAACCTCCAGAAGCCTGGGAGCTCTCTGTTTCTAAGTTTTGGAAACACATCAGGTTTTAATTAGAGATCAAACCCGACCCTGTGTTTAAGTCCCAGTCTGTGGGGCACCTTACCATCCTCCCACATCCCCCCGGCTGTCCGTGGTGTAGTCGGTCACCCCGTTGAGCAGCGTCGCGTAAATCTCATCCACGTTATCCCTGCACACAAATTCCTCCCGGGATCCTTCTCCCTTCACACCCACTGTCTGGCAAACCCTTTAGAGAGAGAGAAAAAAAAAAAGGCAGTGGGGGACAAAATCACAACACTAGCAAGGAGAAATGTAAGGATGAAGCTTTGTTATGTGGCTTAACATTCCAAACGCCCGTAACATCTGCTACAGATGGAATGAGGAATATTTCTGAGCCTACTGAGTTGTATCTGACCTGCCAATTTCTGAGCAGTGTTTGGTAGTTTAAAGGAACACTGGCAAAGCTAAAACCTCAGCAGGGAAGCAAGTTGCTTTCACGTCTGCTAAACTACACACAGGAACATGCTTCAAGTACCCGTCAGTCTGAACTCTCCTTAAATGAAGTCAGCAAGAAGAGCAAAGGGCCAACACAATGTGCACTGAACTTGAGATTAAACCTCTTTACCTTGAAGACATGTTTTTTTTTTTGCACTGTAACACTCTAAGAGCATAAAACATACATGTGTACTATGATACTATTAGCTCTGAATGCACTGTGACATGTCAATATGGAAAATATTCCTCTAGAGAAAAAGCACAATTCCTTTAAACCAATTCAATCCTCTTAAGATTGTGGAAAACCACAAATATATATTCTTCCTCTTCATCAAAGCTCATTAAATTGCAGCCCATGGGAAAGGCAAACTTTAAAATATACTCTATGTAGTCAGTTAATTGATAAAAAACTAACACCACCATCAGAGCTGTACTCCATCCTCAGGTGTGTGATAATCCTCTGAATCAAAAATAAACTGAATAATGGAGATGCAGAGAGTCCTGCTTTAAAAATCTGTGTGTCACAGTGTAACTGATGTCAAAACTCAGGCTACCAGCTCCCACCAGAAAGCAGAATGATCACGAGAAAGATTCTACAGAGAGAATTCCAATTAGACAAAAATAAAGATGATGAACATACTTTGCAATTGCTATTAAGGCATCTCTCCTGGATTCTGCAAAGCTCACGTCTTCAGGGGAAATTAAGGTAACTTTTTTCAAACCTTCCAAAACCTGAGAAAGATACAAAGATTGAGATATTTAAATCCAATGTATTTTATGATGTTAAATTTTGATATTGCACCATAATGAGTTCAATCCTGCATGAAAGAAAGCAGACAACAGAGTTTGGTTTCTCACCAAGACTGGCCCTCATGGCTCCCTCTTCCCTTTGGACCAATGTCCTACAGCAAAGGGATAATTCAGCCTCTGGCTCTTCCATTAACACTACTAAAGCAGGACTAAGCATTAATTATCAGAAACCATGGCAAGCTCAACTCATGACGATTTTCCTGGAGTTGTTGTACATTAGAATTCAAACCCTTTTGACAAAGACCTTTAATTATGACCATTATTATTCACTTGATTACTGTCACAGGTTTCATTCAAAAGGCAGAGTGCCCTCTTCTCATTCCAATGATCCTGTTCTCTCACCTGTTGGAGCCTGCCCTTCAGCAGAAACCTTGGAAGGGCCCCAAGAGCTCGTGAAAAGCCACAACGGATCATTTCCTCTGTGTTTTGTAGTTCTGAAACGTACTGTGTCACCAGCTCATCTAGAAAAAACACAATTGCAGAGTGAGAAGCAACTACCACATCATTACCATTTCATGTTTGGCTAAGGAAAGAAACAAACCAGGAAAAGATCCCCTAAACAGAGCAGCTAGAGAATTTTGCAATTTGTTAAACTAAAATGCAGAATACCTTTAATTTCCCCCAGGACAAATGTACAGGTTTTAAGATGTTCACTGTTACGTGAATGAATTCTTGTCTTCTGTCTAAAAATTTGACTTTATTATATTTAGACTAATCCTACTCTTTCAGAGAGTGAAAAGACAAAGTTCTCCATTTTAAGGAGTTCTCATGTTTTAAAAATCCAAATAGCAGGTATAAGCACAAATTTCTATGGAAGTACAAGGAACAAGTTCTCTTATATTTATAGGTCATCGTTTTCCATCACTAGACAAGTAATCTGTGTTAGGAAAGAGATGTCTCTGGGTTTGTGAAGGTCAGCTATCTGACAGTTTTCCCCTGAAAACTATTGACTGGAGCCTTGTTTAAACACATACACAGATCATTCCTAAGCAATGAGATAATTTTGTATCATTTTTTATATAGAGACAAAAATAAAGTTGTTTGTTTGTTGCAGGAGAAAGCTGAAGAAGTGACCCCTTTGGTTCTGTTCACTGGCACAGAACACAATGGGGACAGTGGCTCTACAAACAGCAGCACAGTCAAAAGGCACAGGAATAAACTCAACTGGGCATGGAAAAAGGAGCCTCAAAAACCAAGTGAAGTGATATGAAGGAGAAAATGAGGGTGAATGAAAAAAGTCAGGAATCTAGTTACACATTTGTGCTGCAGTCTTTATCTCAGACATACAGACATATTAAACTCTGCTGGAACATGCAGAGAAAAATAAGGTACACCAGAAAAGCTTCTAAGAACAGCCAAGGCAGTAACAAACTCAGCTCTGCACTAAACACAGCTCTGCTTCAGAAAGGGGCAAGGTGGTCTTATCGATCACTTTACTGAACAGACACTTTTTAATCCTCAAAGAAAATGAATTAGGGCTCCTGGGAAGATTACATAATTGTGCCACCGCTTACTGTAATCTAAGATTTAAATGATTGAGCAATATTTGCTAGAGGAAGAAAGAAGAGTTGCCATAAGAAACTCCCCATTCATCACAACTGACTCTTTTTTCAAACCCCAGTGCAACCAACAGGCCTGGACTCGTCCCTCACATCAGGGACCCAGTTCCCTGTCCAGAGGTGAGAAACACCCTCAGATAAGCACATCTACCATTTAAAACTTTCCAAACCACTGGAGTGTGAGACAGAGTCCTGAGGCCATAGGAAGCACAGTGCTTGCTGTGACAGCAAGAAGATCTTAAACAGTGAGGCTGTGACAGTCTCCACGTGGACTGATGTAAATTTAAGATTGACATTTTAGCCAAATGACACGACAACAAGCAGCTCTTTACTTATAACCACTTAGTAATTACGGTGGAAGGTATAATGCAAATGTTAATATTCTTCTAAGAGCCTTCAGTTTCATAAACCAACAGGGCCTATGAAGTGTCTACAATATTAATTCAACACAGCCCATCCTAAACGAATATTAAAAGAGAAAGTCAGCAAAACCAAACCAGAACACATTAAGCCAGGAAAAATAAAACAAAGAAAAGGTCAAAACAAACAGAGGCAAAAGAAGTGATGCAATAAAGCAGCATCCTTATAGAGCCAGATTCAGAATGCCAAATTGTTAGAGTATCTTTGATTTGTGTTTTCATCTTAATCTCTCAAGCCATAGTGAAACACTGGTTAAATTTTACCAAAAGCTTTTTTCTTCTAATCCCCTTGATCATGTTCAGACCTGCTTTAACTGACTTATCTAAGGCACCTGCAGTGCTGCTGAGTGTCTTCTGCACTGCAGCTTCCACACATTCCTGTGTCCATCAGACATGAAGGGGAGCACTTTCAGTAGTGGATTTCAATCCCTCAACAGACAGGATTTAATGGGCATGGAATATATAGGTTTTATTGGCACAGAGATGAAAATACACCTTTTTTTTCTCTTAAAAGATGCTTGCATGTATAATGGCACTTCTGTTGTCACGTGTGGAGGAGGCTCCAGAGCAGTCAAGGCCAAATAAAAATATAATCCAGACAGAGCTGACTGCAGGGGTTTTAGAATGGAGAAATTCCCAACTAACAGTTTTATTTCAGAAAGTCTGATGAAAAATTTTGTCTGTATCTATAAAACTGACTCTCATTATGTCCCTAGATCACCATGGTTCTTTCAAGCACAAGCCAGATGAAAAGTTAACCTGGAATCCAGGATCTAAAGGAGCAGAGCAACAACTGCTGCAGCCACCTATTGCTGTGCTTCCAGCAGATCCCTTCTCCTTGCTCATTTGGACACCTGGCTGAGTTTTCCAGTCCACTTTTCCAGCAACCTGAAACTTCATACTTATATAAAAGGTGACCTACCAACCTTTCAGCTCATTTTTGTTTGCTTAGATTCAGCATTATCTCCTGCTGCCCAGTGTGCTCTGGTTTTACACACGACCCTTCCCTGAGGCTGTGGGGTTTTATCTGCCTCAGCACCACATCACAGCTTCCCATGCTGCCCACAAAAAATCTGGGAGGCAGGGCCAACCTCCAGGAAGGAAAGGGCTGGGTTTGGAATATATATATATATATATTTTTTTTTAAATATAGAGATTTAGCAATATATAATTTTTTAAAAAAAAATCAAGATAGACTGCTTTTACATTTCAGCCATAACCTTCTTTGGGGCATGGACTGCATGTAACTGTGTATGTGATCAGTATTATGTTCATTTTGAGACAACTGTAATAGAAATAAATAATAAGGTATTCTGTTACCTGATTTAGTAATTGCAAAAAAAAATAATCATTATTTTATTAAGTATATGTAAATTCACTGTCATATTTAAAAAAACAAGAACATAAATGTTGATATTTTTACAATATTTATCTGTACAATCCAGCAACCTGCCTCTGATGGACACGATACAATCTGATACTTGAAATAAAGAGAAGTCAGAGACAAATGGTATAAAAAAAGATGCTGATTCATATGCCCCAAACAAAAGTTTCAGCCTCCTCCTGTACTGCTGATCCCAGTCCAAACACGGGAGGTTTCACATGCTCGTTTACAACAACTTTGGGTGTCCTTGGTGTCCTCTCCCTATCCCTAAGCAATTCTTCTGTAAATCAGCCACAATCCCTGGCAGACAGTTTACCAATATATGATGTGAAAATACCTTGCTTTGTTAAAATTTAGGGTTTGCCACAAACACATAATTTTTGCTTCTTTGTTTTAAAGTATGGAATAAAAACGCAATAGAGCTTTCCTAATATGCATTATTGTGGTACCTTGCATTTACCTTGAGCCAGCAAAGCCCCTGAGACATTTCCCAGACTTTCAGTTGGTTTTATCATTTTTTTCCTGAAGAATTTTAAGGTCCTTTAAAATCAGTGATGCCCCTCCCCAATTTATGCAATAGCTCCAAAGTGCAAGTTAGGTCCAGCCCAATATTTTGTGCCTCTCTGGTAAACATGAGTCATTACCCTGCAGAGCTGGATCAGCTTCTCCCTCCTCATTGATGTAAAATTCATTGCACAGGGCAGCCAGTGCAGACACTGCAGACTCCTGCAACGAAGACACAGATATATTTACTCAGCTCCTACTTTATGATAACTGTGCTTAATTTTTTTTAATGGATTTTTAAAAAAAATAATTCTCTTCGGCTACTGGCATTTACTTTCTTTTTATTTCTTCCCAGTACTGGTTTAAGAACAGGAAACCTATGTAAGAAAAAAAAAACAGATTCTACTCTTACTCCTTCAAAGTGACCAGTAAGATAAATTAGTATTGAAGACAACACTAATGTATGAACTTTACTTCCAGTTCAGCTGAAAGACCTCCAGGATGGTACAGCATCACAAAATACACAGGTCATTATTTCATATACTGATGCCAGATTGACATGAAACAAGCCCTATTTCCCTAGAAAGTTCCAGAAAGGAAATACAGAAAAAAAACCAACATAGACTGAAGGTTAGTTATAAACAAATAACCCAAATGATCCAGTATCACAGGCCTTGTGCCTCCATTTTAATTGGTTTAGAAAAGGACCAAAAGCTGTGTATTATACGTGAATCTCCTCATTTTTAGTGTGGTTTCAGTCACTGATGCAGAACACGAAATAATTCAGCTGCTATTTCTAAAAGCATGTGACAGGTTTTCTCATAAAATTTATGGCTGAATTACACTTTTCAGCTACTAATGTAATGCTGACCAACACTATAATAAATGTGAGAGCATACAAAAGCTATGCATTGTTCACTTCATGTTAATAGCAATGATACTTAATAATACTCATGTTCTCCGGGTACAAAAAAATCTTCACTATAACAGAGAAATCCTGCCCAGCTGATTCATTCTGCCCTCAAAGACACCTCAGACTTGTTCCCTATACAAAATCTAGGACTTGAAAGAAAACCAGCATTCCTCTAAATAATACTCCAACTACCACAGGAATTAGAGTACCAAAATATACAGTATTATCCAAGTGCTGTAGATTAGAGAAAGGTCTGGGTTCTAAGGGACCTTTAAAGGGCTTCTCATCCAACCTCCTGCCACGAGTAGGGATATTTTGAACCAGATCAGGTTGCTCAGATCCTTTGCTTCCTAAATTTAATGTTTTTCACCTTAAATGTATGAAGATACACTGGAAGAGCATCCCGTGTGTCAGGAAAAAAAAAGACAACTTTTCAACATCTTAAGCACTGCCCTTAAAATTATATCTCTCTAAAACAGATACAGAAATCAAGTGAGAATTGACTTACTAAATATACTTTGCTCAACATTAATTAATGTTAACCAAACAAGTCAAAAGTCTCTAGAGCCTATAATTAATTATTCTAAGCTTGGCTTAGAAGTTCCAGTTATAAGACATACAGACACTCGGAATACATGGGTAATGCTGAAAGAATATCCTAAGAATTCAAATTTCATCTTTTAATTTTCTTCAGTGATTTGGACACATTCCAGTCCACTCCATCTCCCAAGGATGACAAGATGAGCTGCAAGATACTTGGAATGGCTTTTTATCTTATTATTAAAACCTGCCAGGATGAACACAACATGTTAAATTCAAATTGTCTCTGTGAGGGCTATAAGCTCTAATAGGGCAGACAAAATTTGCCTTTATAATTCAGCAGAGCCTTTAAGAGCACGAGATCAAGCTGTCATGGGATTTCTTGGGAAAATAAAGGCAAATAACTGGAGGTGTTGAGATCATGGACATAAAATAGCACGAAATCCATCAGTGGATTTAATATTCAGAACCAGAGCAGTCTGAGAGCACAGCAAAAGGATTTGCAGCAGAGTTTAATGAAAAATTTAAGCATGTTGTCCTGAATAACTCTGGTGGCTTAAACCAATGCTCACAGAGCTGGAAAACACCGTTGGCACATCGGGCCTGAGGAGATCATCCAGAGGATTTCTGAGTCTCACACAAGTTCTCTGAAACCACCAAAATCAGTGTGTCTTGCACAAATTACAGGTACACCAAAACAGAGGCAAAATACCCTCTCAATGCCAACAGAAAGTGGCTTCCAGCAGCCATCAATGACTCCTCACACTGCACAACTACCTTGTCCAAACATACAGACAAGAACTTTGGGATAACTGTTCAAGTATTATTCAAAAAGGTCCATCTGAATTTTGAGGAGTTCAAAACATTCCTTTAAAAATACCCCTTCATACCTATCTAAGAAACAAAACATTCAAAACCCAAGTAGATTCCATGGAAAATAACCCACCAAAGGAAAGCAAAAATATTTCTAACTCTGTATTTAATGTGACCACATGAAGGAGGAGGAACTACTGTACCTTTATGTGCTGTCGTGCACCACTGGAAACAAGAGTGAGATGTCTTAGACTGTCATTTATTAACCACTGCCAACCACCTGGAATATAAAGGTGTAAAAATCAGCATTAATTTTTCTTACCTTCTCAATTCCAACATTCTCAGTTTTTTTGCATACCAACAATTACACAGATTGACCTATTCCCTTCACTTTCCAAACTGAACAAGGCTGTGACTCTCAGTAGAGCTCTTCCAGCTTAGGTTACCATGTCCACAGTGCCTGGTGATGCTGAATACTAATACATTTTATTTCTTGTCAAAAAAAATCTTCAAATACTATCAGCATCTGCTGCACTCTTTGGGTATTTTTTTGGGTATTTTTTTTAGGCTACCCAACCCCACTAATCTTGATTCTTTACAGAACATAATTTGTTAATTCTTTAGTTTAATGAATAGCTGTGAAGATCATGGAAGGTTATTTAAAACAGGACATACCAATTATTGGATCTCCTCTAAATGGCATTTTTGATAGTGACAGCTTTTCAATCAAAGTGCAGACTGCAAGAAAATAAGTTTGATAACTTAATAAATACAAAAACAAAAGAAAAATTGTAGCAATTTTGAAGATACAACCACATAAAACTACATTGGCATTAATTTTCAATTGAAGAATATCTGCAAAAAAATGTCCAAAATAAGTTATATTAAAAACTGAAAGGAAATAACACTTATACAAAAAATAGCTACTATGCAGAAACTGTTCTCTGACATGAGTTAGTCCCATCATTCATGAAAATCCCTTGTTTGGGGGGATGTTTTCCCCCTCTGCCACTCAAGGTGTGCACAAACACATCAGCCACCTTTTTGTTTCTGCACCAGCCTGTAAATGGCCCTGTAGCATCACTGACAGTGAACCAACTTGGACAAGGATAAATCATTACAGCCTCAAAAAAAACTATTCAAATATATATGGCAGGTTTTCCTACTTCTTATTCACATTTTTTTGGACCTCCAAGGAGCATCATCTGCTCACTGCACAGAGCCAGGAGCTATGAAACTGGATGCAGCTTCATTTCCTTTGATACTCCGAACACGTGAAAATATCATTTTAATAATGAAGCCCTTATTATTTTAAATCTATAAAACTAAATGAGCTCTAAGTTTACAAACCCACTTTGAGAATTATGTATTTTTGTAGTGTTCTGAGGCTTTTTGGGGGGAATGGAGATTTACACACTGCAAAATTTCTGTACAACAGACTGACTGTATTGCTCAACCTGGCACTTGGGGAATACCACGTATTTCACCTCCTGGTGCTCAGTTCAAATAAAGCAGATGGGTATAGATCCATCCTCACTGCCAGGCTGCTTTAGAGTTGGTGGAGAGGAGGGAGAGGACAGAACAAGCTACTGTATAATGTAATGCCACCTTTTTGTTTTCCTCTCCTCTTGCATCTTAATCTTTGAATCTTCCTCTGGGCTCTGTACACAGTTCATCATCATCTTCATTTATAATCGACTTAGTGGGCTCCAAATCTGCTCTTGAACTCACTCCTCACCATGCCACTGTCACACAAACTCCTCTCAATATCGGGTGTCAGCTTCTCTGTGCCAATATTTATTCACACACGAGGTTAACTACAGTGTGACTAAACCCGAGACTCTTGGGATTCCTCCTCAGTTCTCTGCTCTCCTTTGTGCTCTATTGTGGTTGAGACCATCATCTTCATTAGACATGCAGGCAATCTGTGGAACATTTTCAATTCTTCTCTTATTCCACTTACACAGTTGTATCATGCCAAAATACTGTCATTTGTACTACTCCAAAACCATGAAATATTCAGCTGCTTGAAAGCTAAAACATATTACAAAAAACTACCCGTTCTTTCAGCCTGCATTTCCATGTCACAAGGTTGTAACCTCATTCAAAGACTGCAGAAATCCCCCTGCCCCCTTCACCCTTCCTATTTGATCACTCTTCCATCTTGGTCCTCAAACTCCTTCACCCATGAGTTTTGGATGGTTTCACATCTTCCAAGCTGGAATCTGCTCTGTAGCACTTCCTTTGTTCAATCCACAAGCAGGAAACCAAGTCGGCATCATTTCCTTATCCACCCAGGCTACTTTTCCCTGCAATGCCCCTCCTTTTTAGTGTACAACAATCCTCAAACTCCACCTTTTCTGTGATGCCACGCTTCCCACAGACTATTGTTTATATGGTCTTTATGCTTCACTTCTGCACACACACATCATGATAAAATCATTATTGCCAAGATGGCATCTGTCTTAATGTGCAGATCATATCTCTGCAGGAGAGGAATCTGAGTAAATCACTGAGGGAAGCCAGTTCAACCCTGAAAAAGGTTCACTGTGTGCAACAATGGAAGGAGAGAACATGTGACAGACCCCAGAGCTACCTCCAGCTCTTACACAGTTATTCACAAGTGTTCTGGTGCACCCATCTGCTGACCGGCCTCCAAAGTCGGTATTTTTAATTACTGTGCATCCTTTACTTACACATTCAACACAACATATGCAAAACACACTGGAAATAAGTAAACAGAGGAATTCCTTAGGGCCCCTTTGTGCTGTCACACCCCACTGTGGTACTCACCAGCCGGTCTCATCAGTTCTCCACCTAAACCCCTGCGAAGGAGAAACAGCCTTCAGAGAACAACCAACCACAAGCAACCTGAGTGCATTGCCTGCATTTTGAGCAAAAAACTCCTCAAAATCATTTCAGAATGAAAGCAGAGCCCCAAATACCTGCAGTTTTGTATCTAAAATACTCTTAAGGTACTTCTTTTTAAATCAACTTTTCTTCACGTCAGCGTGATTTATACAAAACCCTCCTGCAAAAATGCACTCCCAGGCTTTCTAATTCTTAATGTGAATGATAAAAGACTGTCAAGTTCATGCTGCTTTTCTTTTCACCTGCTTCAGAAGCATTCCAAACCCATGGAACGTGCCAAAGGATTTTTCAGTCATACAGTCTCTAACCAGCTTCTGATTCCAGAACTGAAAAGCAATTACGTGCAATTTTTTAACACAATCTTCACCTCTGTAACATTAAATAGAAACTTCACCTCCCAGTTCCCATTTTCACAAATGTTATCTGGTTTGCTGTCCTGGGGAGGTTTCTCACCCTTCACCCTCTCCTTTCCTGCTCAAGCCCTTTCCCAGGTGATTTTGTGTTTATCGCGCCAAGTGAGGGGACAAAAACTTCCAACACATCATAAAAGGGAAACAAAATGGCTCAAGGTGCCTCAGAGCCTCCTGAGGTAAGTGTGTGTTCCACAAAGATGGTCTCACCAGCTCAGAGCTCAGCCCAGTTACTCTGAACACGAGCCACTGACAGCACCATGAGGAGAAAGCCTGAACTGTGCAGAAAGTGGGAAAGGGGAGAAGTGTCCTGGAAATGGAAAAGTGGCCTGTTTCCATTCTTTGGCTTCTCCTGGCTCTGGGCAGAGACATCTCCTGGTTGCATGGATCTCCATCCCCAAGGCTCTGTGAGCACTGCCTGGGGTGTTCTGCTCAGTGTCACCCTCTGTGGCTTCAACTGTTCCATCTTGTGAACCTTTGACCTGCCTTTCCTTTGGATATTTCCTCCCTTGACTCCTTCTTGTCTCCCTTCACTTCTGCTGGAATATTTCCTCCCTGAGGTGTGCCAAACCCTTAATCACCTGTTTGCATGGCCATGCTCTGGCAGAAACTCCCAGCAAGGGGGAGGAACAACAAAAGCTTTCTGTTTGTTTGCTTGTTGGTTGTTTTCTTTTTTCCTAAACATTTTCTTCCCTCCTCTCCTCCTCCCTCCCCACAACAAAATTAGTAGCTGTGCTCAGAAGGCCAACTTAGCAACCCTAACAACTCTTCCAACTTTGTTTTCCAATTCATCCCTTCATAGGAGCTTCACAAGCCTGAACGTTTGAAACAAGTTTTTCCATTCCACACAAGCAGGTGCCTCCTGTAACATGCTCTGGGTTTCTGACTGCTCAACATTTTCATTGGTGTTTCACGTAATGCAGAGATGCCAACTCCACAATATTCTCGATTGCCATAGATCAGCACTTCCTTTAATTGAGAAACTTTTGCTTTGGACAATCAATAATATATTAACCTCAATGTAATAATCCCCAGTTTATCACGGTAGGAAGCAAGCAGAGATTCCACATCCTCGTGCTGATAAGGTCTTTGTATTGTCTACCCCACCTTCCTGCCATGCTGTCTGCTCTCCAGCTTCTAAAAAATTTAAATTAGAAAACAAAAAAGTGATGCAAGGAGTCGAGACAGCAGCAAAAGCAGGCGACTGATGTGGCCAGTCTTGCTTCCTCTTCCACACTTCTCTCTCCCTTCATTTTGCCCTCACCCATTCCTTGCCTTTTGTCTGCTGCCTTCCTGCAAAGGAGTATAAAAGAATCATCTTGTAAATGTGTTTGGTGTGCAGCAGAGTCTGCTGATGCAGGGATTCAGATATGGACTGTTCTGTTCCAACTACAAAGCAAGAACTGAGTCACAAAGGCTGCTCTTCTCCACTTCCTCGCGCTGCCAAGAAGGAAGTCAGGCCACTTCGAGCTGCTCTGATGTGAATAATTTGACAGCTATCCCTTCCTCTGGCACTAAACCAACTCCATTTAATTCCAGAGTTTAGAGCCTCGCTGAGGATTGTTGTCCCCATGCAAGAATGCAGAGTGGTGGCAGGGATTTGCATAGGAGGATTTCCATGTAACACACAAACTCTAATCAAACCCATCTGTGGAGCACCACGATCCCCGTGTGCTCCTGCAAAGCCTCTCAAGTTGTTTCTTGCCTGGACACCACGGTGTGTCTACCAAGAGAGCTGATTTTTGCCCTTTTCCACAGCTCATACATATTTCACTTTTAAGAATTGAGAGTTCTATCATAGTCCAAGATCTTCTCTCAGTCAGTGCTTAGTTTGTCAAACATGATGCACATCTTTCTATTAACTTTATCTTGCTCGACAGTATTTCAGCAAATTAAAAAGATACGGATCTACCTAATTCAGAGATTCTGAATTTTGCTGTACAGTCAGTATTCCTTCTTTTTTATTCCAAGGACACATCCACAAGTTGCATCACTTTATTAGATGTACCTGTTTCAAGGTTTAGTTATTAATTCAGTTTGCAAATTGACTGATGCAGTGCCCAGGCTCCACGAGCTCCTGATCATTCCTTCCTATGTGCAGTTCCACAGCAATGCTTCTCTCCTAGAAACATCCTGGGGTGAGTCACAATTCACTCGTGGAAAATAAAATATACAACCCCTTGCAGAACTGATGAATTAAGATTACTGACCTAAGAATAACAGTATCTATTTCATAATTATGTTGGCGTGAATCAGAACCAGTGGCAGTTTTCAGGGCATAAAGGAGTTCAAAGCACTTCTGTGGACTTCTTTTTTTAATTATTTAAAACCTGCTTTTTGTGAGAAGACCAGAACTCTTCTTTAAGATTATGAAAGTAACAGTAACTGAAGCTGTTTGGAATTGAACAGCATCTCTGTTTTCACAGACATCCAAATCTGAACCTAAAAATACTGGAATAGCTGAAGAGATTCAACTGCAAATACTGCATTTCCAGGAAGCTGAGAACACATACTTCATCTCCATATGAATAGTAACTGAGTATTTTCCTTGGGAATTCTTTGTCCCAAACAGAACTGAGGTATCTTAAAAGGTCCAGGTGGCACATTCACTGGGCTCTGGAGGTACATAATGGCTTTATCAGAGGGTGCACAGAGGGGGAAAGGGAACCCCTGAGCACAGATGAACAGACCCCTGTATTTAACAAAGCTCTGATGGTCAACCCTTCGAGATGCACAGAATAAACTCTACTAACCTGACAAACACCTCTTTTTAGGTTACTGTAAATCTGTATGCTGACCATACACACTGTGTACTGTACTCCAACACCAGAATGCTACAGGTAAAATCCTGGCTCCATGGAAGCAAAAGTTTTTCCAATGACTTCAGTTTGAAGCAGAGGAATGTCACCTCATAACTTTTCAGAGCACAGTGCAGCACGATCTCACACAGTCATCGTGCTCCTGGGTGCAGAAAACCATTTGAACTTGGAAGAACTGCTACGATGAGCTTTGTTGCAAGGCTGGAATTATTTGCTGATTAAGCTAATACGCCTAAAAAACTCTTTTAGGCAGCTGAGTGCCAAGAAACACATTTGCCCTGAAACCATCAAGATTAGTTACAACCTTAAAGGCCTTTGAAACGAGACAAGTTTCTCCTTTGCCCAGCACCTGTCGACACCCGCGGGCCACCTTACTGTGCTGGAAAAGCCGAAACTCTGCCGATGCCAGTTCAACCGACACGAGCTGCTCTTCTAAGCTCCTAAACCTGCTGGGCTGACACAGCTGACAGGCAACACACAGCCAGGCTCTTCAGAGGCTGCAGGAATGAGCTCAGAGCAGAGCTCGGTGTGCAGCACGTCACGCTCGCTGGCGTGGGAGTCGCTGAGGAACGTCGCGCATCCCGACACATCCCGTTCGGATGGAACCCTCCAGGGACAACAAACAACATTTGCTCAAATACAGAAGTGCAGTGCAACCACCTGGAGGAAGCCCAGAGCATCTATCTGCACAACTTCCATATCTGTTCCTAATCTTGTCATACAACTCTCACAGAATCACAGAATATGTCGAGTTGGAAGGGGCCCATCAGGATCATCGAGTCCAATTCTTAGCTCTGCACGGGACACCCCAACTTCCCTGGGGAACCTGTTACAGTGCTCAATCACCCTCTAGGTGATAAACCTTTTCCTGATATCCAACCTAAACCTCCCCCAACTCAGCTCCAGCTGTTCCCTCAAGTCCTGTCACCGGTCACAAGAGTGGAGAGATTGGTATCCACCCCTCCACTTCCCCACTTGAGGACATTGATGACCCCAGTGAGGCATTCAGACCCACATTATCAGATTCATAACTGGCTACAAGAAAGGTAAAAAAATTCTGAATATCTGTTCAGCTGAATAGTCACTCAAGTACCTTATATCACATCAGGCATTTTTAGAAAACCCTAACATCACTACTGCTTCCTTAAAGACTTTTCATATTATCAAATCATAAATTGTTTATGTTAGAAAAGACCTTCAAGATGATAGAGTTCAACCAAACCATGTCCTCAAGAGCCACATCTACCTGGCCTTTCAATCCCTCCAGGGATGGTGACTCCACCACTGCCCTGGGCAACCTCTTCCACTGCTTGACAACCCTTTCAGTGAAGTAATTTTTTCCAATATCCAATCTAAACTTTCCCTGGTGCAAGTTATGGTCATTTCCTCTTTCCTATCCCTTGTTACTTGGGAGAAGGAGCATTGAGAATGAGTACAAAGTCTCAGGTGCACCACAGAAAGAGATCTGCTACAAAAAAAAGATACTAACCACGGTGGAGCAGTGGAAGCAGAACATAAATCAGGCTGACAACTGACACTGAGTTGAAACCAGAGTGACTTCCTAACCCGAGTAACACAGCTCGAGGCAACAGATGCTGCAGGTTCTTGCCTTAGGGTTTTATATATAAAAGTAACACTTAAAGCAAATAAAATATAGCTCAATTTTTGCAACTTTACAACCTGAACAGCATGAAAGAGGCGCAAGACACAAATGCTCCAAGGGGCATGGTTTGCATGTGACGTGCTCTAACCAGTGCCCACGGAACACAGAAACCCAGGCTCCCTGTGCAATCCCCAGCTGGAAGTGCCCATGCAAATCCTCAAACCAACCAGCTCCTCCAGACAAACCAGTGCATCAGATGTGTCAGGATCAAGGCTAATGGGAGGAAGTGCACACTGATGTGCCCAGGCTTGCAGGCTCTTTTTTCAGTGTACTATGGTAAACCCAGAGAAGGACTTTGACAGGAAGACAGAAAGATACTTGTATTAAAAAAAAAAGTTAATACAGTAGAGGACAGGATTTTCTACAATTAGCATAAACAAATTTGATTGCTTCAAGTGTATTTAAAACTGAGACTGACTTCAGTATAACTCAAAACCTGGAAGGTGTCCTGTCTGAAAAATAATTTATGGCATTTTTAAAAATCACGTTAAAGACGTTACAAGAGCTGCTAAACAAAGTGAAATGGTTGGGCAGCTCTGTGAATGTCTCCATTACAGCACTTTGGATTTCTCTTTTTTGACTTGAGGTCAACCAAGAAACAACCAAGAAACTCATGACCCATTTTCCAGTTTAAAATCTATAAGCTACAATTTAAAAACTATTTAAAAAAAAAAAAACCACAGCATTTTTACACTTTACTTCCTTTCCCTTTTCTCTCAGGCCAACTCAATTCCTGAAAACAGCTTGATCAAGGCATTAAAATCCCCAACAAGGTTGTTCCATGGCCAGAAGTGAAAGCAAAATAATCTGAGATGTGTGGCCAGATGCTTTTTGTTAACGTAGTTTAAAAACTTAAAACACAAATAAAACACACGGGTTTTCAACATTCCTACAAGATGTTGTTAACACTGAAAATTCCCGGTAGCAATTTCTCAAATGGAAATCTTTGGAATATTATGTGCAATAATTACTCATCACGAAACGAGTCGGGCTTGTTTCACTTAATGCTTGCCCAGCAACACTCCAATTGTTGGTTTGTTTTTATAACCCAGTTTATTTTTCTTGTCCTCTTTTTAAAATATTTTATGCATGCCGATATTTTAAACTATGGATTAGAGAAGACATCTCTGTCTCAGTCTAAGTATGAGAGCAAACAGCAGTGAATCAATCAGCCTTGGAGTTGAATTAGAAGTCTTATCTAGAATGAAAACATTTCTGTAGGCATCTTATAAATACCATTAAGTGCAAGAAGTGCACATTATGACAAAAACAAATTACACCCAAGCTCCACCCTGACATTAAAGAATTTATGGAAGCCAAGGCAGCCACCCACAAAGACACAAATATACAGTATCAGCACTAAGCCCATCCGCCAGCCCAGGCTCACTTGGGACTGGAAGTTTCACACCCCTCTGTACGACCCTCAAGAAGCAAATTTTATCATTTTTTCAGTAAGTTTCAAGATGAAAAAATACTTACATAAAAATTCTTTAATCAATAATTAATAATTACACAAAAAACTACTGAAGTTTTACTGATTTGTCGTGTGCCAACTGCCCAAAAAATGCTGTCAGCTAAAAGAGGAAAAACCCCTAATCCACATATACAATCATTAGGGAATAAAAGCCATTAATTCTGCTTTTTTATTTCCTTAAATTTAGGAACACACTAGTTTTAATTCACTTTTACTTAACAGTTATTTAGGCAATCTCCCTTTATTTCCTGGAAGCTTCAGCAAATAGGAAATGAAAAACAGCTCAGTGAAAACTCATTTACATTTTCTTTGTCGCAAGAGTTGAAAAATTGCCCTGAACCTTTTGCAATGGTTCCTGACCTGCCCATTACACAGGATGGGGAAAGCAATTCTGGAACTTAGAGAGAACTCTCCTTTAAATAAATAAATAAATAGGTTTGGGGCTCATTAATTAAAGGCCAGTTCTGTAGCCCTTTCTGAACCACCTGCACCCACATTCTGGGGGACTGGGAGGGACTGGCAGCCTCTAGTGGGTGCCACTAATTGTACAAACCAAAAGCCCCCTCAGATCCTTCTGTTTTCATTCCTTCTAATTGACACTTTTCAGTAAAAAAAATTATTTTTTTGGCATCCATTTCCTTACCTGTACAACTGACGACTGCAAAGCTGGGGGGCAAAAAAGGCAACAAATATTAATATTAGTCGAGTTTGTCTGATCCAAGTGTTTTCATTTCCCCCCCCCCACACACATGCAATGCTATATACTGTGGGCTGTGCAAACTTTTAGATAATTTTAAAAATAAAAGTCAAAGGAAAAATCTTTTCTGAAACAACCTCTCTATACCAATTTGCACTTTCTTTGATTCAAAGAAAAATCAGTGTAACACATTCATAAAGCACTGATTTCCTGAATTCCAAATCCAAGCTGCTCCTACACATACCCTGGAAGCCAGTTTGGCTTTTTAAAATACATTTGCTTTCCACCATTGGTTCTTTCAGAATGATAGACTGCATTGGCTGATAACTGAAATTAACTCTGCTAGCTACAGATTAAATAGGAAAAATTCAAACTGACTGAAAAATATTAGCTCATTCTTAATGTTACAGCAGACCACCCTAAAAAAAATCAGACATTATCTCACTTCTATGTACTAAAACAAAAAAAAAACAAACAGGTATTTAAAAAAAAAAAAGAGTTTATAGCAACTTTGCAGATTAATTACAAACAACAGCACAAGCTGCATCATAAAACTTCAAGGCCACTGTAACAGCACAGACATGTTGACCAAACTTTCAGGCCTTTCAATGTCAGAAAGTTAAAGAAGGGAAAAGGTGTTTTTTCAACCTGTGGCAGCAGCTCTCACCTGTGAAACAGGAACCTGTGGACTTTATGGGGTAAATGAAGAAGCCTGACAGCTTTAGCACATCAGACTGGGACTAAAGGTACTACAGATCCTGCAGAAAGGAGCAGGAGCCTGAACACTGGAGGATTGGCTGTTCCAAAGGGGGAAGAAATAGGAGCCAAAAGAAAAAAACAACATGGGATCACTGAAAATAAATGGACAAGACAGGGAAAACCATCCCTGTGGAAGCACCTGGAACTGCTCTGAGCAGGGCAAGGCTTTGTTCAGCATACGTGGAGATACAGAGAGTGCATCAATTGAAATGCAGGATATGACTTTTGAGGTCTAGAAACAGGTAAATTATGGATGCAGGGACAGAACAGGCTCACTGGGAGGCCTCCCTTGACCACGGTCACCCCAAGGCCAGTCAGTACATAGAGAGAAGGGAAAGGGAGTCAAAGGAATATCAGAAATGTGACTTCCAGCATCAGAGCAAGGGGCTCAGCAGAGGCAGAACAGCCTCCAAAATCACCCTGTAAGACACAGGGTCCGGGACATCCAGCTATCAGACAGTCTGGGTGTGTGACCACATCTGTAACATGGTTTGCTCTTGGCAAGGGCATGAGGAAGGTGGACAGCTGCCTTAACTGTAAAGCTTTGTTTAAAAACCATACGATACACCAGGTTAAAAAATACATTTATACTGGTTACAAACCTCTTGGTGGATTTGTTTAAGTCCCTCCAATGATTTTTCACTGAAATAGTACGTTACAGATCTGTAAAAGGAGACAGAATTTTTCATACAGGTTTCCTAATCATGCTGTAAGTAATTTTTCTTCCCCGACATCACACTGTACTCTCAAACAAAAAACCATTTGTTCCAAATTATGCTCCACAGAAATATGCAATATTTAATCTTAAATAGTTGAGCAAGCATAACAAAAGAAGTTCTTTCCTTATAATGTAGCAAACTCATTCCTAAAAGACCACATAAAACTAGTATCACTTCCCAATAACATTATAATCAGTAACACCCTGATAATATTTCTCAGTTCAGTTTTATTTTTGGACTCGAAAACTTCTGTGATTTCTTTCCATCTATTTCAAGTATTTCCTACTACTAAAAAAATGCTCTGCATCTTTTTCTTGAACTTTTCAACTTCCTTGAAAAGGGAACTCCTTAAAATTAACCCAGATTCTTTTGACAGACACTGATGGCAAATGAGTGTGTGTGTGTATATATATAATATACATGGACCAGAAATCCAGCAGCAACAATTACATCAGCCCAACTCAACGAGCTGCTTCAGGAGGTATTTCTCTCACACTGAGGAAGGATTTCTCTTACACTGAAGATAAAAGACTGTCCCCTCACCAGGAAGGCCCCCACCTATGGGGAAAGGGGATTAATCTATATTTAAGTGATCACTTTGAACTCTCCAAGTAAAGCAGCAAGTGTTCTCCCTTTCCTGATGATGAATTTAAGATGCAAGTTTAAACCGTCACTGAATAAAACGTGAGGGCTCGGCATCATTGATCAAAACAAACAAAAATTCAATGGAAAAGCAGCTCAGTGAGATGGAGATTTCCATTATTATACTCAGGAAGCTTTCAATAGACCAGACATGAAAGGAAAATTTATAGTCAAGATAATCTTGCATTAATACCTATTATTCTCTTGTGCCAGTTTACACAGAGCATGGGTGATCTCAGCACAGGCAAGGATTGCCCCATGGCGTGTGTGCAGATCTGAGCCCACTGATAAAGGCAGAAGTCTTGGCAAAACTGAAAGAGATTAGATAATTAATTTTTTTTTTTTTAAACAAAGCATAGTGACAGATCACAGTTCTACATGTAATCCTGTCTGCCTAGAAATAAAATGGGGAAAGCGTTTCTGGAAAGTGAAGTATCCTGGCTACTTTAGGAAAAAGAAGTTGTAATAAAGTAAATTCTGACAATTCTTTGTACTCCCAACTAACTCCCTGGCTGGAGTAAATGAAATAATGTCACTGTTGGGCACTGGGCTGGCTGAGCAGTCAAGGAAGTGAGGTTTGTACTGCCATGGAATTTGACTTCCATGTAAACTGCCACATTCCTAATCCAGGACAGGGAGCCCTGGCAAGCTCTGTCACTGCAGATCCACTGGGGACAACTGTTGTCTTCCAGCCACATTAAAATGCAGCCAGTACATCCTCAGGATCTGGAACGGGCCGAGGAAATAATGCTAAGAAACATCTGACTACGCACACACAGAAAGGAATTCTGCTGCAGATGTCAGACTGGACAAGACAAAACAGATCCCCCCACCCTCTACAACATCAAAGCCTTACTGTCAGCAGAATCTGGGAATTTGAGGAGTAGCTGCTGGAGTTGTTCCCACACAACTGCACCCATTTATCTACCCAGGAACCAGTAGGGTCCAGTGCAGCCAGGGAACTGAAGCCCACGCCCCAGACAAAAACAACCCGGCAGCCTTGGAGAATTTTTACATAAAATCTGAAAACTGGTAAAGCCACGAGTGTCACTACACTGTATGAAGCTGCAGGGGGAAATGTTCATTTTTACCAAGCCATGGTGCATGTTTAGATCTTCACACACTTGTGCCACGTGCAGGCCCCAGCTGGTACCTACCCACGTTCGCCATGTACTCGGGGGCCCGGGGAGTGATGTTGTGCAGGGCTTTGGTTGAAAGTTCTCGAATAACACTGAAGATGTAAGAAAGAATTTTAGGATTTGGGGGCATTGGTAATTTAGCAGAAGCCGCGTATCAAAAAAAGTAACGTCGGGAAGAGACTTGCGTCCCCAGGCGAAAAAAAGACCCCCAAATATTGAAAATTGCAGTATCCTCTGTCCATCCTGTATTTCCTCCCTCCAAAACAGCCAACAAAAGCAAACAGCATCCATTGCAGCCAGCCCAGAGCCAGCTTTGAGCAACATGAATAAAGCTTGTTGCTCAAAGAGACAAACACTGGGGCTGGTGGAACCCCAGGGCCTGTTCTGTGCACTGGCAGGGCCACTGCAGTAAACTGTGATTATTTCTCATGATGCAAACTGGGCTCAGCACTGATACAATCTCCTTTGTGTGATAGGCACACATTTCAGCCTTCCTGAACACTGAATGTGACTAAGCACCATCTCTATGCATGAAATCTGCTTTAATTAGGATAATTGTATGGTGACAGTGTTTACCCCCCACATACACTATAGAACATATAAATGGGTTTTATTAATCTATTAACAGATTGAGGTCATGGTCAAAAGACAAATTCATAAACCTGCTTAAGTGACAGTATGCTCAGGAGGTAGAGATTATATCAGCTACTACTTGCCCAGTTTCCTTCAGTCAAATGTTATTGCAAACTCTGGTGTAAAATTTACAAAAATAGTCTAGGAAAATATAATATGCAGAAGAGTCAATTCCTGGATATTAATCATTAGACTTTATGAACTTACCTGTCCCAGTGGTTAATCTTCATATTAACTAAATGATCAATCATTGGCTGTGTATACTCAGGAAAGCCAGCAATATACACACTGAAAAAGAAATGCACATATAGATAATAGAAATACAGGTCAGAGAGAGAGAGAGTACAGAATCAGCATCTGTGTGCATTTTAACACAACCTGCTCCAAAGATTTAAATCCTCTAGTTTTAAAGCAATAAAAAAAAATTACTTAAATGTGCCCTCTCCTAAATGAGATGCAGCTGAATTCTACAGTAGCAAATATTTTACAACTGAAAATTTTTAAAACTTTCAGAGCCTTCATAAAAACTACTCTACACACACCAAGCTTGACAGCAATGAAGAGCAAAAATAAACATTCAATTCCCATTGTTACATTCTAGAAAATCTAGATGTGTGTATTAACTCGTGCAATTTTTCCATCTACAGGAGACAGGAAAGGTAAGTTCTAGAAATGTGCTACATCTTCATAAATACAAAATGGAATGTGGGTTTTCAATCTGTCTTTTTTAAAGATCAAACACACACAAAAAGTCCGTTGTGACAAAAACTGTTAAAGCTGCAAAGTGGAGACCTACAGGAACACCAGCATTAATTATCTCAGGAGCCTGCAGTTACTTCCCTTACAGCCACACTTGCTTTCCAATCTTCAGAAGCATCAACTATTGAAAGCCAAGGTCAACACAAGCTAAATGAAATGTTTTCTCAGTACATCTGATGAGTGTTAAATCACCTTGGGAAGCCCAACAATCAGAAGAATGTGTTTGTGTCAAAAGGGCACAAAGGGACAGCATTAAGCACACATGGATTATCTTAATTTTACCTTTTCCTATCTTTTGAGTGATTAACTCTGCAACTATAACAGTGTTCCATTAATGTACATGTGTGTAATTAGAAGTAAAACAAAGAGAAAACCCAGATGCTGTGGCATGTTCCCATATTGGCATCTATGGAATTCATCAGGGGAGTGGGAATCCTTAAATCCACGGGACAGACCTTAGTCACTTGAGCCAACACAGGACACAGAAACAACATCTACTGAGCCTAGAGGGGGATTGGACACTTGGTTCAACTTGTGGTTGATGCCAGCAGAGAAATGATAAAATTCACGACTCTCTGGTTCTTCTCCCTGTTCTGGAAGAACATCCAATAACAGACACATTCCCCTGCCATGTTTGAGTTCTGCTCTCTTCTTTGTTGTAATAATAAAGGAGCATTAAAAAAATAATAAAAAATTAACAATTCCACTCCCAAAAAGTCAGGAGAACATAATCACCCTCCAAGCCAAAATTATATAAGAGAGGAAATAAAAACTGTTTTGTCAATTCTGAATGTTTTCGATTTTCTTCTAGTACAAAAAGCCAGAGTTTCAAAAATCACATGGATTCCCCAGGGACCTCGAGCCTGTGCAATACCAAGCCCCTGCATTTCCCCATCCCAGCTCTGTGGGTGGGAGCTCTGGGGAAGGTGTAGGAGGAGGGTGGGGACCCCAGAAGGACACTGACAGTGGGTAAAAGGTGAAGGTCTGTACAGACTGAAGGGATTGTGCACAAAAGGGACAACGTGGAGGTGGACAGATTAATTAAAAAAATAGTCAAGGAGAAGATGGGAGGGTTCCAGGGCAATTATCTTAAAAAACTCCTCAGTGGAAGTCACAAAATTGGTGGTGGAGCCTGCACCATCATGTAGCTGTCTGCTGTTTCTGTTCCCCAGGGATATCATCTGCTCAAGCCTTTCTGACCTGTTTGGCTTCTGAGCAATTCCATGGGGTGATTTACCTGACCTGTCTCCAAAGGGTCTGAATCACCTCCCGTGGGTGCCGGTCTCTTCCTTGGCTCTGGATGAGGCTGGACTCCAGGCCAGACTCTGTCTGGAACAACTCAAGCTGGAACCAGCCCTTGGTCTTTGTCATCATCCCAGAGGAAGTGCAGGGTTCTGTCCATCCTGGCCATGCAGAGCTGCCAGTGTGGCTCTGAACTCCCCTGACTGCAGTGCCACTGCATTCCCAGAGCTGACACCATCCTCTGAGACAAGCCCCTGGTTTATAACCAGACCCCAGCCTGGGTATCTCCCATTTACTCTTTACAGACTCTGGACTGCAGAGATCACTTTGGTTTTTCAAACATTACCAACACTGTGGTCAGATTTCCACTGAGCTGACCAGGACAAACACCAGCACTCAAGTTACAGGTCTATGCACAGACCACAAACTCAACCCCCTCATCTTCCCCACCCTTGACCAGCTTGGTCAGTTTTGTGACACCTGCAAACAAGGTCCCTTGGCTGCTTCCTCCTCGTAGTCAAGGAAACCATGGCCACATTTTCACTCTGTTTTGCACAGGATAATCAGTTTGAGGCAGAAATAAAAATCCGATTTTAATTTATCTGAAATCATCAGTGTTAAACATAATGTTCCATAAGGTGAGACAACCAGACAAATATTTCATTATGAGGTCCCTCATGTTTAGGAAAACTAATGCTTGGAAACCTACCTTATAGTGAGGTAACAGTTAACTCTGTTCCCAACAGCAAAATAATCAGCTGCAGTGAGAATGTCGATGCCATGGGGAAAAGTGCCCTACAAACAAAATATTATTTTAAAGTGTAAAATACTTTCCAAATAGGCAACATTATTGAAAACAAATTTCCTGCTACTCTCCCAAGCACTGAAAAAATACAATTTAATTTACAGTAAAATCACTTGTACCAAAGACATAAAGGATATTGAATATATAAACAGCAAAATACCTCACTTTGCTTGTGAGTCAATGATAAACAGCCCAGGTAAAAGGCAGCAGACAGTAACCTATGCAATAGCTCCTTCACACCTTCCAGTCATACCCAAATATGTACTTGGTGAATGCATGACTATGTATGTACCCAGAGAATGATTCCTCTGGAAGGAGGTTCAGGTAAACACAAACATGTTTCCAGTTTATGTGAAGGCACAAGGATCTGCTGCGAGTTTTATGAAGTATAAAATTAGAGATTTGGGCAGCCAGAAATGCATCCCATGAAGAATACTTATACATACGTTTTATGACTGATTAATGAACCAAAAAATTGGGGTTGGTTTGGTTTTAAAAAGCAAACTGTTTCCCAGCAAAGCCTGAAAGACTGAATCCTACTTCTGCTATCCCTGCCCAAGCCAGTCTGTTTCTAGAGAATAAATTACCTTTCTAAATATGACATTTCCACTCAGAAATTTGAATTTTTGTATATATAAGCAATACAATTCAGACATTCAGAGTTTGCTTGGCTCTGGCTGGTTTAACAGAGCATTACACAGCACAGCTGTGTTTTGGAAAAGCAGAGGCAGCAAAGCATCCATGAGACAAAATGAAGCAAAATGGGAAAGAGCCAAGTGACAGACACCCTGCTCGCTTCCAGAAGGGACACTGGGAGAGTGTTTAAGGAATGAGGCTCTGTGGAAGTACAGGTTGGGGATGTGATGCAGGTTGGTTTGTTTACAGCTCACTCATCCCTTCCACATTAGGACACAGCCATGCAAAACCAGTGGAAAGTATCTCTCGATCTGAGCCTGAGCCACTGAAGCAGTTTATCCTGCCAGCAGTGGGAGCTGCCAGGGGCTCTGGAGATCTCGGGCTGGGAAGCATAATGCCAGGGATCCAAACCAAAAACCAAACCAGGCCTGGAATCTGACTGAACCAAGGAGAGACAGAGTACTTATGGCTTATCCAAGGGACACCCTGATAACTCGAAGTTGAAATGAATGCTCTGTCCAAAAACCTCATGAAACAGTGATTAGGGACAAAAACGTACATGAGAAACACCTCATCATGATTTAAGGCCAAACAGCAAGGCATGCAATGGAATATATAAGGATGCACCCTACATAAGGAAAATCACAGCCAAATAATTCCAGTTCTAGCTGCCAGCTGGACCTTGCTATTTGTTCCTCAGCTGTGAGTGTGCCAGTTCAATGCCACCTCACCACAGGTCAGGGAGCCACTGTGCCTGCTGGTGAGACAGCAGCATTCCTGACTCCCAGCTCAGGAGCACAGAGGTCATGGCCAGCAGGAGAGCCTGGCTCCACAGGAACAGCCAACAGCTTCTATTCTGTCAGAACACTGAAAACTTCTCCAATATGAAAGTTGGTATTATTAGAAGTCGGTGCATTTCTCACTATTTATGCTTTAAAAAATTCTCCACGTTTTTCAAAGCTCCCATTTCCACACAGTGTAAGTTACTTAATGGCTTCTTCAGTGGCCACAAGCAAGCTCCAGATTTGGGACATGTGGAATTACAAAGGTGAAGCAGGCAGGAAGCAGGGGGTAGGTGAGGGCAGCCTTCTTCTCTACCTATTAACTATCAGCATTGTTACCTCAGCTGGAAAATATGTTTTAGCTCCTTCTAATTCAGAGAAAGGGTGTCTTTTAACACACTGCATCCGGGGAGAGAACTCCAGAGGGTGGATCTGCTCATTAAGAAACCATTTTCCTAGGCACCAAGGCATGGTTCAACTTCTGAACTTCTGCAGGAACCAGCAGGAGAGACTGACAGTGTCCTTTCTGCCATGAAAACTGACTGTTTCACTGCTAATGTGCCAACATAGAAGCTGAAGTCATGTGTGTTCTACCAACACCAAGACATCTGAGTGGTGGGTCAGAGCAGAGTCCATAAGGAACCTTTCTGGCTGCAAACTAACCTGGACTGTGCTCCTCTAATTAAGAAATAAAACACTCCACAAAATTTTTGCTACATGGAAGCACTTTAAACCTGCAGCACCCAGGAGCCCTCCCTCACCTGGAGCTGAAGGCAGGGTAAGGTGTTACTCACTTCCCTCAGCACCTCACATGGTGGAACCAGGCTGAGCTGCTCTGTGATGCCCAACCTCTCCAGGGCAGGAACTACAGACCCGGGGAAGAGTCACACTGACTTCTGCTTATCACAGACCTACCTGGGTCAGGTCACCGAAAGTCCCTACCCTCTTCCAGGGTCTTCTTGCACCCTTTCTCTGCTGTTAAACTACTTCTATCTAGAAATGCACACACTGGATAGAAACAGACTGCTTGACACTCACAGTTCTAAAGGAATAATATTCTGTCTTACAGCACAGAAGATCCCTTTTAAAGAGCAGTTTATTGATAACAAAATTGCTTTGACCACGCTCACATGACCTGCTCTGTCACTAACTGAACCAGTCCCCCCCCTTTTCTTCCTCTCTCAGTTGTATGTTCAGTTTTATTAATTCCTGATGAGAAACCAGGAAATCCAAGTCTTTACCCTACTTGCTTCTCCTCCCAGGTTGAAAATCAAAGTTGTCTGAGCATTTTAATCACTTACATGTTGCTAAGTTACATCAGAACCTACCACAATACCTTTTTTCAAAGCACTTGGGTACCTTCAGAAGTACCAGCTTTCTCAAAATATCTGTATGGTACAACAGGCAAACCCAAAAATTGAGTTGAAGACTCTTAAGCCTGGTTCACTGGGGTACCACCAACCACAGCAATGACTGCACAGCACACTTCAGTTGTTCTATTTCTATTGAAAACGAGAAAGTCAATGAAACAAAACAAACCCAAAAAACACAACCAAAACAAACAAACAACACTACATTTTTCCTGTTTTAAGAGCACTGCAGCTTGCAGGGTGTACCATGGCTGTCACAAATGCTGATACTGCTTTTCAGAAGGACTGAAAATTACCAGAAAGCTCCCCTTCTTCCAAAACTGGAACATTAAAATCAAACTCACATCTCAGAGAAATATGCCACTAGAACCTGTTGCTCATAATGAAAACAATTATTTTTGTGACATTCTTTTACTCAATTTTTTCCAAAGCCACGGTGTCTAGTTTTGATTTCAGGTACTCCACGTTTACAGTGAGCTCCGAGGCACAAATGAATGAAGATGCAGGGAAGTCACCGTACCTGTCTCCCAACATTCTCCTGGAAGGCAGCCTAAGGAACAGAGAACAAACACACCAAAACGAGTCAGGTTTGCTTTTTGATAAACACCAGATGATGAATTCAAAACACACAACAATATAAATGACCCATGGCTTTTCTGTTTTAAATAAAGTAAACTCTGTCAGTAGAACAAGCCCGCGGGGCTTTTCTGTTTCTGCATCTCCTCGTTCGGGTGCTCCCCAAGCCGTAGGTTTAAGAATGCAGGTTTATTAAACCAGTCACACCCACACAAGTGCTTTGGAGTAGTGACACAAGGCTTCGCCCTGGGATTGAAAGTCAGTGCCTGTAGACAACAGAAATTGAGACAGCTCACTCTTGTCTGGGCTTCAACATCACTTGTTGAGAGTGGGCAAAGTTTGATTCTTTGTCAGTGAAAACTTCAGGCAAAAAACATTGAGGCTGCAGCACTTATTTGCACAGTACATGTCTGAAAGCACCCTGAAATTTTAAGACAAAATTCATGTACATTTCTTGTGTTTTGCACTAAATAAACTCAAATTCTTGCAAAATGCAACAAAAACAACCATAAAATTAATCTGTACTTGTACGGTACACAGAATAAAACCTAATTAATTCCCTACTTCCTACTTGAATTTTCTCCCTCTCTCAAAAAAACACTCATCATTTTTCATTCCTTAAAAGGCTGTAATTCTAAGTATTAATAAAAACTTCTGCAAATTTTAACCCTTTTCAGGGAGGGGAGATGATAGTTCCTGGACATTTCTCCGAGGAACTGTCACTCTCTGCACACACAGCTCTCCAGTGATGGACAGCAACTGTTAACTGGTATTTAACAGACGGGGGGAAGCCCCAATCCTTACTGAAATACCACAAGAATTTGGACAGACAGAGCTTCTGTATTTCCTCCATAAATACAGCACCCATGTGTTAATCCACCTGTGGAAACAACAGGTTCAGCCTGCTCCCCAAGGCACCCGCTGCGCAGGTGGAGCCAGGGCTGCACCAGCCGGGACGGAGCCGGAGCCTCTCGGAGCCTTCCTGGGGTGATCCTGCTCAGTCCCTGCAGACCTGCCCGGGCAGGTTCAGCTCCTGCTCACGGCATCTCCAGCTCAGGACACGTAGCACAGGTTGGGGAGCCCCCCCACCCCCCTGCCTCTGCCAGCAGTGCCCCCGGGCTCTCCGGCTTTGGATCGCCTCGGGCATCACATCCAGCGCCTCCGGAGCAGGAGCTGGGGCTGCAGAGATGCCCTGGGTCTGCTCTTTGCTGAATGATGGGCCCAGACTGACACAGGCCTTTCCCCTCCTTACCTCACTCCCAATACAAGCTCCCAGTCAGGATTTGCCAGGACATCATTTCATGTCACTCTGAATCATTTATTTCTTCCTACTTCCTCATCAGCTTTAGGTCCCACTTTATCCTGTTGAGACCCTCAATATATTTTTGAGGATATATGCTATACTTTATGCTGTATTTAATGTTATTGAGACCCTCAATATATTTTTGAGGATATATGCTGTACTTTATGCTATATTTAATGTTATTGAGACCCTCAATATATTTTTGAGGATATATGCTATACTTTATGCTATATTTAACATTATTCAACACATTATGGAAGGCATATCCTATATTTTATACTATACTTTATGCTATTGAGACCCTTTTAAACAGCACAGGGACATTTCAGTGAAGATGACACTCTCCATCATACCCAAGGGATTTCATAGTTTAATCACTGCATTACAATTCCTTTTAAAAATGTGCTGCTCAGACAAGTGCCTAAATGATATAAAATCTGCAAAGCCTTCTTTTCTTTCAAAATCATAGCCAAGCAATGTAAATCTGGTTGCAAACCAGTGAGAGTTTTGTCCTTACAATAAACCCATGCCCTTGGACTGAAATATACTGTGGCAAAATAACTGGGAAAAGATGTGTAGGGGCCTAGAGAGAATGTTGCAGCAAACCAGCCATTGTGCAGAAAGCTCATTTAATGTTCACAGAATTCCCTCCTTTTTCACAAAAGACTTTTCTTTGTAATACTTCAGAGATTTTCAGTAACTGAAAACGTTACTAATTCAGTCACACTTTCAAACAACTTCAAATTCCTAAAGGATGCCAAATAGTTTGACTGCTTTGTAAGAATAATTTTTCATTTTTTATACAATCCCCTTCTGGAGATGGAAAAACTGGATACAAAGATATTAAATAAAGATTCCATGAGATCAGAACCAAGGTGACTGACTTAGCCTGGCAAGCTGAACACTCTGCTTTCCCACAAAAATTGAAAAAATATTACAACATTAAATATATTCTGTTTAAAAATAGATAATTTAAAAACTATCATTCAGCCAAGAGGAAAAAAAACTCTCCTTTCTTTGAGATGGCAGAGCTGAATGGAGTCCAATTCAACATCACTTATTCATCTGATTATTCCTTATACTGATTATTCATGAAAGAGTTGCACAAGCCAGCCCAGAATGCTCGTGGAGCTTCAAAAGCACAGTCTTGTTCTATTCTCTTTAACCTCGGGGTTCAAAATGTCTCTGTTCTCTATTTTGTTTTATTGGTGCTCTGCATTAGAATATATTCCATATTGTAATAGATGGAAAATCTAGTAAAACATGTTTATTTAAATATGTGTTTAACTGCAGGAATGACTGGAAATATTTAGGACTCCCAGGTATTTTTCTTCAAAATCGTAGGAATGCCTGGCAAACACAAAATATATCTTTGCCTTTCTAAAATAAGAGAAAAGGGTTTGGTACTTTCATAACTACCCATCAAACAGCAATTCCAAATTTTGACCAGCTCTAAATCAGAAAGGACTTGGGCTACAGCAGAAGAGGAAAGTGAGGAGAAAATATGCTGGGTTTTATACTCACTAGAAATATAGATATTTCTATATTCAGGCTGCACTAAGTTCATAGATTTAGTGAAAGTGGCTGGTTTAGCACCATAGTTCATGGTCAAAATATTGGTTTATGTTTAAGTGTAGAAACATACTGAAAATCACACAGGACAATCAGATGAAGCTACTAAAGGTAAGCAGTACACTTGGAGTGGCAATTGTGTTATAGATTTCTATTTATATATGATCCCTGATTCCAAGGGAAATTTCTATATAAATAAATAAATAATTCACTTCCCACCACCTGTGCTCCTTAATGCTTTGTTGCAGTTCTCGGGAAAGCAAATCCCTCCAAGGAATTGATTTGAATAAAGTGACTTACATTAGCCAAGAACAGCAAATTTTGCCTAAATTTAGGAGCTGAAGTTTAGGAGGAGCAGCACTGGTGATATTCACTATTTGTACCTATGTGAAGAATATGTTCTGTGAGCACTCAGCAACCTCCAGCCCCTTGGCTTTGGTTTCAGAGCCTCCAGACCCCCGAGCTGTGCTGGGGTTGCACAACCACTGACTCACTTCCCCAGCAATTACTCTGCAGCTTCATTCAGCAGCTTCATCTCCCCAGCAGAGGTGTGGCCAGGAAAAATAAGGATGCTATCCAGGTATCCCTGAGAAACCCTTCTTGTGCTATAAATGCATTAGCTTTCAAAATTTCAGTCAAAAAAAATCAGACAGACTTGTTAATGGACACACTGAAAAGACTGCCCCTTTTTTTTTTTTAACACATTCACAGCGACATTTATTGTCAGGAACAGGCACCTGGTGCTTTGGCAGACACTGCCTGGGTCTGGTTTGAGCTCATACAGTTACAGGGTGGGGTTTTTTACATTTACATACAATAATTTGGTTTTTCTGTTGAGACAACTACTACCTATTTGCTTTTTTTTTTTTTTAAGAAAGCAAGTTCAATATATACAAGACACAGACTTAAATTCTCAAAGATAACGTGTGCATTCTTTCTTCTTCTTAAATTCTATGACTATAGAATTCTGTAATTCTCCATCATTCCCTTCTCTTAGGAACATTCTTCCCAATTCTCATCAGCATAAATATTTTCTGCAGAAAGTTTCCACAGAATACAATTTGGTGCCAGTGCTATTAACTACATAATAAATCTGCCTAATGGATTTATCACTTCCTTTTAAAAATTCCCAGTCCTATGGAAAGAGTTTTATACAATAAGTGAAAATATGTTTGAAGGAGAGACATTATTCTAGAAATTACCCTGAGCAGAGAGTAACAGATGAGGTAGAATCAGAAAAGTGTTGCCTCATAAAACTCACCAGTCTGTGTTTTATGTAGGACCCTTTTGTCTGTGATGGTGTGACCAGAAAATGCTAAACAGTCCTTCCTTAGATACTTTATCTTAACCACCATGACAAGAATACAGCAGATTGTTAACTGTGGCCATAAATCAAGATGTGCATCTGTGGATTATTCCAATTAAAATCTAAATTCACACAATATTTCTAAGGATCTCAAAAAGCACTTTTTTTTGCTCACAGCTCCTCTACTGTAGTTCTACACAGTCAAGTCTACAAATTTTTAAATTAAATGAAAACAAACAAAAACTAACAGAGTCAGGTAAGTTGAAATGTGGTGACTTACAGAAGCAGCTCTTCTGCAATTAACGTCACGATCAAATACTGCAGCAATAACCAATGCACTGAGGAAATAAAACACTGAGCATTAGTACCAAATATATGAGAAGAAATGTGCAATGCCATTATTTCAACATTTAGCCTTCCAAGCAGAACAGGCAGAACGTCCTCTAAGGAGATTATTATTTAGAAATACAAAATCTGAGTTGAAATAACCTCATACTTCCTTGTTTCTCTCGTTTGCTGTGGACTTTCCACAGCACAAATGGACAGTGGCCATCCCACTGGATCAAGGAATATGTACATATGTTTGACTGCACAGAGAGGTTTTCTGGTTTAAATATGGCAGGAGTTTAAAACTTGGGCATAAAGACCATGTCCAATGTGAGACTCAGACAGTGCAATTTCAAATTAAAACTTGGAAATACAGTTTCTCAATAGCCAAATATACAGCAAGTCTTGGGTAAGACTTAAACACAAGGCAAAGTTAAGCAATGGAAACCTGCAGCTTTCTCCACAAGAACAGTCCCATCCTGTAAGGAACAAAAATCAGACAGCAATATGCAAATCCTGCTCAAAAGAGACCTGCAAGACAAACTGCAAAGCTGTTTTTTTAAAGGGTGACCTGCAGATACAGAAGGATGATTGTACCAAATGATTTCTTCATGCATGAAGTCTGGTGACCCCGCACAGGGTGATTCTCCTGCCTCAAAAGAACTGCTGTTCAAAGATGTGCCACACAAGAGAGGGAGAATATATCCCAGGACAGGCAGTCTACAGCTTTAGAAATCCACCTCCAGCATTCAATTAACTTCAGCAACAAATAAACATCACTTCAGGAGAATCATTTAAGCAGAAAATTATTCCTTTCAAACCCTGAAACTCTTCATTACATTATTTATTGACTCCAGGCAAAACCGGAAATAAATACTGGCTGAAAAGTAAATTCAAGATAGCTTTGCTTCAGCATAAGGATATTAATTACACTGATAATATCAAGCTTGCCTGGGTAGTGGCTATCAGTTCCCTACAGTGATGAATACTGTGTTGTTCAAATTCCCTGAAATGCATAGTCAGCTTGGCCTCTGTAATTTCAGTTTATCTCCATTAAGGAAAACAAGAGACAGAAAGGCAGAATGAAATGAAAACAAACCCCAATAAATTGTTCTAGAGACAGTTAATGCTTTCTTATTGCTACTTGCACGAGCAATTCCCCCCTCTGCACAAAGACAAGAGGAAAGAGGAGGTCATCCAAACAACAGCTACTGGAAGAGCAAATGTTCAGGAAGTATTCCATCAGGAAGCAGCACACATGGCTCAGTGCTGAAAAACTGCTGGGTCAGATACATCATCTTCATACCATGCTTGCTAATTCTCTGGCACACAGAGAGACTTAAAAATTATTTTAAAAGGACATTTAAGAAGTATATGGTTACATGACATGACTAGCTCCCATAAACCTTTTAATTAGAGAACATTCAAAAACTATGGAACTGGATGAAAATTATCCTGGAAAGCAAAAAGAAGCAAATTTCTCCCTGACATTTCCCATTTTACAGACTATAAGCTAAAACAGTATTTTGTCAGTTATGCAGGATTTCAATGTTGATCTTTCCTGAAGAGGAAAAAAAATCCACCCATAAAAAAACCCCTCATCGCACCAGGAAGTTCAGAATCCCAAGTGCTGCCCTCACTGTATCAAACAAGAGCTCAGCTTATAATGAAATTGCATTTCTCCATTTTTTCTTATTCTTCTGCTGCCTCAGGACAAACCTGTGTAAGTCAAACCAGCAACACCATGTCTGTGGGATGCCACCCGAGTTACTCCGTGCCGCAACTGCACACTGTGTTTGAGTAAAACAAAACAGAAAACCCCAGGAATTCTGTCATTGTCCTCACAGCCCCATTTATACAGCAGTCACTGCTTTATGTTAATCCTTTTAATGAAGTATTTTAATTTATCAAAGTCCACAAATAACTCTTTCAGGCCCATTCCCACCGGGAGGCTCAGGGATTAGCGGGGAGGGCAACGTGCCGAGGATGAAACATGTCTAAGGTGTCTTCACCCGTCTGCCTCGTCGTGGGAGTTTATGTGATACTGCACCAGGATTTCCTAACATAAAGAAACTGTTTATGTCAAACCAAGTGGGGTATTTTTTTAAGCTACTCAAAGGATCATGTCTTGACTTGCCCCAAGTGCACCACACCTGCCTGCTGCCAGGCGGAGCAGAGCACGGCTTTGCATCCTCCAGTCTCCATGAACACCTTCCCCAGTTCCTTGAGGTACGTGGGCCTGTATGAACAGCAGCATTCAAGTGTACAGTGAACATAAACAGACTTTAAAAAGTAAGTTGCAACTCTATCAGTCAACTAATAACTCTCCCTTTCTTCCTCATCCATTCCTTGCTCCTCCAAGGACTCACCTAACTGGCTTCAGGGAAAGTTAGAAGGACTCCAAGTATGCCAGTGGGCACTTCCCCCACCCACGTGGATGTCATTCCCTTCCCTGAGAAGGTGGGAAGAACCAGACAGCAGAGGCTGACCAGGTGAGAGACATCAGAACACAGAAACAGCAGAAACACCAGGTTACCCTCTCCAGATGTACCAGACAACAAACCTGAATTCCCTTTGTCACCCCTAGCAGGCACTTCCAGTCTCCATTAGCCACAAGCAGCAAGAAGCTGATTCTTTGCTAACCCTTGGGAATCTGCTACCACCCATTCCACTGTGCCACCCTGAAGCTGCGGGAAGAGAAAAATAAACTCTCAAACCTCTTGCCAGTTCGGCACAGAGCCAGAATTTCCTTCCTGAGCCCTAAAAGGGGAAAGTCTAAGTGGCAACAGGGCAGCAAACTCTCCTCCCTGTTATACATTAGGGAAGGGAAGGCACAGCAACCATCACAAGCAAAATGGGTTTGAACAATCCAAGCAAGTCAAGGAAAGAAGGTGAGATCAGAGTCAGAGTCGGGGCTGTTGAGCACTGCTGCTGCAAACAGCCTCTTCTGCTCCCCTCCAGTCATGCCACTGCTAATCAGTGAGCTGGGTGATGAAAACACACGTAGGCTCAATTAATTTTTCTTTTGCCAGCTCTATTTTCGAGAGCAGAGTAGATTCCCTGTTCACTTCATCCCACAGAGCTGTTACACCACTGCAGGAGCAACGCAGGGGAAGGAGCGAGTGAAAGAGTCTGTTCCAGCTGCACTGCTGGGGAACGAGATTTAATTCCTGTCTCAGCTTTAATTCCTCTGTTTATCTAGGCAAGGAGAAGGTCTGAGGAGAAGGAGAAATGCAGTGGCCATTCCCTCTTCCACACTGCCTGCTTTGGCAGTCCCTCTAACCCAGCTCAGCCCAAGCTCTCACACTACCCGCTGGCCACCCACCCTCCTACACTGTTCAGTGGGTCATTCCAATGACAAATTTTGGGAATAAAATGGTAAAAGTATAATGAATACACGTGTAGAAAAGAGAAATAAGAAAAATGCTTAGAACAGGAGTTACAAATCCTGCTATTGAAATAAAACACATTTTAAAAAGGCCTGTGATGGCCCTGCAGGAGCTCACTTTACCCAAGTGCCTTCAGCACACAGCTCTCCTCGGGAGGAACACAACAGCACAAAGCCATTCTCCATATTTCATCATGGTACAAGACATAGCTCAGAGCAATGCTTCAGATTTCCCCAGTTCTGCAGGACAATCCTGCCCTGGAGCAAGCTCCATCATCCATCCAGAGCCACACCTGCCCGTTCCCCCCTCCTGCCAACCCAACACGCACTGCAGGGAAGCCACGGCCACCCTCCTGCCCTGCTCCCACTGCGTGTGCCAGGGTTCCAGCCCTGCTCCCACTGCGTGTGCCAGGGTTCCAGCCCTGCTCCCAATGCGTGTGCCAGGGTTCCAGCCCTGCTCCCCCTGTGTGTGCCAGGGTTCCAGCCCTGCTCCCCCTGTGTGTGCCAGGGTTCCATCATCCCCCCTCCCTCAGCAACCACCAGGGATTGATTACCCACCCCAACCACAGGCAAAGGAACCTCCACTCTGCACAGCTCCAAACAATGGAGATAGCCAGCAACCATTTAATCACTATAATTGTCTAACAGAGCAGCAGTATGTTTTCCTTTTTATTTTTTGTTTGGGTTTTAAACAAAACAGTTCAGTTCCTCAGTGTGTGCACCTGCCACTTCACAGACAGCAACTTCCACACCCAAGGGGGCAGGAATCAAATTACCCCTATTTCCAAGTCATTAAGTTCTGTTTCACTTTCCTCACAGGTTAAGCTTAAGAGGAGAGGTGCATGTAGAGACTGGGAGAGAAACAAAGCTCAGACAAATGGTGCTTTTATAAAGATATGTTTGAACAGCAACTTCAGTGCCTGCATCTCAAAAAGGAGGAACACTGCCCTGCAAAAGTGAAGTTTCGTCCACACTGCCAAGAATTTTCTTTTTGTGGTCCTGTAGTTTGAATAGATGAGGCAAGATTTTAGAAACCAGTTAAACTAGACTTTAACAAACTATTAAGCAGATGGGAGCAAGTGGATCTTGTTGAAATATGGATGGGGAAAAAACACTGCCATGTAAAAATATGAGCAAGTACAATTAGAAATACTCTTGGACACATATTTCTATTAAGTGTTCTCTTTTTTCTTTCTTAAAAGAGTGAGAAGGTCAGGAAGGAGAAGGGCTGATCTATGATCTACAGCAATTCCAGTTTGTAACTTAATTTTACCACTTAACAGAACATTCATAAGAAATCAGTGAAGAAACAGCTGTCACTGAACATGGAGACAGATATTTCTTTTAAAGCACTGTTAGAAATTTTACTAAAACAATGTGACTTTATGCAGTTTAAAGTGATTTTTCACTAGTCCGAAGTGAAGTATTTATGTCCCTTGACTATTGAAAACACAGAAAAACAATGTTTTTCCATTACATAAAGATACAAGAAAAAGAAAAAAAAAAATCTCCCCACCCCGAAGTCCCCTCTGCTTTAATCTGTAACTGCTGTTAGGGGGATGCAGGGCAGGACCCAGTTTATGTGGCACTTCTGTATTTTGGTACCTAGGTGGGTCCCACGTGCCTCCAGCAGCTGAACACGGAATGCAGGATAAGCCTTCTGCAATTCCTAGCACCAAGCAAAGCCAGCACTTCAGGACTGCAATCACTCACTGCAGGTTTGGAAGGGGTTTACTGTTTTTCTCTAAGAATCTCCCAGCACATATTCTTATCCAGGCAGATGTTTTTTGCTGTGTAGTTCAGCTCACAATGGATATTATGCACTTTGTTTCAAGATGCTGAGTTCTGCATTTTTTTAAGGGTAGCAACAATTTGCTTGTGGCTAGAAGTATGACTCTTCTTTAAGTAAAACAGTGACACACCTAAGGCTAGATTTAAAAAAAAGCCGGGTGTAATTATCGGCTTGCTGACACAATAGGTGAAACTGTGTGTCATACTTTATTTGAATATTTTTTTTTTCCACCATTTCTCTTTGGAGTGGCAATTCTACCTTCAGGAGTTGATTACATTCAGAAAAGGTATGGCCACCAGAACCACACAGCTTTTTAAGTAAAGCCTTATATAGCGTTAATACTTGCCAAAATACTTCTCTGCTCTGCTCTCAAAACAACAGCTTCGTTGGAAAACTAAGACATTACAAACCACACCACCTTACAGCTGTTCATGAGCAATTTTCAGCTTCCCCTTGGCTGTCCACCCTGTTTTTCACTCCATTCCACCAACTTATTCCCAACAACTGAAGTTGTCATAGCTGGAACAGCCACAGCGTTCACTGCCATTACAACCACAGGCAGAGGGATATCAATTATTGTCACTTGACACTTTCCTAAAAAAAAAAAAAGAAGAATTTGTTTCCAGAACAGGCCAAGGGACAGGAACTTCTTCAGAAACACAACTTCCTTCATACTTGTCCACGAGTTGCCACCAACAGCTTCGTGACAGTAAAACAAAACAGCACAAACCCCAAGAAATCCCCAGGGTGAGCTTGCAAACAAACCTCTGGAGAGCAACACTGCTTTGCAGCACAGCAGGGTGGAAGGAGTAAATGAAATATATTGCTCAAAGCACCATGAAAGAAAAATTCTGATAAACAGAACAGACCAGAATTCTGAGGAAGGGAAGGCCAGAACACCCACAATTGGGCTTTTTTTAAGTTTCACAAGCAATAAGCTTGATAGATCCTGAAAGAAAACTTAATGTTGTCCAACTCAGAGGATGGAAGCAGAGATTTTATTTTCATCAGGCTGCTGACCAAATCTACAAAAATCACCAGATTTGAACCAAACTTTAGTATTGGTATGGCTATACTTGTCCTGAAGATTTGCTGGCAGTGAGAATATAAATGTAACTCTGCAGTGAGAATTTCTCTCTAACATCTAATCTAAACCTCTCCTAGTTTAAAACCATTCTCCCTTGTCCCTATGCAAACACAGAGTAGACTTTGGTGTTTATCATATTTGTACAAACACATCTTTAGGAGCCCTCAGTTAATAATTTCACACCATATATAATTTACCATGAACTCAGCTAGAAGGGAATTAAATATGACCCTTCAAAACAGAATATCTCTTTAATTTGCTGTGGCAAATATCACTGTTTCTAGCATGCCTAAGTGAAGCTGGGTTATTCTGGAGTTCCACATTCTCTTTCCAAAAGTTATCCCAAAACAGTGGATGGCATCACATCCTAGCACAGCTCAGTGTTACCAGACTCCTCTCCTTTAGTATCCGTGCCATTCCAGATGGAACATCACCAGAACAACATGAAACTGTTTTATCAGAGAACCAGGCTAAAATGTCTCAGCATTTGTCTGCTCACTTTGGAAAAAAGAAGAAAAACAGTGTTTGGCCTTCAGAAGTTCAACAGCAGGTTCTTAGAAAGATTTTATCAAGGTCTCAAAAAACCCCAGAAGCAAGTATCACACAGGTCAGAGACCTGTTGGGTGACCCTGCATTGAAGGGCCAGCACTGGAGAGTGAGGCTACAAGGATGAAGAACAGCAGAGACCAGCCAGGGCACAGTGCACTGGGATCAAGGAACAAAAATGGATTGATTTACAGGCTGTCTCAAAAGAACTTTAAAAATAGGTTTTAAAGAAGAAAGAAACAGCCACATATTCTTTGGAAACCTGCTGAGCTCAGTAGGTAACTGTGTTTCCAAACCAGGCTTTTTGGATGACACTGAAATAATTCTGTCAGCAATCTGAAAGCAGCCCCTAAAAATTCAACCACATACACAGGAGCACAGATCAGTGGATAGTCCAAACTTTTTTTTCCTTTTAAAAAGATAATACTAAATGACCACTGATCAAAATTCCTCTGATAGGGACAAAGATGCCTGAGTTGCTGCTAGCAATGGTTGTCCTAAAAGTGTGCCAAGAAAAACTGTTAGAAGCCACCTCTGTGTGTTTGCAGTGCAAGTCACCCATTAAAGACACCTCAAATGTCAGCCAGTGTGTGGCCAACAAAAAGACCAAACACCAAAGAGAGAATCCCACAGGCAAAGAGGCAGGGAAAGCATGAGACAAAAGAAAAAAGGTAAAACCAGTTTGTATCTGCAAAAATATTCACAGTATTAAGTGAAAAGATGCACCAAGTTCCAGTCCACCACTGCAGTATTGCAGATTTGGAAATATTTTGAAGATTTTACTTTTGAAAGTCTTTTGAAACAGAAACCACAGACTGAAAAAGAACTACACACACATGCTTCCATCCACTGCTAAGTGGGGTACTGGACTGGGCTACTCTATAAAACTACAGGATATCAAAAGAGAAAACAAATTCTCTCATGTATTCAATAACTTTAACTAATACACGTCCTTATTTATAATAAACCCTCCATTATTCAAAAGTGCTGTGTTACTAGGAATTCAGAATCACTGTGTAAAGTTCTTAGCCCTTTGAGAAACTGGAAGTGGTTTTGTTATTTACTCAAAATAATCTTTGAATGGGAACACTTCAAAATGAAAATTATAAATTATATGGAAGAAGAGCTGAAGTGCAGTTTATTGTTCTAATCAACTTGCAGGCTGTAAGCTGCCAGTAAAGACCTACTTTATTCTTTGCACAACACCCATCTGACAAAGTTCAAGAAACCCTGGATCATTAGGAACAAGTGTTCGCCTGAAAAGCTAAGGAGGAACTTCTTCCATAAGTCTTCTCCTAATATTCCATGTCTTTATGACTCCATAAAGCAACTCCCCTGTTTTAGAGTGGTTCATTTCTAACCCTACTGAACTGTGGTTCCAAAACTTCTTGAACTGCCAGAATTTTGCTGAGCTCAGCACAAGAGTGGGTGATCAAGCAGGACAGGACACCCTGCCCCTGCCAAAGCCTCCACTAATTTCTCTCAACCTCCTTACAGTGAGTTTCTTTGGACTTTTCCTTGGTTTTCCTACGACAGATGGACAGAAGGAAACGGAGTCACAAGGAAACACTTCGATATGGAAAGGAAACACTTCATGTCGTCGTCATCCCGCCCCTACTCGGCTCTTCACTTTTAAGCTGTTCAGTGTGCCTGTTAGCAGACAGGCTGATTTTCAGCAGTTCAGACCTTACCTGGAGATGTGGCTGATGAAGGGTATCAGCTCTGCGGGCTCGTAGGCGCGGGCGAAGGCCCAGCACACGTAACAGGCGGCGTCCCTGACGTTGGAGCCCACGCTGCAGGCCCCCCTCTTCTCATCGTAGGTCAGAGCCTTCAGCATGACAGGAACGACTGCCAGGGGGAAAAAAGGGACAAAAGCAGTGGTCAGGAGCAGCAGGGAACAAAAAAAAAAAAAAAATAATAAGGTCTAAAAGCATCCAGTGACCGCTGGAGGAAAGACACAGGGTGGAGTTGTGTGTCCTGAAAGAAAAAAGCATGTGACTCTCAACACAGACTCACTTTAAAGTTGATTAGAAAGAAGAGTTGGGTTTTTTATTGCACTCTTTTGCTTCTTTAACAGCAGCAGTTTTTTTATTTCCTTCACATGTAGCTCAATGAGGATTAAGGTAAGTGGGTACATGAGAAGTAGCACTGATACAATTTATTACTCGGTGAGACACGTTCAAAGTGATTTTAAAGTGCAGAATTTTAAGGTGTCCACTTTTAAAGGAACTGGACTTCAAATGTTACAGCAACATCCATCACTACAGAAATAATATTTCTTAAGAAATACAGTGTTGAAAATACCATAAAAGAATCAGTATCCATCTACTTGCAGACAACATTAAGCACAGCAGAAGTCCTAATATGTTAAATTCTTATTAATTAACATAGTTTGTCAATCATTAATATATCAATCCCGAAAGGGACTTAAGTACAGTTTTTGCAGTATCTTAGAGCCAAGTGACACATTTGACATCATTCTTGCATTAAGGAAGCTGTGGTGTTTCATTCCCCACAGAGCTGCTATTTGGAGTATTTTAGGCTTGAACCTGTCTGTGCTGCTGAACTGCACCCATCAGAAAGAGAGAATATTGATAAAGCTGCAAAATAACCTAGAAAAGCAGACAGGTGGGATTTGCTGTCATTGCTCAGACATCTGAAACATCAGTGAACTACACACCTCGTCACCAGCACAGAATGATTTTATGCAAAACCAGAAGCCTTTGATGAGGGAGAACAGCAGATCCCACCACCCCACCACACTCCCAAAAAAGTCTTCTCCCATCAGTCAGGTTAAATCAATACCCCCAACATATCAACTTCTGTTACACAGCGAGGAAATAAGAAACAGATATTCACATCCTGAACAGCCACACACACAGATGACACACACAGATACAGAGCTTCCAAAAACTGAAAGAAGAATTCTTTTACTGAGTTCTAGTAACAGATTGCCACAGTTCAAGAAATACTACATGAATGCAGGGCTCCCCAGAGGGCCTTCATTTGGTATCTGCACATCCAGATACCAACTCTGAATATACCTCTCTCTAGATGACACAACTTCAATAAATTAATGTCTGCAAAAACAACAGCCTTTAGAAAAAAAAGAAACAACTTCTCTCCCTGTTTTCCTCCTTGTATCAAATTTATCAAATGCACCTTTCTTCCTTAGAAAATACTTGTCACAAGGTGATCCCATTAATAAGAAATGGGATCACTGAGCTGTATTTCATTAGTAATCTGTGTCTGTATATCCCTGAGTGGATGCAATCCCAAAATAATTAAAACTTCAATGTGCAGTTCATCACTGTATGCTGCTGCTTTTACCAGAAAGATACAGACCACAGCTGGAAAAGGGAAGTGTTAAAAGGCTGTTTAACTTCATTTTAAGCTGCTGAAGGAAATAAAGCAGTAATTAGAGGCATGGACAAGATATGGCTATTAGAAGCACAGGCACTACACAGGAAGAAGGGCAATTCCTATTCAGGATCAATGATAACAGCAAAGACAGATGGATTTTTGGACACTTCCCAGTTCCGAAAGAAACTGCAATGGAAATCTTTAAAAATGCTGCCTAGCTTGTTTTGGAAAACTGCTGCATCAACTGCTGAGAAAAATGGAATTTGCTGGTTCTACAGGACACTCAGGCAGGCGCCAAAGGCAACTTTGCAAAGCTGCTGCACATTTCCTTCAGTGCAGGGCGAGCACTCCAGCTCCTTCCAACAGCTGTGAGCACATTCCCACTGCTGTGCAGGGAAGGAAGGAGCAAGGAGGACCCACGAGCAGCTCCTCACATTTGTAATGTCTGTATGACAGAAAAAAAAAGTAGTGTGATTTTTCAACTCAGGGCATTAATGTCCCAGATTCCAGGGACAGCAGCAAACGGCACCCGATTTACCAGGGGCGGGGATGCTCCAGGGGCTGTTACTTGGAGCAGCTCGAGCTCTCACACCTCTCTGGTGTCCTGTTCTTACATCTGGGACTCAGAGCATCGCTCTGGAAAAGTCACTGCAAAGTCTGGAGAGCAAAGAGGGACAGTGAAAAGGAAGGAAGTAACAGTGGGGACTGGGAAGGTGGGAGAAATAGGGGAAACAAGGTGAAGTGTGTAGAAGTAAGGGCTGAGTGAATATAAATACAACAACAAGGGAAATACTGATCTAGGGGTCATCTGGTAAAGTTTTGTGCTGTCACTGGTTGAATGTTTACTGGTGAACTGTGGACTGTAAGAAATGCTATGTAAAATCTGCTCCTGACAAATGTTTGTGGGTTTGAAAAAGTGGGTTCAGCACTACACTTCCTGCTGGTATTCAAGAGTCATAAAACTCCAAAATTCCAGGTTTCACTTTATTCCTTACCCTAGAGTTCCTCAAACACCATGTCAAATTCAGACCTAAAATCAATTTACCCCCAAAAAATCAAAATAAAACCCCCCAAAACTCTAGAAAAAACAAGTCTTCCAGAAGAGACTTATTTCAGTTTGGTAGGGTAGGGACATAATTCTTTGGTTTTGAAATTAGGAACATGCCTTTTTTATTGAAAAGTAGGAGGCTGGGAGATACAACAAGGAAAAAACCACAGACTGTTACCTAATTTTGTAAGCTTAACTTCACAAGTTTAACTTTACAAGTTACCAGTTCTTTCACTGACCCACAGTTTTTTTAAAATTTTGCCATCAAAACCAGAGGATAAATAGTGTCCACTCTCCAGCTAATCAGTAAAAGAAAATCCACCTGTTTAGGCCTGTGAATGCTCAAGAAAACACAGTCACCTTTACCTGTAGCCTGGAGGTATCAATAAGCACCTGCTTCACCCCACCCTGCCTTGCCCAACAGCGTCACTGCAGTTGCAGCACAGCTTTGCTCAAGCCTTGGGAAAATAAAGAAACAACTTCTGGCTTCAAAGCATTGCAAACAACAGGGTTTTCTTCCCTCCCCCCCCCCCATATTGGAGACAGGTTGCACAGATATTTTGATTTTTAAGATTTTACACAGCTGGATGCTCAGCACCTTTCAGTGAGAGACCTGGTAAAGGAATTGTGGCAGATGTTGGATACTGAAAGGTCACATGAATGAAAAAAGCCTCATACTATTCCTTTAAACACAGACTTTAAACCAACCTCCACTTTAACCCAGCCATCTGGAGGCCTATGTCACTTGAACTCCACATTGTAATTCTTTTTTTTTTTTAATTTATTGCTATGTTTCTCATTTAAAACATACAAATACAGCAGTCAAACAAGCAACCAACAAAAACCTGTTCCTCAGCCCCAGGCCTTGTCTCCACAGAAAAATTACAAAATGTCAAGTCAACCCTATTTTATTTAAAACAGATTTTCATTGGATCTGGAGTTAAATGAGAAGTGTCTAAATTTAGTGTAAAACTAAAATATGTAGCTTAAAACAGAGCAAGCCAATGTTATCTCTTAGACAAGTATTACGTTTTTATAGGGACTGTTTATGCAGAAAAGCTGTCTCAATTTGTAAAAGATATATTGCAAAATCTTCTATTTTAAAATTACATGAGAAAAAAGTAATACAGAAAGTGGATGTCTGCTGTTGCTGAAGGATGTATTGTGCACAATGTCTCTACAATTAATGAATTACAAAGCTTTAACACAGTTATATATTCAATACAAAGAACAGTAATTTTATTCTTTGAATTTTTCTTCAACTAAACTCATTGCAGAAGTGCCCTTTGTGTGCCTCAGGCTTAAAAAAAAAAAAAAGTGCAGCCAGCCACATTTAGAGTTTATCAGCTTCTCGTGTGTAAAACAGCACACCCATTGCCGTTGTTCAGATGCTAAAAACAGAACTCTGGCTCCTCCCTGTAAAGAATGTCAAGTTTGGGACCTCTCACTCCTACATGGCACCCTGACCTCTGTTGGAAAGAGAGGCAGGTCCTAATTGGAACTTTGTTGGGGCTCTTGTACTAATATTTACTGTACCAACATAGTTCAGGTTAGGCCCATTATCAGAAATAAGTATTTGTTTAACGTTCTGCCAAACGTTAATCCTGATTAAGAATTAACTGATCCCTGATTTGTTCTTGTTTTCAATACAAGGTGTTGACTCCAGAATTTGCTGCTTCATCCAGAGGATAAATCTTCCAATGAGGACCAGACAATGAGTGTGTTGCTTTGGCTGTTGAAAAGTTCTCGGTGTTCCTGTGAGATGCTCCGACATCACATCCCGAAGGGCAAGTGCCTGAAAACCACCCACGGATGACCTCTCCTCTCCCATTCCTGCCCCCAGGGCTGACCTCGTTAGGAGTTTGCCAGGGAAGAAGGAGGGAAGATACCAGAGCTCCTGCAGGCTCAGACTGAAGAGCTGAAGTCTCTGAACTGCCACAACCTTCTCCCCATCCCCGATGCTGAGCCCACACGAGATCCACACACAAACCCAACCTGCATTCTCTGCCCCGTGACTACCAAGGGCTGTGTCTGGCTGGCTGCAATCTCAGTTCAGTCTCTCGCTATGTAATGAATTAAGAGAGCCTTTAATTATATGCTCACGTGGTATTTTTTCCATGGAGCTATCTCAGCCAGCCCACAGGACAGACCTGCTCCGGCGATGAATCACAGCGGGGTAGCAGCAGGAGGTTGTTGTCTGCCCTGCTGCTGAGGGAGGAAAACATGGAATGCAAAGGCTGGCTGTCAGGCAGGGAGAAGGGGGTGGTGGTTAGGTTGGATGTTGCCCCAAAGACTCGCTGTTTGATACCAGGCACGTTGCTTAGACACAGTATTTAAAGGACCGGACGGCGGCTCTGGTTTCGCACCCGCCGCAAAGAGCTACAGGCAGGGCTGCACAAGGGCCACCACGCTGACAGCACTGGGAGCTTTGGAGTGT